TCTTAATGGCGACACTGTTTCGCTGCTGTGGTTTTTATAGCGTTATTTCTCTTTTGAGGAAAACTTTTCAATTATTTTTTTGAATTTTTCCAATGAAGTCCAACACACACGTTCTGCACTTCTCTTGTCCCTTTTTAGATTAATAGGTTTATTTTGATGATTATAAAATTTTGATCTTACGTCGGCTGGATCCCACCCCGGGGCGCGGCCTACCCCCACAAACAGCGGCGCACCTCCCGATCTACCCCCTAAAAAGTGCGGCCTATTTCAGTACACTTTCAAAATATATTCTGGGGTAGGATCCAGCCGATGTACGATTTTTATAAGGTCTTATGGCTTTTGCGAGGTGGCCGGTCGTAGCACGGTAGTTTAGTATTTTTTTTTTTCGTGGTAATAAAATAAATATTCGTGTACTTATCAAGGCGTGACTTCTCTGCTTTCTCGAGAAATAGGTTTTTAAACGTATTGCAAAGAAAAGAAAAAAAGTTTAAATTATCCTGGCCTAAACAGACGGCGCAAAACTGACCGGCAGCCTTAGCACTGTGTGACCGGCAGCCTTAGCACTCAAGAGGCGTGCCTTCTCTTGAAAATAGTCGGAATGCTTATAAAACTGTTTTTGCTTTTGTTTCGGATTTAGGGGACTCGGTTGACATTACTATTTTTTTTTCTTTTGCACGATACTTTTCGCTTTCTGAGCATGATATTTTTGTACGCGAAAATAATTTTCAAATAACTGTTAATACTATAACTTTCATTTTTTGTAGCATTTTCAGAGTGATTCTACGAAATTCAAAATAGTTTTCTGAGAGGTAAAAAGATAACCAAAATACAGAGAGTCAGAGATAAATTTTAATTTCGCGGACATTGATTTGAACATGGCATTACTTTCTTACTCTCCTTTCTGTTTCGAAGCTTGTTTATACCACAATTTTTTTTTTTGATAACTGCTTTCTTATTATTTTTTTCAATTATTTAGAAAAATCAAATGTTTTCCTTGAATGTTTCCATTTGGAGTAATTAGAAAAAAATCTTCTTTTTTCTATAGTTTCTGTGAAAATCGAGAAAGTATTGAGCCTTCGAATATTAAACTTGAAAACTATGAAAACTTGTAGCTATTACATATCAGACGAAGAAAAATGAATCAACTTTTTTTAAATGAAGATATCGAGGTAGAACATTAGTTTAAAAAAATTCAAAAAAACTCTAGTTTTGTTTTTTTCGTTAAAAGCTCTTTTTAAATTTTCCCGGCTTTGAGTAAATGCATCAAAGTAGATTTTTCTTTCACATAAATTTAAAAAAATTGTCAATCACTAGGTCTGATATTTTTCTCTAGTAGTGCACACATCATTCAAACACCAGTTTGACGTGAATTTTCAAAAAAGGAATAAGCGATTACTGAAAAAATTTAGTTTTCCTGTTAAATTTCGTTTCAAAAATGGAAAAATTTCCAACCTCAATCGATATCGTCAGAGAAAGATGAAAATAATTTCTATAGAATTTTGAGTTAGAAGAATAAAAGCCGACGGTCGCTGTCAAACAGTTTATAAGAATATGGTGATTGGGGGAAAATGACATTCAGAGATAGAGTCTTGAGTCACGAAACGCTGTCAAACGTCTTATATAAGAACTGATAAGGTTCCCAAAGGCCGACTCATAACTGATAACTCTTCTTGCAAGCCTTTTGACGTTGATCTGTTCTGACTCACTCGCCAGTACGATTATCAGACGATGATTTTATCAGTTTATTGAGTTCAAATTACTAATAAATGAGTCATTTGACTCATTTATATATCTATTTCATATTATCGGAGTAGAAAAGGCACTTAGAAAGGCATTTGTGTGGAGGTTGATCTTTTAGCGCCGAAACCTTCTGGGGAATCCCCCAACAATTATTTTTATTGAGATGGCGTATTTAATTGCAGAAACGTAATAGTCGTTGTGCTGACTTTTGAAGATATAAAAATGTACTAACAGTATTTTTGTAGGTAATTAAGCCAACTCAAGATTTTGCGATTCAAGTTTATCTCAAAACTTAAAAAACCGATTTTAGAGAAAGTGTTTTTTGCGAAATTTTTTTCAACTGCGTAATTTTTTTTTTCTTCAACAGTGTACAGTATCAAGACAAGAACTTAGTACAATTAAAAAAAGACAAAAAGCAGTAGAATAATCAGTATCGGAAATTAGCCATCTTACCGAGTAGACTTTGACTCCAAACCAGACAAGAATCAAAGAAGGCAAGAAATTGATTCGTAAAAAGCGGTGATTAAAAGATTCTTGAGCTTCACTTGCAGGAAAACATTTTTGTGTCTTTTTTATTTTGTTATTGAATAATTGCAGAAAAAAAACGTGAGAAAATTTGACGGAAAAAGGTATAAATTTTATTCGTTCATTTAATTGAAGAGTGAAAAAAAAATACGAGTATGAAAATCGGAAAATCTTCTGCTTATAATTCTTACCGTAACCGAATCACCAATTTTCGGATGGTCACTAGAGTTCATAAAACTTTTCCTTGTAGTTGAGGAAAATTTGTTCGTTTTCTGCCGTTCAGACATTAGCGGAAAAGCGGTTGAAGAGACAGGAAACTCTGCATCATAGATCATTTCCTCAAAACTTCCGAACCTAGTTGTTTTTTGCAGCGTTGAATTTCCACCCTCACAATGATTACAAGGTTCATTCCAATTCGAAGTAGATTATAGCTTGGTTCATTTGATAATAAAGGGATGCGGTGCAAGAAAAAGCTGCGAAAAATGTTTCAACTCGAAAAATGTTGAAGAATGCCACCCTCGCTTTGATTGTATACAATTATCAAATGTTGTCAATAAGAAAATTGTTAGGTGAGGGTGGACAATTTTTTTTTGCAGTACTTTAGTCGTCCTCTATCTTTTGGTCATTTCTTATCGTTATTTTCATTTCAAAGTAATCGGAGCGTTCGAAACTCAACCAACCGATAAGACTGTGCGAACGGATCATGACTCAGTGGACACCGTGGGAAAGCCCTGCAAGTTTCGAGGTCTCGAAGTTGAGGTTGCCGCGATGAAGTCTCATTTGGCGATAAGAAATGACGATTATTATACAGTCCAAACGAAAAATCGAACCCAGTGGTCTGAAAGAAATTATCGACAGTGATATATTTCAAACTTCACTTGGCGACGTCGCTTCCCAAGCTTAGTCTATACTTCATTCAGTTTTTGCAGCAGTCGGAACTTGAAATGTTCAGGAATCAATCAAACAATTTTTCTCGATAAGTTCATATTCTTTTTTGATCAACTAAGCTAGCATTCGAAAGGTTTGGTGTTTTTCAAAACAAGTAAAACTTGAAACAGAAAACAAAGTCATCGAATAGTTCAAGAACTTGATTTTTTTTTCTTTCGATTTATTCGATGTGACAGAGACAAAAAATTTTTTCTTCAGAGAGATGTTATGAGAAGCTGCGTATTCAGCTCAATGAAACTGCGGATGATGATGATGAATTTAACTGATAACAAAATTTGACTCATAACCGTTCTGACCAGGACCAACCCGCGTAAATCACTTCTCTGACGTCAAAAAGCGATGACTGACCGATATGAACAGCCTTATCAGTGCTTGGTCCATATCAGAAACCAATACGAATTTGGAGAAGTGCCAAACCCTGATGAATAATCAGGTCGATGAGTCGTTAGCAATTTGTTCCAAAATTTGTGTTGTTTGAACAGAGATAAGGTTTTTTTTTTTCTGATAAGTATTACGGTTATTGCTCATGAAGTATTGGGAGCAAAATAGATCTCTCGTCTTGAATTTGGACAATACGTTTCTTTAAATATCGATTTCTTGCATTTAAAAGTTTATATAAACCTAGTTTGGTGCTGTCTAGTCCACCTTCACACGGTAATTGTCGGTTTGAGCAGCAAACGGCCATTAGTCCGAGGCTCCACCTTCTTTCTCATCTTCTGTTTTCGATCATTGTGCTTTCCCTTTGCACGAAATAGGTAACTTTTAATCTGCGCTCTTAGTTTTCTATGATTTATTCAACGTGTCTTTGAGATATAATCTCACTTTTCGAGTCATTAAAGTTGGTTATCCAGCACAAAAACTAAGTGTCTCGAAAAAGATAAACTTCAGACTTAATTCATTCACCGCCGCTCTTTGCTAAACTGCGCGTGACCTATGTTTTACAGATTTGCACCTTTCAAACCTGTTACGTAAAAAATTTTGACGTCGACAAAAAAGTTCGAAAACATAACGACGCAGTTAGAAAAAAACGGCTACGTAGAGATGATCGCACCTGTCCTGTTTCCCTTATTTTAGGCTCAGGTGAATTCGACGACAAAGGAAACCTTTCTAAAAACACCTCTGTGTAGCACTATTTTTGGTGACATAGTGGCAGGTGTTATGCTACGACAACAGTCGGAAAAAGGGCGGAATCCACTGACAATGTTCACCGGAAGAAGGCGTGGTCTGACACGCAATCTTTCCCGATTATAAAAGCTCCGAAAACGGTTTGCTCCTCGGCCACTTGCCTTATCGGCCTGGTCGCTTATCACACGCATGGTCTTTTGACTATTTCGTGGACAATTCGCTTTTCCTTGATTGTTTGAGGGACTTGTTTATAGTGAATCACTTGCACTGTAAAACAGGAGAAATGAAGAGGGGCCGAAACTTTATCTTTTAGTTGTGCGATTCGAGTTAAAAAAAAATACTGTCTGCTTTTTGCGCTAGTGAGACGGTGTGAGCGCACTAAAATTAGGAATGTAAAGATCGAAAAGATTTATTGAACATGCTATAAAACCAAACTTTTGGTTTTTTTTACATGGAGGCGGATTTGTCTGCGAAAAGAATAGGGAGCTGAAACTACAAAACGATCGTGACTTAGCGCTTCATTAACTTCTGAAAAGTCTTCTCGATGTTTTTGAACTTTTTTTTTTCTTCAACCTCGTGTAATTTTCTAGCTCGTTCTCAACGAAATAAATTTACCATAATCACTATTTTGCAGCTGGACGCTCGATGAAAGCAACTTTCTAATGTCCCACGAACAATTGTACCAACAACTGACTGTCCAAACCGATTACAGTAACCAAGTAAGCCCACAAATCCGGAACAAAAATCAACAGAGACACGTTTGCAGAGTTCTCCGTCGTCAACGTGCAGCAGCCGCACGACTTTTTCTACCAGTAGCAGTAGTAGTGTTGATAGTGAGGTTCGGAATAAATGGAGGGGGAAAGGAATTAAGAAGAGGTTCTGCAGCTCGACCTGTACTGCCACATCGTGCAGCAAGAAGGACCTTTGCCGAAGGAGTTTTGGGGGGAAATGCGACGGTCGCCACGGTCTTTCGACTTCGGACATCTCGATGGTGCAGACACTTCGCGAAGAGTCTCTGAATCTCTCGACGACCTCGAGCTCGATGGACTCTTCAACGCCATTGAGGTTCGTGTTTTTTCAGTGCGTCAATCTTCTCAAAGACTTTTTCAAATGGAGGTCATCAACGAAATTATATGGGTTCGGTTGTAGTCGGATTAGTACGGTTCTAACGGTTTCTGGTCTCAGTTTCGTCCAAAAAAATGAGTTTGAATGTTAACTAAGCTCTTTTTTCCTTTCATCTACTGGCTCTAAGCTCTCAATCAAACTTCTAAAAATTTAAGGCTTGAAAAGAAAAGACTCTTTTCGTTCTCTCTAATGATAACCACATCATTGAAACTCGCCATGTGGTTTTTTCTCATGTCGATCTACATTTCGACAAAAAAAAAACCTGGCGAATTTTTTTTCGGCTCGATTTCTGACTGTTCTTCTGAGGATTGGTCATCTACGGAGGGCTCGTCATCGGCGCAAGAACGAGCAAAAAAAATTCTGGCAAATGGCACTGCCGAGGCAAAAAAAAAAACCTTGGACGGCTACCCGGTTGAATCATCAGGTCTCCTCGCGATCTTCCTTTTGTTTCGTCTGCCAATTCTTCTTGTTGGTTCATGGTCTTGTTATTGTTGGAATCGTATCTGGCAGCGTTTTCGAGGAGTGTGGCGTCGCTTTGAAGAACTTCATTTGCTCGAAGACCATTTTCTTGTTATTTTCGACTTCTCCGATCACTGCTTCCATTGACATTTCTGAGGAAAAGTTGCTCAAACTCAAAAAAAAATATTTGGCGACGCAGTTTTTATTTTTGGAACATCACCTGCAAAAATTACTAATATGGGCGGAACTTTGAGCGGAGAACCTTTTCTCAAATTTTACGTAGATTAAGGAAATAAAGCCGAAACTGGAACTGGCAAGAGCACCTGCTTTTTTATTTGCGACCCCTTCAAACTTGGATGGGCAAAGGCTGTTTATAGTTTCTCTCTGATTTTCTGGCTTCCAGTTCTGGAGAACTGTTCTACAAAGTAGAGTCTCTTTTGCAGCGTCGTTCTTCGAATAATTTGCAAGGAATGTTTTGTCATCACATTGCCGAAAACAATATCACATCATTTGCAGCTTTATTTTTTAATTTCGAAAATTTTTTGAAACCAGCGAAGTATAAGTTTATATATTTGACATCTTCTTTCCTTTATTCAAAGACTGAGACATTTCTCTACATGCGTACAAGATTCCGTGAGAAACGCAAGGTTCTAATTTTTGCTTCTTGTTTTTGCCTAAGAACTTTTTCAACTCGATGAAAACTTCCTCTTTAACTTGGTATTTGTTTTCATGAGGCAAAAAAAGCTTATTAGTATAAAATGAACATTTAATCAAAAGGAACATAAGAGATCGGAGGTTGGGTGTCGGTTATCGTTTGTTTTGACCATTTACTAACTACGGTAGCATCTCATTAGACTTGAGAAGGAGTTTGAATTTGGGACTCGTCGATGACCTTTCCCTAGAGTCTCCGTCGTTCCAATCAAGGCACAAAAACAGGTCCCTTGCATGATTCATGTACGGTAGTCGTCGTCGCGAAGCTCCGCCTATTTTGGTGCTCCCTTCTTTCTCCAGTTGTTTTCTTCTCGTTCCATTTTTACTTGCTCTTTTTCATATTATTCCGCATAGATAAGTAAGAAGCTCTTCTTTTTGAAACCTTCTAGGTTTTTCGAACATTAAAAAAAACCTGTAACTGAATGGAATACGCCACCATATTTTTGAATAACCTAGTCATCAAAAAGAACGATTTCAAAAGTTCTATCAATATAGAAGCTTGAAGACGAGAGTACTTTCGGCATATTGAAGTCATAAACATACGATAGCCCGAAACAGTTTCTTTTGCTCGATATAACAAAAACTAGAATTATAGGGAGCTATTGAAAAAAAAAGAACTTTTGAAGTGTCACTAACGGATCAGAGCCGAATTTCAATAAAAATTAATGAAGTTTTTGTTCTTGAACAGTTTGAAAAATATTTTCCTTTTGTTTTGATTTTGATCGCCTACCTGGTGTTCAAAACAAAAACAAACTTTAAGCACTTTTTTTCATCATATTTTTTGGTGTGTTGTTCTTAAAAAAAGAAAAAGAACTTATTGTGAACGATATAATTTTACAGCGTTTGTCAGAATTCAGAGTGAATATAGATGTCCTTTTTTTAGTATCATACTGAGATGGGTTCAGTTGAAGATTTTAAAACATGAAACTTTTTTGCGAAAAAAAAATTTTTGGAAAAAAAGGGCTCTTTTTTTCAAAAATTCATCTATAGTTTTATCTTCTCAATCATAAGTTTTTTTATGGAATAGGGATTTGGAAAGCGCAAACGTTTATTCTTGCACGTTTTGAGGGCGCCGATCCGTTAGTCTTCTAGAAACACGGATCAAGGACGGTCAAACGCCTTAGGCTGCGGATGAGCAGGGCTGAAAATAATCCAAATATCCAAACGTGGAGCAGCGGCCACGTGTCGGAGCTCAGGCAACGTTAAGCCGTCGCCTGAATCGCCGGTTTTTGCTTGCGACGCGCACGTGTCTCTATCACATCAAGGAAGAGGATTAAAAATACGCTGGCTGGTGACGTCACAACGAATCCCTCCGCCTTGTCATATGTGTCAGAGACAATTTGACAACGGTAGCAGATTTCTCGGCTCGTAGTAAATCTGCAAGACAGACGCCGCCCCTTTTGGTGTCCTTTGGCGCCACAGGAGCGATTATTCCATCGTCCGCTTGATAATTCAGTCGCCAATCCTCTCGGCTTTGAAAATTTCATTCTTGCTTGCTCGATACTTGTTTTGGGATGAGACGATACGTACGCCTGTCCAAGAAAATGAGCCGCTCGCCGGTTGGTTATAGATATTTTCGGTTTTTTTTTTGAGATTGGGCTTCAGGCTCAGGTTTTTATGGGAAAAAACTTCTGACTACAAGCATACCTTGATTATCAGGAGTAATTTTATAAATAATATGATTATATGAACGGAAAGCCGAGAAACAATCTTTTTGCTTTTCCTTAATTGTTGTGTGGGGTAAAGTTTTTTTTGAGAGTGCTGAGAAAGACAGAATCACTATTCTCTACAGAACATGGTATATCTAGAAAATTTTAAAATCGAAAAAATTCAAATATGACGAAGAGTCATTTCTTCTCGATTTTTTTTCTCGTTCGGGTACTGTAGAAATGGGATGATGCCGCGGCGAAATGCCAGCGACGGTAGCGGCGGTTCTTTCTTTGCGATGATTAATGGCCGGGGCCGCCCTTATCGCACCAGCATATTTTCTTCTCATATTTTGCCGTGGCAAAAGAAGCTGCACCATCGAAGTCTTTCAGTTGCAGAGCACCAGCGAACAGGCCAACCAGCCCGGCAGCAGCTCCTCCAACTCCTCCAACCTCGCCTCCAACGCTCAACAGGTGCTTTTTTGCAAGTGCGACACCAATCCTCTCCCTATTCTCTTACTTTTTCTTATTACTGTTTTCTCTAACTTCGAGTTTTTTTTTACAATCTATCAGTTCTTTAGAGAAAAGAGAAGCCAGGCTCTTTTGAAGCTTTTTTTTAGCAATCATTAGATAGTTCTTCAAATATTACCTGGAACGCCATTCCTCAGTTAATTTACCGCATGACTAAGCTTCACAAAGTTTTTTGGCGCATGACTGAAAATTGAGATTTTTAATTTTCGAAATTTGTTTAGCTGGCAGTGAAATTACAAATAGTGGTTATTTCGGGAACTCTTGACGTTCGGAATATGGAGATTCTCATTTCGCAACACTGTCATGCCCAATGAATAATTTGGGCCAAGAATTGAAAACAATAGTGACAACCACTGGAAATACCTCGAAAACAGATTTACTCATCTCTTCGTATTTTCTTTTATTTTCACTATAATCCACTCTTTTACTTTATAATCTATTGGTTATTTTCAATGGGGAAAAAGCTTTTCACGATTGTTTTGACAGGGGCGGCATATAAAATAAGAATTACTCCGGAGACTGTCCATTTTGACGCAGAACTCGAGTCACATTTTTATGGGCTGCTTGAAAATTTGAGCGAAAAGTTTATAAACTTTAATTTGAATAGGGTATTTAGAAAAGGTAGCCATTTCAGGTGTCCCTAAAAGTTCTGCGAATCAGAACTTTCAACTTCTTTATTGCTCATGCCTCTAATATTTATCCAGACATACGAAAGTCATAACAATGTTGTTTAAGGAGCCCCAGATGAACCACTCGGTGCAGGTCAAAATCGAGTTCGATCCGCTGCAAATGCCTCAACAGGACCTTTTCTTCAATCCCGCCGCTCAAGGGGCCATGCCTTACGCCTTCCCGTGAGTACCCTTTCCTCCTTCCCGAAAAACTTTCTGCAAGCGCCTCCACTGCCAAGAAATCTTACATTCTTTTTACGTCGTTAGCAGTTTCAAAATGAGGGAAATGTCAAAAAAGATGCGTCACAGGACCGGAAATGAAGAGAAACCGGCTGCGCCTTTTGTTCCTCCGACTGATTCAAAACGAGAAAGGATTTCCGAACCATACTTCGTGTCTTGAAAAAAGGTCCAATCGTTCCAGAACTTGAGTGATACTGATTACTGATTCGGAAGACTCTAAATGTAGACGAACTGAAGGTAATTAGGAATCTTTTTCGAACGTCCAGACAAATCTCCAATTAGACACGCAGAAGTTCAAAATGCCAGGCAGGACTAATTAACCGATTCTTGGAGAATCTTTAATTTCTAGTTAACATATATGAATGCTCATTTTTGGAAAATAGAGATAATTAGAAAAGAACCTCCAATGAGAACGCCGGAAATTTGATTCGGCCAAGCGAGCTGGAAGAAAAGTTCAACTTTGCGGCTTCAGTGATATCATTCAAGCCCTACTGTAGTACGCGAAAGATTACCCCGTAGTTTTTCCTCAATCTACGGAGTGAAACCCTGAAACGGCTTCCGGAAATTCTGATGAGAAAAGCGTTTATATTTTGAGTCTGACGAAAAAAAAGAAATATGAGCTTGACAGTTGCAGACAAGACTTTATGGGTCCGCAGTTCATGGCGCCAGGCTTTCCGCCTTTTTACCCGCATCCGATGCCGACCATCTCGGAGTCGCGACGCGGCAGCCAAGGAACCACAAGGTGACGATTTCTCACTCTTTTCCCCTAAAATGGAGCTGTGGCGCTGAGGCGCTATTTCAAACGATCTCGTAATTTCCCAATCAAATAGATTTGGAGGAGCTGTAGTCAGATCAAGTTTTTTTTCTTCAAAAAATAATCTACTGAGTCACTCTTTTATAGTTTTTTCATAAAATTTCACTCACCTTACGTTATCATTTTAAATATCGTGAAAAACAAATGTAAACCGGACCCAGTAATAGTGCTTTTTTTCTTGGAAAGAATGAGTTTTTTGATGGACTGCCTGGGGGTGAACGAAAACGACGGGTTTGTGTGTCCTAGACACGGCAAGCCACGCTCCCATTCCATGCACGACGAGCCTGATGACGTTGGTTTAAGCTCCAGCTCGACGAACACCGGTGGCACTCCGTCGCCCCACTCCTCGTCCCACCTGCCGACGTCGCCGCTCAACATGCCTGGCTTCTTGAGGTCTGTTTCAGCTCGATTCCATAGAAAAAGACTCGAAACGCGTTCAAATCAGTTGGATTCGGTACGCACTTGAACTTTATCAGAAGTTTTGGGGCACTGTTTTGTTTCTGGTTTTGATAGGGGTTTTCTCTTGAAAAAAATTCAATTTCTTTTAATTTTGCGCGAAAAGCTTCATTTTGACTGATAATGAATTTCGAAACAGAAGCTTTTTTCTGGATAGACAGAGATCTTCATTAGTGATAAACTTTCGAAGAGATATCGCGTTTGCTGATTAACGTCAATAGGGAAGTGAACTCGAAAAGTTCTAATTGCACTCATTTTTGAACAGCGGAAATTAGTTGAGTGGTCGTCTGGCTGGCTACGGTGGAACTCCCATCCAATCATTTCGAGTTTTCCCACTTTCCTTCCACCTCAGATTTTTCGAGCACTTGATTTCTATATAAATCACTTCTTTACCTCAAATTCTTAATAAGGTCATAGGTTTTGGTGGGTACAAGCTACACACAGAAGCAGAGTTAGCGTTTCCTATGGAAGCTCCGACGGATAATTGCACATCTCGAGTAGGCGCCGCCTGCCGCCGCATGCCATTTTGTGGTTCCAGACGCACACGATCCCGTTCTAGCTGTCACTCATTTTAAAAACTTTTTTTAATTTAATATATATTTACGTGCACTTTTTAATTCCTACGCAGTTCATTTTTTTAGCCTTCGTCATGCCTAAAATCAAAAAATTTATGAAATATTTTTTTTCTCCAGTATTTTTAGTAAAATTATTCTAGGCAAGACAAATCTTTAATTTTTCCGAAAAAAATCAATCTTCTTTCTATTCTTGTGTCGTTTTATCTTTGATTCCTAACTTCGCATAAGTTCAATCGTAAATCGTTTGGCTGATTACTCAGAATCTTAAAAAAAAAATATTTTTGGAAAAAAAAACGCCGATGTTTCATCTGTTATATGAATTTCTTTAGATACTGCAATTTCACAATGAAGCGCGTCATTTTCAAATCTTCAGTGTAACCTTTGAAAATTCTAATCCTAGACAAACTCCCAGAAATAGTAGATCTTAATAGAGTGTCAAAAAGTTTTTGACGTCACATGATAATCCGGTGGAAGCTTAGTGATGTTACCGACGCGTGTAGCATTTCAAGAGAGAAAACCTAGAAGGAAACAAATCGAGGAGAATCAGTTCTGATTTTGCAGGTTCTTCAGCAGTCCGGAGTTCACACAGGCACACTCGAGCCATTTCGGCGGTGTGATGGAGGAAGAATCCGAGAAGAAATGCGTCGTCTGCAACGACCGCGCCCTTTGTCTCCACTACGGCGCCCGCACCTGCGAAGGCTGCAAGGGCTTCTTCAAGGTGTGTTTCGAGCCTATCGATATATGTTGGATTGGTTCAATTTATATTAGATTGGCCGGTTAAAGATGAGCGGTATTGTTGAGAAGACCGTGTGATGTAAAAAAAAAATAGACACAAGAGGTACTTCCAAATTGCAAATATATCTGTCACCAATGTCCGCCGGGGGAATTTTTCCAAATCAAAGCTTGGTTATGAAATTTAAAACGATGAGCCCAACTGAAATTTCGAACAGGCCTGTCTTATATTTAAAGCTCAAAAGTTTATAGGAGAAAACCCGTAGGTTTTTATAACTCGAAACTTTTGAGCAAGCCACAAAAATTATTGTTTCATTTCAAACAAGTATTCACCTTTACCAGTTTCTTTTTTCAGAGAACCGTGCAGAAAAACTCAAAGTACACTTGCGCTGGAAATCGCAACTGCCCCATCGACAAGCGATATCGGAGCCGTTGTCAGTATTGCCGCTTCCAGAAATGCCTCGAAGTGGGCATGGTCAAAGAAAGTTCGTCTTTCTTTTCAGTTTTTTTCGCGCTTTGCTTCTACGTCTATTTTAGAAATGCGTCTTAATTGAATAATGAATTGACGTCAATACGTAACGTTTAGCTCAGACAACATTTTCAATCTACAGTATACTTTTCTTGATTAATTAGGCCTTGGCTGTTTTATCTTTTGTGGTTGCTCAACGGAGTCTCTTGCAGTTGTGAGGAACGGAACACTGTCTGGCCGCCGCGGACGTCTATCTTCCAAGACACGAAGCCTCAGGAGCGACGATCAGTCCCCGCCGCTTCCACTGCTTGCCCTGCTCGCCAAGGCGAACGATTTAGCGAAGAACAACGCCGCCAACACTCCAAGGCTCATTGTAAGAGAAGAGAAGCTCTTTAAAAGCTATATAAATGATTAAAGACGCAACTCGACTACGTTCAAACGCTGCTTATGCTGGAGACCGAGCACGCGAATCTCGTGTCTTTCATCCGAACGATGCCGCGAATCGGCGAGATCGACGCTCAGGACCTGGAGGCCTTGGTCGCCCGCGCCTTTTTCCCTATGGTTGCTATTCGTCTGTGCGATAGGTCAGCATTATCTTATACAAAACATTTTGAAAAAAAAATAGTGCTGATTTCATGATTTATTTTCCGTCAGAATAGATGAATTTTCTACTGAGGGAAAAAACCATCTTGAACTGCCATCATTTAGAACTTTCAGAATGCGTCCGTCACACGACACGATCGTCTTCGAAAAGGGAGAGTCGGCGCCGCTCAGCGCTTTCCCAGACGTCTTCTTGCCTTTCTTCAGCGACATCCGCATCAAGTCTTTGTCCTTCAGCAGCGTCGTCGATTGGGACAACCAGTCCTACGGAGCTCTTCTCGCTCTGCAGCTCTTCGCTGCCAACACTGGTAAAAACTGATGAGAGAGGACTTTGAGAGATTTTTCCACTTCCAGACATGAATTACTTGAATCTGACGAACAAGGCGGCGGTTGATCGGCTGCAGAGCACTGTTATCAACGCTCTGAAAGACCACTGTGCCGCTTCGCAGAACAGACTCGCCCGGATCGTTCGGCTGGTCCGTTTTCTTATATGATATTAGATCTTTTCAAATCTCATCTCTAGTTTGTTCTCGTCCGATTGCAAACAATACTTTCAATACTACGTTAATTTCCAGACGGACGACTTCGATAACTTCCACATGATGGGCGTGCAAGTGCTCGACTACCTTAGCCGCCAGATGCAGCTATCCCCGACCTTCCAGCAGATCATGCAGTCGCCGCGAATCCCCGCCACCGGGCACGAAGGCCCCGCTGCGATGAACGCAGCCGCCGCCGTCGTCGCCGCGGGCCTTCCGCTCAACTACTCTCTGAACAGCCGTTTTTGAATATTCTAGGCCTCACTTATCTCTTCTATTCCCAGTGATTGGAACCGGTTCCTTTTTTTCTATTTCTCTGATCAAGATTCAGTTTCGAAGATAGTAGGTCTCCCATGGAACCAAATCAGATCATATCTCTATTGCATCAAACGTTCTTTTTTATAACTGCCTCTTCTCTTTTTATTTATTTTTACATATATTTGGACCCGCACACATATTTGTTGATATCATATCACTTTAACCGAAGGTTAATCACTTTATTCAATCGGATTTTGTTCTGAACAACTCCCTCATTCAAGTTTTCCGGTCTCAAATCAGCGTACTGGTAAATTAAAAACCTGATGTTTTTCTTTAACATTTTAGAGAATTTGATTAGAATTTAAAGCATGCTTATTTTTCATTTGATTTTTTTTGCCTCCCTAGATAGGTTTGATTTTCTATAAGGTCTATAATAATCTAAGATAGCGGTAGGTTTGCATTAATTTGTATTTGTTTGTATCAATTTGTTCTAAAAATCAGGTGTCGTCATCACTCCTATTTTTTGATACCTTTCCTTATTTTTTTTTCGTTCTCTGCTTCATATTGGTATCTCATAAAAGCCTGACCAAGTTCGAGCAATTTTATTCAATTGGAATGATAAATTTGATTTTTTCGAAGATGGTCAATGTGACCTACATACTTTCTTCTCGCACTTTGAGAATTTCGAAGAAAAGGAAAATTTAGCAGAAGTTTGAGCGCATCTGTCGCTTATTGCGTCTCATGAAGGTCATGGCTGTCTTGAGGTCGACTTTGAGCTCACAGCGACTGAAGCCTTTCTCGTCGATAACCGGCTCGGCGTAGGCGAACTCGGGACATTTCTTCCCTGAATCTGATTTGCTTGTATTTTCTTTCAAGATACTGACAGCATTTGTTGAAAAGGAAGTGACGGCCCTTTTCGCAGAGACACCTCGACGGCGACTGCGATTTGTCGCAGATGGTGCTTTCGCAGGCCTGCTTGCACTGCTCCTCCAACTCGCAGCCAGTCTCGTTCGGCTTCAGCGCTGTAGGACTACCAACATTAGCTGCGGAGACGGTTCTGGCGAACCCATCAAACAACAGCCTTTGTCGAGGTTCGTCGCATGGAAGCAGCTGAGGCCCGTGTCGCAGTCCATGGTCGTCGTGCATTCTGTAAAGAATTTCTTTGGTAAAATCTCCATTTTAAGATAACCATTCGGTAGCATTTCAACCTAAGCCTGCTCTGAAACTTCGGAAAGAACACATTTTTTTCAATTTTCGTTGCAAACACTAAAAACAGAACGGCAGCAGTACTGCTGTTTCGCTCGGAAGAGAAAACCTTGCTTGCAGGCGCCTCCATCAACGAATTTGGCTGTGGCATCGATCAGGTCGAAAATCGGCAAATACCACGGCTTCTCCTCGCAAATCGACGAGTTCACCAATAGGCAAACCGTGAGTAGAAAGCTTCTTCTCATCGTAGCTGAAACTTCAATTTTCTTTCAATTTATGCCGACTTGAAACGTCGTGGTCGCATGACTACCGTAGTAATTTATGGCGGCGCGTTTTTTTTTTTGGCGAAAAAGCAAAATTCAAACACGAACTACGATATACGGTACGTTTAAAATATTTAGAGAAGAGATAATTCCACTAGGAGATTGAGATTTAACTGAAATGTTTCCGGAGCCCTTCTTGCACTTGCATTGAACTGAATTAATGTTTGGAAAATCGCTATCGCGTGAACAAAAGGTTTTCATTTTCTCTGATAACTTTATGTCAGCTGAAAACTCAAAGTTTCGATTTGCAAGAAAAAAAAACTAGGAATTAATCCAGTTAGAAGATTTCAGCGTTCTCATCAGGCACATCAAAGAGTTTCTGACTAGGGAACTACTTGGACTCGGGTACGCGTTTCGAGTCGAAACTGTAGTGGTTTATAGACCCAAACCAGAATACTCGAAAACAAGATAGAATATCTGCTAAACTCGATATAGAGCTGAGAAAAAATTAGTAGAAAATGTGAAAACTAAGCCTGAAATTTTTCAGATAACTGCTTTTTACCTTATTTTATATTTTAATATAATCGCCTCGAATGATCCGGTTATGATTATTTCTAAAAAACTTTTTTCCAGCCAAAAGAAGGAGGAAAGCAAAAATTTGATAATTTTCAAGCCTAAACTTTTCATTTTCAAAAAAATTTTTTCTCAGAAGCCTATGGCGGTTTGACAGATGATCGCTTTTGTTTCCAAGTACTCTTACCCGGGTTTATAAACCATCAAAGTTTCAACGCTAAACGCGTACCCGAGTAGTTCCCTAGTGATTCGAATGAAAATAAATTCCAAACAAGAAAAGGTCTTAGGCGAAAGCGCAAGCTGTGGTGAATCAACTGAACGTCCAAAGAAATGAGAAAAATCTAGGCTACCTGTACAATTAAGAGAAAAAAGGTGAACGAAAGGAAGACCGCGGAGGACAGTGACAGACCGCTTAACAGTCTTTTTCCTTTCCCACGCTGCCCCTCCGGCGCTTTTTTTCTTAAGAGCCGCACGTCCGACCGAGCAAACTTGACTCTCAAGTCCTTTTGCGGCGATTCTTCGAAAGATCGAGCTTGGCAGGTTGTTGTACAAAAAATTGTATGTTTTGGTGGTCTGTGATTGAATCGCTTTTCAAAGGTGCCGTCAAGCAGCTTGCTCCGCCCCCAACAATATCATTCAAGTCAATTTTTCATCGCAGATGATGATGAACCTTTAATATGGCTCCATTTTTTGGCTTCTTTTTCTATCTTTTAAAATTAAAAATCGTCCCTGCGCGTTAAACATCGACGCTAAAAAGTACTGTGGCAGCAGGGGCGGAGTTAGCTGGTTGACATTTAAAATCGGAACAGACTATAGTTGAAATGGTTTATTTTTGAAGCATCTTCTTGAATTGACAAGTTAAAGCAAAAAATTCAATCGACAGCTTTTCTTTTTGAATTTAATATGTTTCCGCAAGCACCAGAAAGTCCAAAAAAATGCTCGCTGGTTGGATTTATTTTTCAATAGCTCAAAAATTTATAGTTTTGTTTAGTTCTGCTCATCGAGTTTTTCAAACAGCCTGGTGATAGTTTTTTTCAAGTTTAGCCGCCTTTCAAATACATCTGATCAGATAACTTCTTTCCTACTGAAATTGAGGGCGAATAAAGTCCGTTGCGGAAATAAAAACTCCTTCGAAAAATTTTCACACGTTTTTTGTACAACCAAGTGATCCTTGTCAATCCTTCAAGTGCGTCGTCTCTATTTGTTCCTGCTTGTTTTTTTCTGTCTTGCGGCTCTCGGTTCAAAAACTTCATAAAACAAACAATTATTTTCAAAAATGAATATATTGACAAGGATTGAAACACTCGTAATTTAAATTGCAAAAAAAGTGCAGAAAAACTGAAAAATTCATTCTTCGCTTTCTCCTTCTTCCTGCTGTTGTTCTTCCAGCTTTGCCAACCACTTTCGTCGGAGTATCTGATGAAGAAAAAAGTTCTCGATGCAAACATCAGTAACTGAATACTTTGATTTGAGTAGATGAGAAGGAACTGCGACGACTGCAGGGATGCAGTGTACACTGGGCGTCGCAGGGATTCGGCTTGTAAGGAGAGCAGCAGCAGTAACATTTCGAGTTTATGCTTCAAACTTTTATTTACATTGAAAAGAAAGTTTCTTTATGTCTCTCAACCTTTTGTCGGATAATAGAAAATCTACGAACGATAGAAGTTTAATAAAAACTAAAAAGTTGTTTGAAATTCGGCCAGCTTTTTTCAAAAACTTTCCGAGAAAAGAAACAAAAGTTTATTTTGGTCGTCCGTGAATATATTAATTCATTTCACTTTTTTTGGGAAAAATTATTGAAAAATTATTTTTTTGCGCTAATTCAATAATTCGAAAAATAATATTGCGTACCTGATGCAATTTAAAGGTTTTCAGAGCCCAGACTTGGTCCCTAATGTTCGGTGGAACCAAGGCACCGAGGAAATCGACGGCTGTCGTTCTTCTACGAATGATTAGAATAATAAAACAGTCATTCTGAAACAACTTAAAGACCTCGGTGGCCAGACTTTGCACAAGCCGCTGTCTTCGTCAAAAGCCTGAGGAGTCATGGCGCAGGCCTGTCTTTCAGTCGGAAGATCGCAGATTCTGTCGACCACGCCGAACGAGTTTCCTCTGAACTAATTACGTTATTTTAGTATTTTTCTATGAGAAGATTCAATTCTTTTATACACAACGAAATTCATTCGAAACCATTCAAAGATATTATAAGGAAAAATAATTTCCAACGTAAAAAGTTTAGAGAGGAACCCCGGAGTATAGTCACATCGTGGAGAACAGGCGACTTGGACATTGCACATTCCGCAGGCGTCGGCAGACTTGTTGAATAATTCGGCGTAGTCCATCACTTTCTGCACGATTGGATTACCGATCCCCGTGATCAACTGAAAAAGAGCCAAATTTTCAGAAATCGGATTTTCAGAAACTAACCGACATGTATCTGTTCTGGTAGCACTGCCGAGGAAGCCGATGCCAGAAAGATCTGTCCGAAGTGCTGAAAAAAGATATTAGACAAAGCAGACCGAAATGGCTAATTTTGAACGAAAATCCAGAAATCTACTTTGTGTTGCAGAGACAAAAACCTGAAGCAAGGCCCGTAGTCGCTCCAATCATGGCAGTTGGATGTCTTGCCAGCCTGGGAAACAGAAGAAAAGGCCGAGGCGAGGAATCCATCGGCCGTCGGCGGCACCACGACCACCAGAAGAGCCAGCGACAGACAAACAGATCGATAACGCATGGATTATCAGCGGCTAAGTTCGAAAGACTGCGAATCGACGGTGTTTGTGGCCGAGAACGGGTTTTCCCTGGGCCGATGACCTGCTAAAACGAAGGATTTCATCAAAATATGGTTGTCGAGGTTTTTTTGATAACGTTTTCTGTTAACCTTTGGAAAACTCCAGTTCGAATCTTTTCCATTACCGAATCAAACCACGGACAAGATTTGGAGATTTCCCGTGCTTAAACAGAGCTTATTATAAAAATTGGAAACGATAATCACTTCGAGGTCAAAATCGAGCATCACTTATCAAAAAGTAACGTGTTTTGAACTATCCGATGCCATTTCTAATCGAAAAATGCTGAAAGGACTTGGTTCTCGGCTTATTTCCGGGCGATTGTGCCATTCCTCACCGAATGTTGTTAGTTTCGATAAGAAATAATAGCTTTTTTATTATACTTCACTCGAAAGAACTTTTTTTGTTTCAGCGAACTTCATTCGTCAACCCCAAAAGCTCTTCCACCTTGTCTTTGTCTGCGATTCCAACAGTGGAAGAGATGACGAGCAAACTGATCGAACATTTGAAGTAAAGAACAAAAAAAAAGTCTTGTTAGAGGTTTTCAAAGGTGCAGAAATCTTGCATGATCTAAAGTTAGATCACTTCGAGGTCAAAATTCACTTCGAAAATCACTTCGAGGTCAAAATCGAGCATCACTTATCAAAAAGTAACGTGTTTTGAACTATCCGATGCCATTTCTAATCGAAAAATGCTGAAAGGACTTGGTTCTCGGCTTATTGACTCAGAAGTCTTCTCCCTTGAAAACTCTTGCGATCAGGGAAAAAAATTAGTGGATAGAAGATCTAACAACTTAAATTTTCTAGAATGTCGAAAATCGAAAATTTTAACGAACATCAACTGCAATCGAAAAAACTTGCATCGCGGAGGATGACAGACAGTTATCGACAGGTCTCACAGTGAAAAAATAGGTTCAAAAGTTTCATTTTTTTCAGTTTCGAGTACCGTTGAGTACGGATAGCAACAGAGGGAAACTCTACCTCAGCGCCAGTAATAACATTCGAATGGGCAAGCTTCTAGAGGTGATTCTTGAAACTATGCATAGATTTCTTTTTTATTTTACCTCACCTATTTTGTGAAAAACGCTAATTTAAGCAAAATCATCGAGAATATACTCTCAATGACAACCAACTTCAATAACTTGCAATTTTTTATAGTTTTGGTAAAGTTTATTCGGAAGTATAAAAATAATAACAAGAAACTTACTTTTTTAAAACATTTTTCCATGATTGCTTTTGACTTCGGGTTGCCCGCTAAAAGCCGCATCGCGTACGCAATCTTAATTTTTTTACATCTCATTTTTTTCAAATCGAGATAAATTGACTACATGATTGAATACCCTATTATAGTCTTTTTGAATAATCCTTGATGAAGATTTTAAAGTCAAAAGAGTTCTCAATGAATAAAAAAACACTCAAAATGGCTCCTCGCAGGACTTTATAGACATCGTTTGAGGGTTTTTTTTTACAAATTGTTTTTTCTTTTTTAAATACCTTAGCAAAAGTTTTTTCTTTGTTTCAGGCTTCTACAATTTTTCAGACAATTTTTTAAGCTTGAACATCCTTCTATATTTTAAATGAACTAAGATCTGCCTCGTGAGCTCCTCGTACAATATCTTTGATGCTGTGAAAAGTTTCTTTGAGTGAGAGATTTGAGAGAATTTTTTCAGGACCTTGATCACCTTGCTGTGTTTGTTTCATACGCACACAATGCTGAAGACGCGAATATCGAAGCGCCTGGAACTTTGCCACGAACAATCGTCACCGCGTCTGTTCCTCGCATCGACTTCCATCGGTTAGTTTTGGCAGAAAACGCTTTTTTTCTGATTTTTTTAATACGTCCATCGCCATACTACCCCCAGAGCCTCCCCTCAAAGGACTCATTCCAAACGAGTCTACTCCGGGTAGATGGCGTTCGATCCCAAATAATTTGGTACAACGTCATTAATTAAACAGGAATCTTTTATTATGAAAGTTACGCATATACAAAAATTCAATAGAAATAGCATATTCATTTTACACGAAATAATCCAATAAAAAAAGGAAAAAAATAATCCTGACCAGGGAATGGTCTCAGCTCACAGTGGGACTTCTGAATGAGACCAATTTTATTAGATGTAGTTTTTCACGCTGATTCCAAATCTGCTTTCAAAAGTTGCCCAATACGTCTGTGAAAAAAGTTATGGACCCTCAAAAGTCGAAAATTTCAGTGTCTCCAATTGAGCTGATTTTTGGAGGGTATATAGATCTCGTCACTCTGGTTACGGAAAACCACTGAACTTTTCTCAAAAAAATTCCGCAGCCCAGATATGATCTTTCAAAGCCCCGCCGAACATAAGAGAATGCGCGCGCGGTGTCCTATTGCGATCTGACGGCTGTCGAAGCAACGGCAGCGAGGAGCAGTGGAAAGGCGGCGGACTTGATGTTCCATCTTTGCTGATGTTCTCAGCGTGGACCACAGACTTTGTAGAGAGTAAAATGTCAGAAAAAAATATAACTTTTTAAGGCTTTAATTTTTTTGAGCATTTTTCCTTCTTTTTGATTTCGGGACTAAACTTTTTGTCCGACAAAAGGCAATCATCGCGTATAAATCACTGCAACCTAAAAAGATCTTTTTTTGGAAGTGGAAAATTTTTGGAAAAAATTTTTTTCTGTGAGTTTTGACAGCGTAGTCATAATTACTTGGACCAGTCAACTTTTGAAACAAAAAAATAAAAAAATTTTTTTCGAAAAATTTTTCATACTCCAACCCATGCTCATACACATGGAGAATCACGAATAATTTCATGAATAAAATTTTTTTGACAAAAAGAAGTCCAGGTGTTTTTAAAGGCTCAAAAAGAAGTTTTCTCATGTTTCTACGCTTCAAAACTCAAGAAAGAGGCAGTTAGACGAAATTTTCCAAAAAAGAAAAAATTGCAAAAAAATTTTGCAGATGACGGGGACCGAACCTATGACCTCGTGCTCTCCAGTCCGCCGCCTTTCCACTGCTCCTCGCTGCCGTTGCTTCGACAGCCGTCAGATCGCAATAGGACACCACGCGCGCATTCTCTTATGTTCGGCGGGGCTTTGAAAGATCATATCTGGGCTGCGGAATTTTTTTGAGAGAATTTCAGCGGTTTTCCGTAACCAGAGTGACGAGATCTATATACCCTCCAAAAATCAGCTCAATTGGAGACACTGAAATTTTCGACTTTTGAGGGTCCATAACTTTTTTCACAGACGTATTGGGCAACTTTTGAAAGCAGATTTGGAATTAGCGTGAAAAACTACATCTAATAAAATTGGTCTCATTCAAAAGTCCCACTGTGAGCTGAGACCATTCCCTGGTGAGAAATACGCGTTTGAGCGAAGAGAAAACCGTGGAATTTCATGACCCGTAATTTAAAGAAATTCAAGAAAGTTCACGGGTCTAGTCCTGCAAAAACTTTTTCTCCGTTTTAATTTTTTTTTTGTTCCCAATCAGGTTTTTCTACTTTCCGTTACATTTAAGAGAGAATCTCCATCCTGGACGCGACATCATCATGGACGGTCAAGTGAGCCTTTTTCTATTTTTACTAGTTTATTTTCAAGCTCTCAGGTAACCTGGGCGGGAACAAGCAGTTTAGAAGTTTTGATGCGAGTTTTCCAGCATGATGACTCAAACAATTTGAACCAAATTTTGAAAGCCCGCTTTTTCATGGCAAGTACACTTTTTATAGTTTTCCTGAAAAAAAACAGGTTGCACGGAATCCTTCCGACAACAACAAAAAGATGAGGGTCCATTCATTAGCCGCCAGCTGTCCAGATGAAGCCGCGTTGATCAACGATGCCCTCGAGGCGATGAAGACGCGCAACCGATCAGTTTTCCCCGATTTCCCCGTTCATCCATGCTTTTCCATTCAGAAAGGCAAGGTGAGCCCGACAAACAGTGAGCTGCGGATGATTCACGACATTTACGAAGAGTTCTTGCGACGTAATCCGAACACTTGGCTGCCTGTGCTCACGGCAAGTCTCCATCGGATCCCATTCTTTTCAAAAAATGTTCAGAAGAAAGAAATGTGGCTCCATCAGACGCAGCTATCCATGACCGACCTCTGCTTTCCCGAAAGCCAGAACATGTTCTTTTCGTTCCTACATATATCGAAATTTGATACTTTAATAGGTACGGAAAAATCTTCGGAGGTTTTCTGATGCGGAAAGCACTTGAACTTGCACATACAAATGCGAAACTCTTCTGCAAGGTTAGTTTAGCACAGCTTCGTCTTGTTCAAAATGTTTTTCAGACTTTTCTAAAGACATATAAAAGGAGAAAACAACTTAAACTTATGTTGAGAACGGCCAGTAGCCTCGGCCCTTTTTTTAATTTATTGATTTTCCTCCAAACTCGTTCTGGGTTTCAAACGCTCCTTCAAAAGGATTTTTGAATATACTTGATGATTCTGAAAAAGCGCTTTCGAGAAATTTATTTTAGTAGGGAAAAAAATTGTATGAGCTTTTTCAACAAGTCAGTTAAGTGATGAAATAAGAAAAAGTTGAGAAAGAAGGTTCTCCTAGGGACATGTCGTGATCCGAGCGATGGACGACATTGTCTTCGTGAAACCCGTCGAGATCGGCAACGTACTTCACTTAGACTCGTACATCACCTACACGGAGAATGAATATGTCCAGGTACAGCCCGTTCATTCCGAATTGAAATGATAAAACATGTCGGCGTCTCTTTTCCCTCACCGGCAAAGTCTTAAAAGCACGGAAATAGCCGTGTAAACAAGAAAGCGGTGCCTATTCAGTGAAAAAAAAGGTTGGGAGAAGGGCCTGAAACTTACTATTAATCAGTTAGCTCCGACGTTTTCAGGTGTGATAAGGTTTTATAAGAAGATTCAGATAAAGAAGAACATATTTCAGTATAAAAAGAACTAATTAAAGTTATTTCGTTTCAGGAAAATCGCGGAATATAGTTTTTTCCACTTTATTGTATAAGCAGAAGAATTAGACTTTTTGAAGCTGTGAAGAACGGGCTCTGGAAAAGCTGAGAGAATCTGAATCTTATATGTTACATGTTATATCTAACTAGGGAACATTTTTTACCGCCCAGTTGAACTTTGCTGAAACTTTGCTCAAGTGAACGTTAGGACCTCCTGACAGCAGAACAAAAATAATGTGTCGCAATAGATTTTTTATCGAGTTTTTGAGCTTCAAAGTACGCAAATTATGACAAAAAGCGCTATTTCGGACTTTTGAAGCGTCCTGACTCGAAAACAAGATCTATTGCGAGAAATTTTTCTCTTGTTCTGAAATCTGAAGGTCCAAAAGTGTCCTTCAGGGAACTTTCATCGGAAGTTCAACCGGGGGCAAAAAACGTTCCCTAATAAATCAAATCGATTTTCAGGTTATTGTGAGAGCTTCAGTGACCAATATTATAAAATCTGCAGAGACTAAAATAAATCCCTGCGAAGTGAGTTTCTTTCTCATTTCCATTCTGTTAATTTTTCAATGATCACGATGACTTCCAGTCCCGTACAACGACCAACGTCTTTCATTTTACTATCGAGAGCTGTGACAGTTCCGAGGTTTCAAGTCTTTATTTATTAATCGAAAATAATCAAGGAAACCTAATTTATCAATTAAATTAATCATGATTCTTCCTATCGAAACGAACAAAGAACTTAAAGCTTTAATTTTGCAGCTCCCGATAATACTACCTAAACACTACGCTCACACAAGCATGTACATCGAAGGACGGCGACATTTGCACAATTCTGTTCGACGTATGCTCAGCCAACGGAAGCCTCCTAGCGAATCTCAATGAATTACTGCTGTTAATTTGCATTTTCTTTTGCTATTCGTTTCACAACCGTTAGGCGAGCGATCCTAACGATCCTAAGCAACAGGCAGCCAAGGTGGACCTTCTCTTTCATCCAAGGGCTCTCCTCTGAGCTGTCATTCTTCTTTCTCCAGTTAGATTTTTCTAGCTTTTGGACATTAGCGCGCACTCTATAAGAAAAACGATCAAATCCGAAAAAGTGCTAAGAACCGCTTAAACGTCTCTCTGCCTCCCCCGCTTTTCAAGTCGGGTTGGACTGACTATACCCCACCGGATCAGGACTCTTTTCCATGTCTAACCGTTTTTTTTCCTACCATTTGGCGTATTTTTCCTTGGGCCTCGGAGTTGTTGCTTCTCGTTAGGGCGCGATTCTCATTAGTTATATAGCTAAGGACGTCCATATGTCGTTTTTGACCTTTTGCAAGAATATAATGCGAACGCTCAGTGTACATGGCGCTTCTCATGCTATCGTCGATCATTTGAAACGCGAATTTTAGCCGCGCATATACCCCGTTCAAGTCCAGTGGATTTACACAAACGCCTATTTCACGAGCTTTTTCAGCTCCCGTTCGAGTCCAGGGGAACACCCGAAACATTAAAAAAAAACACCGTGTGATCGGCAGTAGCACCCGTTTCGCGAATTTATGACGTATCAACGCGACGGGTGCTACTGGCTAGCATTAGAGTTGGTTCCTCTAAGAAATGGCACGGCCCCGGCTCACCACCATTTTCTCGCTCCAGGAGCTCTCTATTTGAAGACTGAGAAGGAGCTTAGCGTGAAATTTTGTGTGAAACTTTATCGAAAATGATTCATTAGAAATTTAAAAGACGTGATCCGGACGTTTCTGAGCAATTCTAAGAAAAGAGTGCTGATAGTTTTGAGGTGACACCTCATCGGGGTTCGCATTTGAGTTCCACTTAATGATGATGTCTTCATGTGTCCAAGAAAGGCAACGAGCAAATTACGGACGACGCGGAGGGTTCCCTTCGTGTCAAATTGCAAATGACTGTTTGATTTGGAGCGTTAAGTCACTACTATAATGCGGTAGGCTACCGATAGTCGAGTTTTTCGAAAATAAATTTTTATACAATTTTCTCTTTATATCATTTTTTTTATTTTATTCTTTTTTAGGTGCTACATTAAGTTTTTTCGAAACCATGCGGATTGTTATGAAAAGTTTATTGTATCGCATCCTCGATGATAAGATTTTTATCAGGGGACGGCAATTGGGACTCCGTGATGCTCTTAGGTGCAGAATCGGCAAGTCTTCGGGCACTGGTCCTTCATAAGCGGTATGTAAACGGTGTTTGTGCAGAGGTTGGCGTTTTTTTCGGGCAGTCGGAAGTTCCCGTCTTTGGGTTGATCTTCAATTTTAAGTTGAAGTTATCCTATTTTTTTAATTTATAATATTTAAAACTCACCTTATCGACACACGAAACACCAGCGCCAGCTGTAATTAAGATCTTTTATTACAGTATTATTTATGGGTTAGTTCAGAGGTGGAGGATTGGGATGGCAGCCCTTGGCTTGGCGGCCAAGCCAAGCCATTGGGCCAAGCGATAGAAATGATTCATTGGGTTACTATTGAAAAAGTCATTTCTGCTTTTGGGCGTTTATGGCTTGGCAGGCAGGGCGGCCAGTGGGCAGCCATCCTCCACCTCTGGGTTAGTTGTTTTTAATAAAACCACTGCTAATCAATCTTTACATCGAGAGATTTAAAATGAAGAATTCGAAAGTATTTCCCTTCTTTCAGAGAAACTAGCCCTACGATTAGGATCATCAAAGGCAAAGAGGCAAAGTCATGAAAGTTTTTGTGTTTTTTGAAGTGTCAGTTTTTTTAATCTTTCTTTAAAAGTTGATTCAACTGCTACATTTCTGATTGGATGAAAGCGCTGAGGCAAGCCAATCAGAAACTTAGTTCGTTGGATCAAACTTTTGTGAAAAGGACAAAAAATGATGAAACACTAATTTTTGATTGCAATTTCCTTGAAGAGAAAAAAGTTTTTAGCCCGATTAGAAGGGTACTGTACAAGGAAGACGATTTTCAAGAATTTCTTTTTGTTATGTTTACTGAAGTCTTTCGTTGGTTTTTCCTCAGCTATTCAACTCACTGCAGAAGCCGCATGTCTTGGGACACTGGTCCTTCATGAGCGGAATGTAGACGCTGTTTGTGCAGAGTCCTACGTTTTTCGGACAGTCGGAAACACCGGTAGATGGGTTCAACTGAAGTTCGATATGTTCCATTCTTCAGGTAGCTCTTGAACTCGCCTTGTCGACGCAGGGAGCGGAAGTCGTGGCTCTGGCCGTCGTCGTCGGCGTCTCAGTTCTTACTGAAATTGCTCGGTTTTGGTCGATAGTGGATTTCAAGCATACCATTGGCCTGTGGGCAGCAGTTGCCGTCGGAAATTAGAACAAGTCCTGGTGGGCACTGGTTACTGATACTTGCTGCAAATATTTCATGTTGATTTTGGTTATCTTCAAGCTCCAGTGGGTCGGAAGTCCTCGTTTCAAATGTTGCAAAGCATTAAAGATGTGAACGCTTGTTTTTTTTCAAAGGGTATTTTATATAAAAAATTAAGGTAACACATTTTTTTCAGTCTTTACAGAAGATTATCTGCCGAATCATGAAATAATTGAAGAGCTGCTGTCAATTCGCAAAACTTTTCAACTTACCACTAAAAAACGCTGTTGCTATATTGATGCATAAGTTTTCAGCTATTTAATTATACCCTAGTACGATTCAAACCGCTGAACACATAATTTTGTAAGATGTACTATTTGAGACTCACGGCTAGACGCGATGTTGCATGTCGTGATGGATTGGGCGCTGACGAAGGCGAGGAGAGCGGCAACGCAGAGGAGCTGGAACATCACGGATCCGAACGTGATTGTTGAGGACGTCGTCGACATTTATACTCGGAAAGTTCGCGGGTCGGCAGCTGCTCAAACCAAATGTGTCAGTTTTCTCTCTGGTTTAGAAAACCGTTTCGAACGACTGTGTTTGAACAATTGTTCCACTTTTCCCTCCGCTTTTTCCGGGCATATCTTGACCAAACCGACTACAATCTGTGGCTGCCTTTCATAACACCAAAGATTATCAAAAGCTCAGATTCATCTAGTTTTCCTTTCGAACTGTGTTCGGAAAAAAAGTTAGGAGGAAAATGTTAAAGTGATTTGTGTTTGGAATGACATTTAACAAGGGAGGTCATATTACTTTGCGGTTTGGATTTCCCTGAAAGTTGTTCAGAAAGCTGCTTGATGTACCAGAAGACCTTTTTGAAAGTTTCAACCTGCAAAACTTCCTCGTTTTGAGAAAATACGCCTCTGAGTCAAATAAAACCCTCAAAATCCATTATAATGGGCCGTTTCGGGGCTTAAGGTCCTTATTTCTCGTAAAGTAAAACGTTGTGCAGATTGAGATTCACAGAATCTTCCTCTGGTACACGAATAAGTGTTTTGGCCAATTTTCGAGGAATTCCCAACCGCGAAGAAAAATGACTTTCCTTGTAAGAAAAAGTTCATTATTTCTTCGTCAAGTTGACGCGGAGAAAGCTAAGTTGTGAGGAGTTTTTCTCAAAATTACTGTGGTATGCTCTTCAAGATTATTATTTTTTCTAAAAAATCCCTTTTTTTTGAAGAGTTTATTCGGTGCACCGAATCAGGATTTTTTTTTTTCCTTTAGTCGATGATTTCTTTACAGGAGCAAAGAAAGGACGGCCGTCTTCTAACGCGATGAACCGAAACTCGGCAACATTCAAAAATATTTTTCTAATTTTTGGATGAAATTGTCAATTATTTTTTTCTACGTTGAAAAGAGTGTACGAGGAATTCAATACTTCCTTAGTATCTGTTCGTCGAAATGTTTAGAACGTTGAAAAATATTTATTTATTTGCAGCTATACTTATTTTTTTAAAGGTTTTTCAAGAGAGTATGGATTCGATGAAAAAAACCCGCGTTCCAGAAGCTGCTGGGAGAGAAAAAAACAAACAAACAAGGTATTTTTTTATAAAAAAAATTGAAAGAATATGTTAATAAACTCGGGAGAACTTTTAAAAATTGCAAAATTTTGAGCAATAAAACAATGTTGAAAGAAGTATACATTCTCGACTTTTCGCCCATTGATTTACACAAAATTTTCGGAGAATTCGTATAGTTACTTGTTGTTGCAGCAAAAAAACCTGATTATATTTTTTTCATTTTGATTTCAATTTTTTTCCTCTCAAGTCTATGCCTATAATTAGAACCTCATAATAAAGAATCTGTGAAGGGTTATTCGCTGAAAAAACGTATGTGTGGAGCACTAAAATTTAAATTCAAAGTTATTGCCGTCGACTTTTGGAGTCTTTTGAAATTATTTTTTTTCAAATAATCTTTTTTGCGTCATTTTCAGTACCGTAGGCTGTCGATCTAGGTATTCTTTGAAATGTTGACTTTAATGGACAAAGCAGACAAGTAGGTTCTTTTGACTGTTGGCTTTTTTCAACAAGCTGATTCACTTACGGCGTTTCGAAAATTCTTGCGTGTTGGTCTTTCACCATCACGCAACATTTGGACTTAAGACTATGTTAAACGTCGATATTCTTGAGAATTGTCCTTGTGCTGTCTGAATTCTCCAGTGAGCCGTAAGAGTAGTCTGTTCAGCGATGGGTGCTCAGAAGTTGTTAGGGAGGTTTGTGTGGCGACGAGTGACCAGTGGTTAACGAATTGGCGGCAGAAGGCGGCGAAGGCCTCAACGACGGCTCCCCAGACGCCCTTCTATCTATAATGCTCATCTGATGGCCGCTCACGTCATCCGCGGCACGATGCCTCGTCCGACGCTTCTCATTGCACTTTCGGCTCCTTCTAACCGCTTTTTGCATGTCTCGTCTTCGCTTATCAAGATTCCATCTAGATCTTTCCTCCTCAGAAGTTTTTTCTTTCAGCTTATGCGCTTACCCGTTCTTTTTGATCCGCCCTACAATATTGCTCAGTTTGTCCAAGCAAGTAGAAACAACTCACTACTTCATACTACATCATCATCATCATCAATATTTATTGGTTGTTTTAGTCAGATAGAATCGACTAGGCGGTGAAAAAATTGCTCTTTTGAGCGGCACTAACACCGCCTTTGGCGAGAAAGAAGTCAAAACGTGTAGTCGATTGAATTGAAAGCATGGTCTTACGGTCCTTCGCCTCGTTCTTCCACAAGTAGATCCATCAGTTTCGCGGGTACGGGCACGGCGGGGATGGTGGGGCTCGAGCACGGAAGTACACTCTAGAGTAGCCTCGGCCGACTGAGAGAGCTCCCACTTCGAGTGAAAAAAATACACGGAGTGAAGAAAATACACGGAATACCTTCATTTTAAAGCGATAATTCAATCGAACTATGAACTAGACTCTCGCAGCCTGAGAGCCCAAATTGGAACAATCAGGGTTTTTTTTTGATTATTTTTCTTTGATTTTTTGAAGGCTGTGTTATTTAATTTCTTTTTTCATTGACTGTGTTTCAAGTTCTTGTTTTAATTTTGAGGTTCTTAAAGCCCACTGGTCAAAATGCGAAGTTTCATAGGTACAAAATTGTACCATATAGGAAGTTCTGGCCATAACTACATTCATAATGAACTCACTGGAAGAAAAATTGAGTCCATTTTTTCATTTATCGTTATAAAGTGATTGGAAAATCTTGAAAGCTCTTTTTAAGCGACCTCTTTTGAACCCTATTTATTTCAAAAAGTAGTATTTTTTTCTATCTAGTCCCTTTTTTTGATCTTCTATAACTTGAGAACTTCGTCGACAATGATGCACTTGCCGGAGAAAACGGCTGCGTGTGTGAGTGAGTAAGGGTGGAATTTGCAAGTGAAATGTCCGACGGGGCAGATGGTCCATTGTTCCGAGGCTAGAATTCGTATTCCTCGGCCGTCTTGCAAGTCATTCGCCATGTTGTTTGGCGAGCGAGTCAGTACTTTTCAACAACTCGACTTTGTTCCGAGTTTTCATTCATCTTCCATTATGCGTTCTGAATGAACGATTGGCCTGCAATTGAAATTTCATAAATCATTTGCGAGCCAATACGCCCTCCGCTCGGTCCTCAATAAGCGCCATTACTCTGCAACTTTTCAAAGTAGTTCCTCTGGCATTCCTCGTCTCAAAACTTCAAGATTATTGAGTCGAGCTATCGAACTTTTCTTAGTTTTTTTTTCAATGAAGTTTTCAAAATATTTGAAGTTCGTGAAATCATTTTCGCTTCTCAACATTTGCCACATGGCGACTCCACTTAACGAAGGAACAAGGCGTCGTTTTCCTTTCCTCGGTATTTATGAGAAACCGCTGCTTTTTATTCGAAACTTCAGAAATCTAATTTCTTCTTTTGGGATGTTTTTGATCTCAAATAAATAGTATAAAAACACGTTCCCTGTTATAGAAAACTATGAAAAAAGGTGGGCCAAAGGAAAATCTCTGATATTTTCTTAACATTGTGAGCTATACAGTTTTTGATTGTTTATTTAATTGCGTTTTTTCTTTTCATTTTCTTTCTGAATTAATATTTTTTCTAGGCGAAATTCTTACCATAAAGCCGTTCTGAGGTTTTTTTTTTCAAGTATTCAATAACATCTTGAAGAGAGTTTTAAGAGCTCAGCTGTCTGGTACGACCTGAAAAAAAAGGATTACGCTTCTTTGCCTCAAGACTCTATATTCAAACCTTAGCAAGAAGTTTTGAACAGATTTTAAGTTATGAACTTTCGAATCTCCTAAAACTAAAACCTGGATAAGAAAAAAGAATCAGCTGTTTTCAGATTTTCTACGATTTTTGAAGTTTTCTGGAGGTGAATCAATAATTTCCTTTCGTTTTTACAGAGCTCTAATTGTTTTCATCTATTCACAAAACACTTTGGTTCAGATTCACCTCAAACTTGAACTAAAACAGCTCTTTTCCTATTCAAACAGGTTTCTTGAACAAAGAAAAGACACGAAACCTCGTTGGTTTATTCATAAAGTAACGCAATTAGACGGCAGAGCTCGCGAAATTCTCGTCCAACTTGCGGTTTTCGACCCGAGACGCTTGAACTCTTGCTTTCATTACTTTGAAAAGTGCCCAAACGTGAGCATTATTTTTCAATTAAACACGTTATTTTTTTTTTCAAAGCGGTTTTATTTATTATTGAGTAGCAATTAATAGAGATCTTGGATGAGAGAAATTTGATAGGGTTCCTTTTGATAAATCTGTTATATACTTTTTATTTTGCTCACAAACTTCTGTGAGGGAAATGCGCTTTGACCTTTTCATCTAAATTTGAAAAGAAGAGTTCTTTTTGAGGGAAAGTCGTTCTTCACTCGGAAGATTGTTTTTGTGGGACTTCTTTGGACTTTTTTGGCGCTCTCCAACTCTTGTAACATTTCATTTCTTCGGACTAGTAATCCCTCACTTTAACAAAAATGTCTTCCTTTTTTCTTTACTTTTTTTCTTTAATTGTCGTGATTTCGTGGCGACGACTTTGTGGACGGCTCTTCAGAAAATAGAAAAACCAAGTGGCAAAGAGCCAAGATCGCAGAATAGTCAAATTAGATTTTTTTTTCATTCATAGCGTTATTTTTTTTTCATTATTCGCAACTTTGAATAATCTTAAAAAGAAGTTCCGACTCCGTTTTCGAGATTTTTTTTTTCAGGCGAGTCCTGTCTGAAAATCTGCAAATCCTCATTTTCGTTTGTGAAACTCTCGTTCCATATTCAAATTCTTCACGTTTTCATCTATAACTTTACGTCTCCTAGATTTTGTCAAAGTAATTATGTTTCAAAATAGAAGTGAATATTTTCATCGAAATTCTTTATTTTGTAATGGGTAATTACTTCGAAGCTTGATTATTTGGCTCTTGATGGTTTTTCTTTAAAAGTTTGCAAAACTAAATTTGAACCTGTCTTGGTGAGATTTTTTTTTCATGAATCGTTGTACAAGGAAGGAGGAACAATGTGTTTTGGAAGTGAATCAGCTCAAGGAATTCGGTTAAGAGCCCCCGGCGGATAATTTGTTTTTGTGCAGTTCTTCTGCTGCCATTATTCACATGTCTTTGTCATTCGTGGATCTCGGGATTCCTTGGGACCTGGAGGAAGACTCGGGTTGTTATGCACCTTGTGTGGTGTTTTCGGCGGCACCTCGTTGTGTCCTTCGGTACCCACAATCAATCTTGCAAGAGCGCGAATTTCCGTTTCAATGCCTTCACACCATTTTTTTCCAAACAATTTTTTTGCTGTTCACGGCTTATTTGCAATTTGAAGCTCTTTCCCGTAACATTATGGCTTTTTTGCATAACGAGCCAAAAACAAAGATTTGTACGCGTTCCCATATTCCCAGCTCTCAGTTTTCTGTTCATATAGTATTAACTCCTATTTTCATGGCTCAAAATTAGTTGAAACATAATTATAGAATCTCGAAAAGAAAAAAAAATTAGAAATCGTTGTTAAAAAAATTTAAGAGTTGTAAGAGAATTAAAGTTTTACCTTTCGCTTTTAAGAAATTGCTCGCCAGCGAACATATTTCTTATTGGATTACACTTTTTGTTGTTAATCTGAAGACGCCTCTCTTCACGAAACTGTCAGAGGTTTCCATATATTATTTCCCTCAATTTTTCATACGCTAAAAATAATTGATGAACTGACGAATTTTCAACTCAAGGAATCTTCGAATCGGAGTTCAGACAAAAACAGCTAAAATGTGTACATGTCACTTGCTCATAGCGGTTCAATTTTTTCCCTTTTACTCGCGATGTCTTTATTTTTAACTGGTTTTCCATCTTTTTGTTTTTGGAACTTCGAGGACCGTCAAGTTGTTCTTCCCCCAATTTTTCTTTGAATTTTTTTATGATAAACAGTTGAGAATGTTCTTTTTTTGGAAATTTTAAAAAACAGACAAAAAGCTGACACAATCAACTTCTTGCTTTCTTTTGTTTTCTTGCCAGCCTTCTAATTGCTCCGTCTGATGAACTTTGACGTTCCGCGCCATTTTTGATCGAATCAATCTTCTCACTTTCTATAAGATAAAAGCTGACCCAGCTTCAAAGCAACAAATTCGAACGCTTTCATTTTTTATCGACGCCACCCTGAGGGCGAAATTTGCTCTATCCTCCGGCAATTCAGCTACCATTTGTCCTATAAAATAACAAATTGGAACATTCATTACTCTTGTAAATTCGAAAGACAGCCTAAGAGAGCAAAGAAGAGAAAAAAAAATAAAAGAATTTCTGAGCCTTCGCCTCAAAATTGGATTGAGCGTTGGGTGCATAGAGTGGAATAACTACGACTCCAGTTCCATCTCCTTTTCGGTCACCTTTTTTTGCAAATTGAATCATGTTGTTCACTCCAAAACTTGAGTATTGCCTCTTTTCAGGCTAGAACTTTGAACTTTTTCCCATTTTCTGCTTTTTTAACGCTCTCTGTTAAAGGTAAGTGAACTTTTTCGACTTCAAAACGAAAGGTGTTATTTTTTTGTGGGTTTCTTTTGTTTTTAGCCCCGGTTTTTTTCTTTGCTTTTCACTGAGGACCAACAAATGCGGAATTTAATAAAGGATATTGAGTTACGCTTTGTGTCGAGTGGCTGCGTGCCTCAGCGTAACCTTCCTCATCCATATAAAACACTAACGAATTGTACTTTCCTACAACAAAGATATTAACTTTCACTCGCACCCCTTCAAATTTCAACGTTTCCGAGTATTCACTCAAAAACTGAAAAACAGCAATCGAAATTCGATTTTTCTACGAGGCTTCGCTCTTCAGAATGTCACTGTGGTGGAGTCGAACTGTCCGAAAATACATGACCATCATGGAAGAAAGAAATAATAACTGAGCAAAAATACTTCGAACTTGATTTTTTGTGAGGATTGTCGACATATCTTGAAGAGCAGAAGCTCGATTGGCCCAATTCCGGCCATGACGACGCCCCTTTTTCGAATCGAGCACAACTTTCCCATCTCGTCATTCTTTCGTTCCTTTTCGCCTCACACGAGCGCTTGTCCAGCTCAAGACGGCTCAGACCCAGTCGCACCACAGAATCCTCAATGAGCACAAGTGAGAAGAAAAAATATCTTCTCTCTGAACTCTTCCCAAGCAAAGAACAAAGAAAGAGGACATATCTGGGAGTTGTTGCTCTTGTTCGCTGCGAAACAAAGATCTCCAAGAAAATACACCTATCCGATACTTCCATCGAATTTTCGGCGGTTGTTTTTCTGGGTATTCTGACAAATCTCTACAGGAGTACTATCGATTCGATTTTTTTAAAATTGACCTCTTTCTAAACTGGTTTGTCTCCAATATGATTTGCGGAGCCCAAACCAATAGCTCATTTTTGCTGAAATTGTAGATTTTGTTGTCTTCCGTTTTCTCGCCAACGGTCATATCCAGGGAACACCTCACTTTCGATGAAAGGAGATCCCAGACAATTGGCACAAAAGATGCGAGCCCAACCTCCTATTTTTAATCGGACAACCTACGTCACGAAGCCTCGTTTTGCAGCTTTTTATCCATTTTGTCACTCAACTTTCCATTTTTGGCTTTTTATTCCACCTATTATTTCACAATCGAATGCTCCCGTAAAGCTATTTTGCGAGTGTCTTTTTTCTGCCATAAAATTGTTTCAATACAGTGTGTTTCAGATGAAAATTTGTTTTTCGGTATTGAACACAATAGTTTTTGAAGATTTTCGATGGTATACAACAAAGAATTCGGCTCGAATTTCATACCAAAAAAAAAGAAAGAGAATTTGGAAGATTCTTAGAAAGAAATTAGTTATCCTAAATTTTACGAATCTTCAAACTCGTTAGATTTGAAAAAAAAAGAATTTTTCAGTTTTTTTGTAGCGTTACTCTGATTGAGACGCTATGACTGACTGAAGCTGTAAAAATTAATTGGTTTCAAAAAAAAAAAAAAGATTTTCCTTGATTTGTAGCTGTTTCTTTCGAAAAATCGCATTGTTTTGAAGAAGGGTTCACTTGGAATCGAAATTAATTATGGCGGAAGTTTCACAAACACAAACAAACGAGAGATTTGGTTACAAGGTTGCCGGAAGAATCCAGAAATCTCACTTCTTTCTTTTTTTCTCTTTGACCCTCTAGTACCCGTATTTGTTCTTAGTTTTTCAAATGTTTAAAGTGTCGAGAATAGGTTCTTCTTTTTTTTGCCGCCGCCTCCATTCCATCCTAAAAATCGGCTCTGTAAAGCATGGATTGGAATTAGCACACTATTTGTGCAAAGCTGATTAGAGATGCCTTCGGAGCCTAATGAGTCGAATTCTTTCTTCATTTATTTAGGCGAAGCCGTCTCCCCAAAACAACAGATCTGTGTTTTTGGCGAAGAAAAATGAAAAAGAGGAAAATAAAACAGTTGGATTTGTATGTGACTGTTTATTCATGCGAATCAAGTTTCTTTCTCATTTAATAGTATAGTCTATATAATGATATAGTGGTTGCCTTTGGTTGAGTCTTGGATAAGCCAAAATCACTAATTTCCGCGAGGGTAGGTAAACAAAGGAGAAAAAGTTAATAAGTTGTCAGAATCGATGGCGGCGGGCGTCAATCAGCCACTGAGCTTTCAAAACTTTGATAGATATATTTTTAGTTTTCTTTCTTTCCCAGAAATATAAAAAAAGGCGTTCTTCTGTTAGAAACCACAAAACAGTGGATAACGCGTTAGCTAAAGGTCCCGATAGTTCTGAGATTTTGGAAAATAGATTCATATTTTTCGAGGTCTTCCAAGTTTTCTTTCTCTCACTGCCGCAACTCTCGGTTTGCCTTTGAAATGAAACTATGAATGTTTTAAAATTTGAGAGAGTAAAACTGGAATTTTGGTACGCGTGGTAGTAAAGTAGATGATATGCGAACTGACCTCGTTGAGTAGAAGCTACCAGGATGTTCGGCAGGGGCGGCGGAGCTCAAGAACTTCGTGAATTATGGAGAAATAATGCGTGGCGACAAATGAGCCGTGAACACGCGGCTCGGCGGAATCTTTCCACTCACCGTTCCGATGTGTCCTTTCTCCGTCGTCTTCTGTCTCGTTTCGCTTTACTTATGACTTGATTCAATCTCAGATTTGTTATGATCAGCTTCATTCAAGGGTAAATACTTTTTCCTATGTGAAAATGTTCGGTTGGTCTTTTGGAGCGCCTTGCAAATCCAAAAAAGAAGAATCTTCTCATTTTTCCTTTGAAGGTTTCTTCATTTTGAGCATTGGAAAATTGATTTTAATTTTAAGTGGATCATTTTTCTAAATGACCTTCAATCGATTCTGGCCCTAGGTTTTCTCTCTGTTATTAGATATTGTAAATTGAATTGAGAACTGAGAATTTTTAACCAATTTTTTTTGCTATGTTTTTAATTTTTATCATTTAAAGGATTTTTTTTACAAATTAAGATTGCCAGTACATATAGGGAAACAAAAAAATTTTATATCTACAAAGTTATTTTGAAATTTTAATTATGTTATCACTGTTTCATATCCATGTGATTCACCAACCCCTATTTGGTAGTTTGGCAAGATTCAGCTCAAATCATATTTAATAAAGCTTTCTCTCTTTTATTTTTCAATAATACCCAATTTTTTTTCAAAATCTCAGCGTTCTTTTAGTTTCAAACACCACAATACATTTTTGAGAAAAAAATCTTTTTTTATTTCAAAAGGGATCAAAAATAAGTTCAAGTGAGCTGAGAAAGTGTCTAAGTGGTCAATAGGAAGCTGAAAATTGCACAACTCAAGGAACAAGTTACTACTGCACGCGGCGTTTTCCGAGGCCGCCCATTCAGCATTTGAGCCGCTTTTGTCCCGTTTCCCTCAAAGTCCTTTCATAGTAGCGTCTTTCCAGAGTTTTGACCTTCTCCAAATTCTTTCAATAACTTTTTATTTTTGCCTTCCTGTTCTTTTTTCAAAGTTTCCCTATTTTCCAGCGGACGATTATAATTTTCTCATCTTTGGTGTTCCGACGGTGGCCAAAACTTTTCCGAAAATCCCATTCAATGGGCATATTATGGGTTGTTTATGGGAGTAAATTAGCTTCTTCCATGTTTTTTCGCTCAGCAAATGGGTCCAAAATCTTTTTCTTTTCAATTTTTGTGTAATATACACATCTTCAGTTCAGACAGTTTAGATTTCTCATTTTAAATGTCTCTTCAGAAATATTAATTATTTTTTTTCTTAAAGATAGTTTTTTCTCTCATCTGAATCCTACTAGAATTATGTTTGAAACATGTTTAAAATAATCACGGCATCTTTTCAAACTGGTAAGTTTTTGATTCACAGGACATCCGAAAGTAGCTGAAAATGGCTCGAATAGTCTGAGACTAGTAATAGAAAAAGTTAGAAAATAAGCCAAACAAATAAGTTTTTTTATTTGAATTTTCCTTACAGTTTTGAAAAACGTGATAATACCAATTGAGGCTTCGGGGTAATAGGAAAGTTGGTCTTCATTTTCTTGTATGTACTAAATAAACATCCTGCCATTTGAAACATGCATGATTATTATTATTATCTCATTTCATCACGTCGACTGGTCGGCCTCTTTGCCGCTCTCTCATGGGATAATATTCCGACGCCCGTCAGCCCTGGACAAGCTGCGCGCCGTACTGTTCCAACATGGCGAAGCAGTTTATTCGCTGGTCCTGCCAACGGGCCCACATTATTTCCCAACGCTAGCTGTCACTCCGGGACGTATTGGACAACGATTGTGGACCGTAACCCGCGCCGACGACTAACTCTTCGATTATACCATGATTCAGCAGAGATTTTCTTCATCTTACTCTGAAGACTGAATAAATTGATATGAATTGATTGAAAAGTTACCACTTTTCGTGAACGAATCTCTCAAAGATTTTGCCGATAGTGCAATCCCAAAAAAGGAACTTTTGAATTTTTTTGTAGGTTAAAACTTTCAGGATATTCGTCTCTTACGTAAAAAAATCTTTTTCTCAAATTATGGTCGTACAGAATTGTGAGACTAAATCTATAATAGGGTTATCTAATCGTGAAAAAAATTTTTTATTCATCCAACTAAATTGCTCAGTTTTCATTATAAGAAACTTCAGTAACCTGCCCTGCATCAATCTTCAGTTTATCAAAGAACAGTTTTGACACTTGCTGAGGGATCTGCCAAAGTCAGAGTAATGATTGGATGTGTCGGTCAATAAATGCGCGCATTTGATGGATGTAATACACGGACAGACGTTGTTGCGACAATACTCGGGCGACGGCCGCGGCATCCCGACGGGCGACAGGCTCGTCGAGCCGCGGAGCAACTGTCGGCCACACGCTGCGGCTACTTTGGAGTTTCCTTCTCACGGCCCTCTTTTTTTTCCTTTCTGCTCTTTTTATCTTACGGACGGCTGTTTCCTCCTAATTTTGCTTTTTTTTTTTGTCGACACGACCGTTTCTGAATGACTTTTGCTTTTTATTCACCTATGGCATCAAAATTCTAAATTACCTCGTATTCCAACTCTTTTATCTCGTTTTTCGTCTAGGTTCGATTGATATTGTAGCCCGTTCACCGTTGGTTTAAAACACAATATTTTTTCAAATGTTTCGCTAATCGAATTTTGTTACGTTTTGTTCAATTGAGCTGCGAATGAACTATGCATAAAGAAAAAAAAAGTTTTTTGGTCATAACCCTATTTTGAGTAAATTTGAATTTTCTTTTTGAGAAGTGTTGGGAATGTCTCTGGAGAAGATTTTCTGAGATCTTTTGAAACACCGTGAAACTTTTTTGTGATGAGGAATTGATAGTATAAAACCTTCGTTGCAATTTTTTATAAATTCGTTCAGCAAAAAATTTGATTTTAGTCGAAACTAACTATTGTAAAGATGAATCCGCTCTTGTGAGACCACTCAAGCCTGGTCTTGTTTTTACATACACTTTTCTCATTAATTTTGGAGTACCACATCATTTCAAAAATTGTTTATCACGTTGGGAAACTAAAAAAAAAGTCAATATAGAACATTTTTGATGGATGTGAGAATCGCGCCCTTCGCTGCTAAATTGAACCTCTGAACTCACTCTTCTTTTTTTGCGCTAATCTGATACTTCTGCAAATTCCTATAGAGGATGTCAAAGATTTCCTCGATTGAAAAAAGAAATATTGATGCTATGAACTGTACGTCAGAGTAAATATTAATTAGGACGTCGACGTCAGTTTTATTTTTCTATAAATATCTTAACAACTTCGAAAACGACATCAAAAATGGACATTTCGCCGACGTTTCAAAAAGTCACTCGAGGCTTTTAGGCACAGCAACTTCAGTGAACCGATCCTCCCACACTTTTTTTACTCGAGAATATTCTTGCAATTTACCTAAGAGCACTAAAATATGTAAAAAAAGTTTTTTTCCAATGACATTGACTTTGTTTTTCCAAATTTCCAAACTTGGAAGTTTTTCGCGTGGAATTTGAAATGAGCCCTAGAGAATGAGAATTTCTTCGGCTTTTTTAAAATTTCAAGCATTTTGTTTGTTATTCTGAAAAAGATCAACGTTTGTTTTATGAAAAAAATTAAGTTTGCTCTATGGAAATTTACCTGATAACTATGAATTCAAGCCAATTTAATTTTTATTCCTTCATTGTTTTAACAATTAATCAGTTCATTTATTCGATTATAGGAAATTTGTGTCCCACAAGGCCCAAAGACCTACTGTGATAGTGAGAAGTGGTCGAAAAATCAAAAAGTCGAACTGAATTTTTGTATAGTGAAGACCTGGAGTATCATCTCCTGAACGTCAATGTTTGATTATAAAATTAACATTAACTTTAGTGCCAGTTTGAAACTAAATTCACTTTTGTGCACGGTTGTTGTTCCAACTCGAACAGCTGTTTATTCGAGCTCATCGAGGGTTTTTGCCGAAAAATCGAAGCCAGTGATATTGTGCTCCAAGGCAACACGACCGTTTGTCTCGAATATCCCACCAGCGGCGCTTTTTTCCCGGCAGATTAATTGCGGCGGCTGAATCTCTTCGAGATCTCTCAGGCTTCATGTTCCTTCGGCTCCTTTCAAAACGCACAGTTGTCAGTGGCTTTTCCGCAGGTTTTCTCCCGACTCCACGTGGACTCTCTTCAACCAACAACCACAACTCCCTGTTTCTAATTTTAGTTCAACTTATTCTATCGGGAAATGCTTTCAAATTGAAGTCCAGTTGTTCGTTTTCAATTTTGAAACGTTTGATTGTGTGTCTGCATTGCAAACCTTGATTCAAGAAGTTATTTCTTGAATTTTCATTCATTTTTCTTGTTCTTTCTTTCTCGTTAAATGAATTTTGATGAAAAAAAAATAAACAGTAACCGCAACAGCTTCTGTTTGAAGCTCTTGTTTTTTCAAATGAATTTCCAAAAAATTTCTGCCATTTGGGTGTACAAAAGTTCACACTGAAGTTTTTGAAATCAAACTATTCTCAAATTTTCGAAGAACCACTTCAAAGTTTTTTTATTCAAATTTCATTTACTGTGTCGTTTCATCATGCGAACTTTTTTTAGATTTCCAGGTGATATATTATAATTCTTAAGAATCGCAAAAACTTCTTAATTTCAAAGAAATATGCCTCAAAAGTTTCAACCGATAGCACAATCTTTATAAAAAAAGAACTTTGGGAAGATTTTTTTAATTAAAAAGTATTTATGATTGCAGTTATAAGGTTATTCCTCTATAAAACCGAGAATCTTTTCAGATATTCTCCTGGAAATCTTCAACCACAGAAATGACTATTCTTGTTGGAAAATAATCAACTTCCCATCATTTAAAATTAGTGAGAGAATGAAATCCCTAATTTCCTCAAAAAAATATCCAATAGTAATAAATCAATCTCAAAAATCAATACCAAAGCCTGAGCTGTTTTTCTCATGGGCCAGATCCCCTCAATCATCTCGAAACGGCTCATTTTCTTTGCCTCCGAAGTCCGACTTCCTTTCAACTCGAGTGAAAGCCCAAGTTCTAAGTGTGAAGGTCATAAAAGGGCATTTTGTGAGAACGAACGGCCGACCTCCCGTTTGTCGAGCCAAATCTGCCTCCGTCTACTTTTATTTCTTCTTTTTTATTTCCTTTTCAAATTCATTCTGACGTTCGAATCTTCAGTTTCGTTGCAGTATCCGTATCAGAGAACAATTTTTTCTTTTCACTGACTTTTATTTCTAAATAATGCCTCCTTTTGGGTGCTTAATCTTCAAAGCGTTGAGTAGAATTATTTTTAGATGGAATACATCATTGTGTGCTTTTTAAAAAAATATTTCTAACGGTGCTAAAAAAATTTCAAGAACTAAAATGTAGGAATTTCTATGACTCTAATGCTTTTTCAAGAAAAAAATTGCGATTGGCCAGAATCTCGGAATTATGTTTACAAATAATTATTTAGTTCATTTTTTTGATCTAAGAATTGCTGGAGTTTTCGATTCTCAGTTATATGCGCAATTTTTTTCAAATTTCGTTCGAGAAAAGAAAAACGCTCCGCTGTTCCATTTTTCATAATTTTCTGGATTTTTCGAAAAAAAAAATTGCTAACTTATTTTGAATTTTGAATGTTCGTTTAAAGCCTTTCTTCGGACTTTTGTGTTCATTCGCAGTGTGCTCAATCGATAGAGTTCAAAGATTTCGAGACGACGCTCCCTTTCAATTGATTATCGTGTGATTGTCACGAAATTCGGAATATTATATTCAAATTGTTGTATCATTTTTTTTTTCCTTTTCATTTCAACCCTTTTTGTTTCCAGCGGCTTTGTTTTCGAAGGCACGTTGTGTCTGTTTGTAGCTTTCTCCTTATTTATCCTTCCTCAATTGCAGGATTTTGTTTTTTAAATAAACTAAGACGTCTGCCTTTTCCGGGTGCAAAACGATAAACAAACAAAAGAAAAAGTGACGCCATCTTATCCGCAGTTATCTTTTAATCCGCGGTTCACAGACCCTCCATATCTTTCTGAATAATCCCCACTCCAATCCTCTCTTTTTACTTTTGAGCCTCAACCCGGTACAAAATCTTGTTTTCACACTCTTATTTCAAGAGTCTTTGCGATCAACTTTCAGTTTTTCGTTTCTATCTTCATTTAAAAATGTTTCAATTTTTTCGAAAAGCATTTCGGAAGAAAAAATGGATAGTTTGTCGGGAAAGGAAGAAAATAGGCAAAAATATTTCCGAATTTCGATAAAAGAAGGTTCTGATTATCGAAATATGACTGACTAGTTATCAAATTCTTTTTCATATCAACAAAAATAAACGCAAAAGTTACAGTTTCAAAGAGATAAGTAAACATTGAAATCAAAGCTTTTGCACATCAAGCTCAAGATTTGGAATATTTTCCTTCGATATGATAAAATCCGTCTGTATTGAGGAAATCCTTAGTAATATGCGACGAAGAAGTTCAAAAGTCTGTCGAATATTTATTTTTTCAAGTAAGCGATGTATGGAATACATCATTTTGAGTTCATTCAGCTCGTACCTCGTCATTTTTTTTTTCATTTTCGAGATTTTCAAATGGACAGTTTTGCAGTATGAAAAGCCGTGGCGTGACCGGCATCCAGCCCTAAAGAAGACGTCACGCCTCTGAGAAGTCGTCCGACGGCCCACGGTCAGGAACTGCGCAATCACTTCTTCTCAACTTGAGCCACGTCTTCAGGATTCTGCGATCGGCCGGCGACGCGCCGACGACGTCAAACACGACGACTTCCCACAACCACGTTTCCGGCATGCGTGCGGTCAGTTCCATTTTTTGTTTTTGTCTTTTCTCCTTTCAACAGGCTTTCGCTTATTTGCTTTCATTCACCTCCAAAGGTAAGCTTTTTCTAAAACTTTTTTATGATAAAAAATAAATAAGAGAATGTATTTCGCAACACAACGGAGTATCTTCAGATTTTAACTCCTTCAATTTCATTTTTTTGATTGGTTCCATTCGATCCGTGTCCGCAGGGATCAGATATTTTCGATTTTTTTTTGTTTATGAGAGAATGTTTTTTTCTGATTGAGACTGCTAGGCCATAGGCACAATTCTTGATCTTTTCGTACAGTTTACACTCGGATTTTTCACGATTTCAAATTTAGCTCAATGTGGAGAATTAGAAGAACTGTTCTCAGGCTTGCTCCTTAGAAAAACTCAATCTCTACTAATGGACTTTCTAGGCAGTAATAATATCCGGGGTTTCTACCTGTTTGACCCAAGTCGTCGTTTTTTGACCTGCAAACTCAGGAAGAACGTGCCTTGAAAGACGGAATAAATTTTTCTCGGAGGCACGAGAAATTGAAGTTGGTCCCATCTCTTGCCGACTTCGACTTCATCTCAACTTGTACCGGATATCGACTGCTTCAGCCCAACAAAAAATGACCGAACAGACACGCGACATTTTTTTTGTGAAAGTCGGCCGGATTCCCACGATGTGCATTTCGGATTCGCCGCCGAGAGGCTTCTCAGGCTTCAGGCCGTGACGCGTTTTTGCTCCCGTTTCCGCCGTTTATTCGAGAATCAGAAACACGCCGCCGCCACGCCTGGATTAGTACCCTTGCACTATAGCCGCAGCCGTTCCTTTTCCATTTGAAACCATTTTTGCAGGTTTCGCGCTCAAACATTATCTCTTTCAAACTCCTCAGAGTTTATCGGCTTCTTTCGTTTTATTTTCTCGCCTTTCTGTTTTTGGTTCCCTTTGGGAAAAAAAAGTTCGTTTTTCTGATTTTTTAGCTGAAAATGAACAGATTTTACTATGTTCAGCAGCAGAATAATTTATAGGTGAAATGATATTCCGGCAAGAAAAGAGAGAAGGTACGGGTTCTGCATTTTTTGAACGAGACTATCATAGATCTGAATGATAAGATGAAGGTTCTGGAAAAAAAGCTCCGAAGAAAGTTTTCCACAAACTTTTGAAGACATGTCTAATGGTCAAAAACCTCATTATTCTGTTTTCTTTCTAATAAACTTTCAAACTGAACTCAAATCCTTATTTTTTTCATCAATGAAAAAAAATAAGCTTTCCAAGATTTGGCCAAAAAAATTGGAAATTTTGGAAAAAAGTGAGAAATTGGAATTTCAAGTTTATTTTTGGCGTCGAACTACTGTAGATAAGTCTGCTGGAGCAGGCTTCTGGTGACGTCACTCTCTCATGTTGCGTTCCAAACCAACTTGTGTTTCAAGAGCGAGAGGAGAGACCACGGCAAACTTTTCTTCTGCATTTTTTGCGACAGCGCACTTGTCGCTTTTTATGATTACCGAGACTCAAATTGCACTTTCAAGTCTGTCGTTCCGCTTTCTGAAAAAGGTGCGGCAATTTTTTTCTTGCTTCCCGAGACGAACTCAATTTGTCATCTCGTCAGAATTGCATACGACTCAATTTTGGACGGATCCGACGTCGGAAAATGCAACACTCACACCTTTGCCGCCATTTCTGATTGAAGCTATTTGTCTTGGACTTTTATGGGAGCTCGCCTTTGTCCTTTCCTTTTTCAAAACGATTTTTACACTGGTCTTTTTTCGAATTTGTTCAAAAAGAGAAGCTTTGTCGGTTGTTCTATCTGAGATCTTCAGAAAGAAAACTTCTTTGAATACAAATCCGTGTCTTGCTGCTTCCTGTGCTTTCATAGCTCTCAGATCCGCTTATTAGACTTTTCGATGCTCTTTTTCTCTCTCAAAACTTCGCTTTTTCCGTTTTCAGCCTTCTGGTCAACGTGAACTTTGATCGTTCCTCATTCAAGAGATTAAATTTTCGCGTCTTCTGTTTGTCGCGCCTTTCAATTTTCCGGATGAGTTTGCTTTAGGCCTGAAAATGAGATTATCTTCAAAATCTGCATGTTCTAAATTCTAAAACATTTTTGAGGAGACTTACGCCGAGCACTCTTTTTCTCAAAGAATGTTGAAAGTTTCCAGCTGGATTTCCAAACGATTTACTTTATAAGCAGCTTGAGGAGGACCCCTCTCAATTCGCTGTAAATGGTTGCGAACTCTTGCATTCTCCGGAATGAAGGATCAACCGTGGATTTGCACCGGATTCCGCCCCAAAAGCATTATCATTATCATGGCTGATTGCCGCGGCCTCAGTGAGTTCCGATGCTTCGCATGAAGCTTTTCCCTCGGAAGCTCACGTCTTCTGGCATTCTGGATCCGAGTGAACTTGAAGACGTCGCACAGTTTGGCCGTCAACGTCCATCTCACATGCCGTTGTTCTCAGGCCGCAGTACCTTTCGGGTTCGTTCCTATTATAAGCATACTCGATTTTACGGGAATTTTTTTTCGAGTTTTGTATAAACTATATATAGTCAATCCTTCCCGACTTGAAAGACAAGATGAGTTGATTTTCGAGAGTGAAGCGCTGCGTGCGCGACGCGGTTTTCAGCACTTAGAGATCAAACGCGAGCCGCCTTTTTTCTCCATTTTTGGCGGTTTTTTCAATGAGTTATAATTATTTATGGGTTTGAAAAAATTCAGTTGAACAAATAAAAGTATAAAAATATTAAAAGGCTCATTTGTTTTTCTCCATTTTTCCACGATTAAATTTTACCTAGAAGTCCGGTTGAAAGCCGCGTCGTACACGCAACGCTTCACCCTCGTTGCACTACCCATCTCGCCTGTGAAGTCTGGAAAAAGACTATTCACCATTCAAATTTTTCTTTAAGAACTTTTTTTTTCAAAATAAATATGGCGTTCATTCAGAAGTTATAATCAGCGGTAAAAAGAGGAACTATTTGTGATAAAATGTCTTTTCCAAAAAGAATGAGGTTCAGAAAAGGCGGAATTAATTATGCACATGTCACAAAAATCTGTTCGTATACCTAACAACTTCCTAAGTGTTTGTTAATTCATTTTGAATTTTCAAAAAGTGTCTTGATTCACTTTTCGGATCTTTTTCTTAATTTTATTCTTAAAAACAATGAAAGGAAAGTTGAAATCTTGTCAACAGAGTGTAGTTTTTTTTCCTCCTGGAATGGCTAATGGGCATAGGATATTTGTTTGTTTGTTGCGTTAAGCTGCGGCTTACATTGTTTTTAGGAGTCTTGGCAGCAACTAACCCAATTATTGGACCTTGGGAAAAAAGAAACGACCGCCGCTCAAAATGTAAGGGGAGAGCCTTCGGGCGCTTTGTGCCACATCGTCTCGCACAAGTCCCGCGGCTACAAAAACATATTTTGCTTCTCTCCTGGCTGATTCACACTTGCACCTTTGACTATCACATGTCAAACTACTCTGACCTTTTTGAAATTGAATTTATATATATTATTAGACGGACATCGGTTAAAATCTCGCATTCATCATTTATTACTCTGTCAAGTTCATAAAATACTTGGAATTTTTGAAGAAAAAAATTCACTTCAACTTCTGCGAACTTTCTGTAGGGAACTCAAGGAAGATGCATAAAAGTCTTAAAGCGAGAATTTTTTGTCACTTTAATAATGAGCAAGCTCGATTTATATTATTTTTAACCAGAGAGCATTTTCGAGATTATTCCCCAATTTTAAGCCGCAATTCAACTTACGTTTATATCCAGAACCTTCCAAAAAAAAGTTCTGAGCAACTCATTTTGCTCTTCTTCCGTAATTGGAAGCGCCGGATGCCCAAGGTTACCGCTTCTCCTACAAATTTTGGGGAATTTTGTTCGATTTCTCGTTTCGAAGGTATCAAGTGACTCTTTCGCTATCCCTGCGTGGCCGAGAATTCCAAATAGTCACTTTTTCTTTTCTCTCCAAGCTTTTCTCTTGGTCAAAAATTGTTATTTCCAAATTTTTGGTTCAACGGGTACGAAGAAAATAATTTGAATTTGAATTGGCGCGCTCGGGCAATTTTTGATCGAAAGAGAGAAATATCTTTGATGATTTCTTTTCTAGGCATAGTGTGAATTAAAGGAAGATTGGATTTTTCAAGGCCGATTTTTTTCTCGTTTCATTAAATTGATTTCAATGGAAGATTACAAGATTTGGTCCCTGCTCCTTCACTAAACGAGAATGATTTTTGAACAACGTATACCTGATTTTACCTTTTGGCCACTGAAATGTGTCAGAATACAATAACTGTATGAAATCGACGGCGAACCTACTTTATTCATTTATTATTTCAATTTTCCTACATATATGAGTTTTTTTTTCACAGCAAAACGAGTTTCTCGAAACAGTTATGAGTCAATTTTGTAGTTGGACTTGTTCGAAGAAGACTAATTACTATCAAAAAGACGAGAATTGTTTTCGCGACCTCTGTTTTGCCTCTTTGCTTCCTTTTTCTTTCCTTTGTTTGTTGGTTGAGAAGCGAAAAATCGTCTTGAATGAGTCGAGTAGCCTTCAGACGATTTGCGAAAAATTGTCTTCTTCAAAATATGCACGGACCTCGTAAACGAAGAAAAATGTATTTTCGTCTTCAATTGTGGAAATTCACATGAGCCCAGCAACAAATGTCGCAACTCCGTGTGATAAGTAAGACCTTCGGAAGGACCGTTCATCAGCGACGCGGGAAAATATGCGAGCTTTTGCTAATTGCCTCTATTCCTTTCTTGTGTGTCTCGGCTCTTCTGGTCTGCGCATATCCGTTTCGTTTCGGCGTGGCTCCTCTTCGGCAAACTCGCCTTCTCACATAAATTTTTCCTTTTTTTTGCTTTTGTCAACTCTTCGTTGTCCAATTTCCCGATCTGAAAATTATGGTAAAATCAAAACAACCTGACGAGTTGTCTGAGAGATTGGAATAATCTTGTAAAGTTTAACCGCTACACTTCTTTTTGTGTTAATTTTAGCCAAGCTCGTCCTCGAAATAGCGCAGCCCAAAGGTTTTTTTTTCGATTTTCTGAATTTCTAGCCTTCCTCTATACAGTAAAATTGAGCAAGAACTTCCCTCTTACAATCATCGAATATCTGCTCGCAAACACCTTTCACATCTGCTTGAGTAGTTTGAACTAGGTCGGAACTTCAATAAATTCTTTAAACGTCGCCTGCAATAAACTTGGGGTCTATTTAGAAAGTTTCAAATCTGAAACTGAAAATTAGGTTAAAACCCAAGCAGGCGAGCCAATACTCATTTTTTTTTTTCCAATTGGATCCCTTTCTAATTGGCTCCTTTTAAATATTGTCGGCAGGTCCTCAGTCTCTTCTTTGGCCTCTTTGGTTTTTATTTTCTTGGAATCTTCATTTCGTCTATTGATCAAAAAGAAACTTTGAAACTTTTGAAACTTTTATTCAGTCTTCAGAGTAGGTTCTCTGCTGAATCATGGAATAATTGAAGAGTTTTTTGTCGGTTCGCGATAATGTCGTTGATCAAGCGTAGAGCATCTCGCCTCTCTTGTGCTAGTAGTAGACGATTTTCGAACGTTTTCGACGATCACTGCTTCTCCATGTAGGAACAGTACGGCGCCCAGCTTGTCCAGGGCTGACGGGCGTCGGATTGAATCTCGGACGAGAGCGGAAATGAAGACCGACCACTCGGGTGGTAGAAATGAGATAAAGAGCAAGGTCATTATTTGAAGAGTTCGGTTTTTACGTCCTCCAAATCGGACTTTTCTCAAAAGCTTTTGCAAATTTTCTCACGTTTTTTTCTGTGCAAGTTTTAATTAGGCTTTTGCAATAGAAGGGCAAATAAGGCCGAGAAATTCAAACACCTGAAATGGAAAGTGCGTCACAGCAGACCTTCTTACTTTTACCGCTTTCCGAGTTTTGAAGTTTCTGAGTTTAGAAAACTGATCAATGAAGACCTTCTCCTCGATTTTATGTCTCTGCGCCCGCGAGTTCGTTCAACGTTGATCAGGAACTACGGTAGCACAGATAACGAAAAACGGTTTTTTAGAGGAAGACCAAAATTCAATCGGGGAAAAATCCATAGGTTCGAATGAAAAATACCATTAACCAGAGAAAATGATGTAAAGTATGATATTATAAGAAAAAGAGTGAAGAAAAAATGTTTATTCTAATGGTCTTTGAATATTTCCTAAAAAACATTTTGTGGATTCTTTAAGTTATTAGTGCAGAGTTTCAGTTCAGGAGCAATCGATCATAGCTTATTTATTACTGTAGAAAAACTCACTAAAGTTAGAAAGCCTTCTTTTATTTCGTGATCAAAAGTTCACTTGAGGAGATGAGCGTAGTGATGGCCCTGAATTGGCTCGTCAAGCCGGGACTGATTCGGGACCGGAGAAGCGCGTTCTGCCTTGATCTTATTAACGCATTGATCCCACACTCGGATGCACATCGAGGCTCTGTTTCGCCGCCGGCTATTCTCCTCATTTTCCGCTGCATTAACACTATCTCTTTTTTTGCCGTTCAATTCTTTGATCGCCTTTTTGGCCGGTTTTTTTCCACAAAGTCTCTGCAAACATCTTTCAGCCAAAGTTCTTCGATGTCTCGTTTTTTTTTCTTCAAAGCTTGACCAGCAGAAGTGCTTATGAGCTTTTTTCCTTGAAGGATTTTTTTCTTTGAGTTCAAGAAAGAAGAATATAAAATATTCAGTAAAATCCAATTTTGTGGCTTCAATCAAAATTTTCGGTGATTCCTCTCATTATTTTTTTCATCCTATTGTTTCTAAATTTCTTTTTTTTCGTGTTGCCTATTTTCCTGGAACTCTGCCAGAGGTCTTCGAGTGAACTTGAATGGCAATTTCCTTATTTGGACGGCAAAATAAGAAGAAAGGCCGAGACTCCACCTTATAGATAAAAAGACGCTTAGCATATCCGAGCGCGTAACATGAGCAACGCGCTCTTTTCAACTAATTTACTTTTAGGCTCATAGTTTCGAGTCTTGTCTAACCCAATAACGAGATGAGTTTTGTTGATCCTTCTTTTTCCTTCCTTTTTTTTCTTTCTTCTCAAAAGTTCATTCTCTATGTGTTGGTCCTTTAAGTTGAGAGGCTAGGAGTTTCTGAAAAAATAAATGTTTAATGGTTGTTAGGATGTAAAAATGACCTTAGCTTATTTAAGGAATATACAATTTTTTTGAAATGGGTAATAGAAAATGGTAATTTTTTTCAATTTGGAAATTTCAGCACTTCGTCCTTTTGAAAATATTAATATAATAAACAGTAGTGCTGTAGTTGTCTAGACGACTGACTTGAGCGTATATAAAAAAGAAGAAAAAAAAATTGAAAAAAAAGAAAACTCTTAATATCCCAGAAACATGGAAATTTACAGTAGACTTTGGAAAAGCATATGAAGTCGAATATTATTAGGAATATCGTTATTTTTTTTCAGATCAATTGGTCAAGCTTTTCTGTTTCATCTGAGAAAAAAAATTTGAAAATCAAAAGCTCAAAGAAATTTTTTTTTGTGAGTATCCAGATTTCAAGTTTTTCTTGCCATCCGGTCATTTATTGGTCAAGCCTCACCGACTTGTCGGCATTATTCAAAAACTGTACAATTGCATAGACTCTGGGAAAGAAAGGACAGTGAAAATTTGTGCAGGATGAGAGAAGAAGCTTTTTTGGCGTGATTCGGATCAGAAAATAAGGACAGAAGAGGAGGTCGCCGTCGATTAGATGATGCGATCGACGGCACTCACGCGTGCCTCCATGAATTAATTCGCGCATGTGTGCTCACTCTCGTCCTCTTCTTCGCTCCATATATGGGCTCGCCGGACTCGATTTCGGCGTTTTCCGGCCACCACCTCCAACTTGATGATTTATTCCCACTTCCTCTCCCATTCACTCTCATTTTCCTCTGTCTTTGACCTTTTATCCCCTTATCACTCATTTTCGAAAAACAAAACCTTGGATTTCGTTTTTTAACTTGTCCCTCGAAAAAAAATAGTCAATTATTTATGTACCGTAACAAAAGTGTAAACCCTATGATTCTCTCGGATCTTTTTTTACGAATCTGTCCTTGTTTCAAGATTTCTGAATATTACAAATACGCTTTCTTCACTATAATTCTATGAAAATCTAAGTTGAATAATTTTTTTCGTCATTTTTAGCATATTCTTTTTTACGAGTACTATTCCGGATCTTTCAGTACATTCTTCTCATTTATTATCTTTTTTTTTTGAACTTCATTCGGCTGCATTTCCTTTCAGTTTAGTTTTAGAGGATTTCTCCAACCTCTTGTTTTCCAAAATACTGGTGTTGGAGCACGTGGTAGAATTGACGGATGCCCCCTTTTTTGTTCAAATTTCTTCCAAATTATTACAACGAGACGAGATCGCGGCTCTGGCCAGGGCTTTACGAGCATTTATTCACTTCGGCCCCACCTTTTTATGCTTTCCTGTGTTTTTCTTTCTTTCTGATCATTGCTATCGATTTTTCCCACGTCTAAATAGAAACGGGATAAGAGGAGTTTGCGGAAAAAAAAAACTCTAATTTTTCGCATCGTCGGTTTCTGAAAAGAAAAATGAGGAAGATGTGAGAAAAGGCGGCTTTCAGCTGTTTCCTTTTGTTTTTTGATTCTTTCATTTTTTAGTAATAAATTTTCAAAAAAAGCTTGTTTTTTAGTATGTTTGATTCCAGAAATAATAAAAAGAATAGCATTTCTGTCTTCGAAGACATGACGATCGAAAAGTGTCAGAATTCTCAAAGGATCCGCTTCCTCCTTGGAAACGGCCATTGTCTGCTCCATGGGCAACCGTTGTTTTCTTTTTTTCCGTTTTTTCATGTTAAAAAGGAAAATAGGAGCTACCAAAACACTAACCCAGTTAGGTCCAATGCAACAATTCATTTTCGGGGGGGTTTTTTTTTTGTTTGAGTTGTCAGTTTCAGTTTTTTTCCAGAACGATTTGAGTTATGACAGGACTAGTGTTTTTTAGTAAATAAAATTGAAGAACAAATAATACAGCGGAAATCGATCACCGAGGTCATTTTATCGAAGAAATGTTTTTTGTTTACCTGTGTACTACCTTTTTTCATGCGACTTTTCTGAAGCTCCTCCTTCATTCAGAATTTTTCTCGTTTTGTACTGTCATTTTCCATCGACTCAATTTCAAGAATATTCATGTTTTCCACGTCGTTCTGAACCGTTACCAAGCCAACCAGACGGCCTTTTCTCCTGCAGGACCAACAGGACAGAGCTGAGGGCGGTGGACAGCAGCAGTTTGCCGCGTCGATGGACCGACACCTCGGATGAAGACGGCCGTGTTTGGTCGCGACTCAGGCGCCGAGCCTGGCTCTCCATGTGGAGCACCGCCGTCACTCACGTTCACGCCGCCGGCGACGCTGGCCCCGCCGCTCCATCACAATCGCGGCAACCGTTCGGCGACAGGCTCGGTCGCCGGCGCGACTGGCGGCCAACGAAACAGCGGCAGTGGCACGTCGCGTCGCACCAGTCGCATGCACAACGTCAGCGCCTTGGGGGTCCGTTTTTGTACTTTTTCGCTTTTTCTTTATTTTGATTGTGTCATTCTGAATTTTTCGCTGTTCATGAATGGACTCGACTGGAAAGCTGTCTTTATCTCATTTGATAAAACAAAACCGAATAGGTAGTTATTGTAGCGTACGTCGCTTAGAGGGTACTCCTGCTGCAAATTTTTGTTTTTATTTTTGAAGGACCAGTCTGGTGAAAGAACTTGAGGAGAAGTTTAAAATTTTAAAACTAATTGAGGACGCGGGGGGAAGGGGTTAGGAAAGCTTGCTGTAAAGGCAATTATATTGGTTTGTGAGAAAAAAGACCAAAAAATAATAACTATGACACGCTATATCGATAATTGGAATTCAAAAACTTTTTGAGTTCAACATACCCAGGCAATTTCTTTTTTTCTGAATTTGTCCTTAATTTTTCTTTGCAAACTTTAGGAAAATCAACAAATCTAATGATCCTCTTTTTTTCACAAATTAGTTATTTTTAATGAATTTTAAAAAAATTTCCCGTTCATTTTATTTTTACGTTTTTTTGCGAATCTTCAAATTTTTTTCAAATGACTTTTGACCTGATCTGACTCGTCTTGTTTGTGTGATTCTGTGCCGGAATTCAATTACACGAGGTTCTTCGTAATGGAAAAAATTTCTGATGGAAAAAGGCTCAAGATTGTGCGTGATACGGTTGACTAGCATTGTGAAACTTTCAAAAGCTTTTATTAACTATTTTTTGGGGAACCTTTCTACATTTTTTCTCTTTTGGTTGTCAGTTTTTTATCTACTAGAGAGGAGTATTCACGTTTTAAGAAGTTTTATGGCGTTTTTTGCCCTGGTCTTCAGGTTAATAGGCCTAATAAAAATGACCGGACTTTTAAGATAGTTTATAGTGCAATTTTGTTTTTTCGGAAAAAAAAATATTTGGGCGTTTTACTATTTCTACGCTTGTAAAAGTCATATCATCAAGGTTTTTTAAATTTTCTTTAACTTATAAATTTCGTATAGTAACCATATTAACAATTCGTAAAGATTATTTTTTGTACATCTAAAAAAGTGTTTTTGTTCGTCTAAATAGTCTTCTGAAGTATCAATAATGCAAGGAATTGTTTTCTTTAAACGGTTCGGATCAAATAAGAAGCTAGTATTCGAGCACGCCTACTAGGAAACGACGTGATTAGAAAGAAGATCCAGCGCTTCGTCATTCTCAATTTTGCACTTTTAATTCGCTCCCTGGCCTTTTACCTAATGAGATTTGCCTCTCGGATCTTCGCACTTTGTCCTTCTGTTATTGGTGTTTTCTTTCATCTTACATTTAATTGAATTATCCATTTTCACCCTGTCTACTTTGACGTTTTTACGCCAATTTCATTTTTTTCAATTTTTTATAGTTAGGTGGCGCAGTTAATTAAGAAAAAATGTTTTCGAAACAATTTATTAAAATTTTTTTTAACGAGCTTTGGAACTGGCACGGAAAAATTTGATTTTTTTTTTCAAATATTTGATGAAAAGTCTTTTATTTAGAATTTCAGGATTTTTTCAACAAAAGGTGAAATTTCTGTGAATCTCCATCTTCTCAACTTCCCATAATTCAAGTATATAGTCTCACTTAGCTGTGAGAGTATAACAAAAGAGTAATCGAACGTTGAAAATGAGAAGTTGAACAAATTGAGATTTTTCGGACCTTCATAAATAGATTCGAATGTACTAGATTAGTACACTCGACAGACTTTAAACATGCTTTCAGCAAATTCCAAAGTTTCCGGGAAGACAACCTTTTTTGTAAGGAGTTTATCATTTTCTTTGAGAAATTAGGACTAAAGTAAGTATTATCGCGATGGAAAAGCAAATACTTATAAAAATGGATAATTCAGAATTGCAGACACTAAATGCAGATACCAAAACAATCAGATATAGTCCCTCGAAGTTCTCAGAGTCCAAATTCAAAAGGAGTGACCACTTAAGATGAAAATATATCATTTAGACCTTTGTGCTAACTTTCGAACCGATTTATGAGTTTCAGTCACTGTTGAGACGCAAAAATGAATGAAGGTGCTGAAAATCACAGAAGCACGTTGGGGCTAATTTGTAGCTCGACGCGCAAAAAGGAAATAGGAGGGAAACAGATGGAAAAAAGAGCAGAGTGAGAGGCTAATTTGTGTCGTGCCGCTAATTCCTTTCTTTTTTTGCCACGTCTTCTTTTCTCACCGTTGAACGGCGTCGTGACGCCTTCCGATTCCTCTTATCGCACGGATTTTCCATCACTTTCTCCTCTTTTTCTCCATTTTTTTCTTTTTTTTTTCTGAAAGGTCTCAGCAGAGTTCTGAGGATCTTTTTTTTGTACCGGGAGTGACCGGAAGACCCAAGAAATCCTCGATCTATAAGAACGCATCTGGAGGTACTGAAAATTTCATGAGCTCCATATGCATTCCTCCGTCGAGCAAAAATCTTTCAATGAAATCCAATTTTCATGCGATTCTCCGTGGAAAAGAAAGTTTAGATCAAACTTACCCCGACAATAGGTCGAAATTGCGCGTTTCGGACCCTCCAGTTGCACGGCTTCTCGTCGAAAACCTCTCTTTGAAGGTCATTCCACTAGGTTTTTGAATTTCTTTCAGCTTTCATTTTTTTTTCTTGGAAAAAAGGAATCCTTGTCACTGTTCGAGCTTGAAGCTTTTCTTTGAAGATAATGAATGTAGTTTCTTAAGCCTCTTTGTTTTCTTCAGCCTCGTGCAATTTTCTTGGAAATTTTTCATCCCTATGTAATGATGGTTTCTATTGACCTGTTATAGAGAAAACCCCTCTAGAAATTCTTTTCGATAGACTGTCTGCTTTTTGAAACTTTTTTCGCACTTTGATTTTTTAAATCAAAATTATATTTTTACGTCAAAGTCTTCTGAATTGGAATTTCACGCTTTATTCGAGCCAAAATATTTTTTTTTTAAACAGGTGCAATTTTTTATGTGAAGGCTCGGTCTACGCATCTTGATTTTAGTTAATCTCCTTCGATTTTTCTAGAAGTTCTGAGAGATTTTTTTTCAAATTTAATACATTCTGCGTCAATATCATTATAATGAGCTCCTCCGAACTGAGAAATCTTTTCGCTCAAGCCTCAAGACCTTTTATTCCAATTCGCAAGCGGTTCAGTCCACAAAATGCAACGAAAAGAGGTTTTTTAACGCGAAAAGTGGCTTGGAGGTCAGCTGCGATGCTACATCGGCCAGGGCAAAAGCTCACGCAGCTCATCATCTCCAATGGCTATATTCAGGTCAGTTCCTACCGATTTTGGACTTATTTTTTCTTTTGTCTATGCTAAGCCGCGTTTATTTTTATTTACTGAGGATCTTTTCATGGTAGAGAAATTCGGCCAAGTGCCTATCTTGAATTCGGAAACTTCCCTCCACGGCGTACCGAATGAAGACAAAAAAAAAGGTTTTTTGAGGTTACAAGTTCTGAAATTATTTTTACTTTTTGAGCGTCCTCGCTCCTTTCTTGAAAAGGTGACGCGAAAAAGCGTTCGTTCGCTTTTCATGAATATAACCTGCAGGTTTTTCTTCGCACCTCGAATGGGTAATTGTCATGGAATTGTCTTGGGGCTAATTGTCCAATATTTTACAACGCATAACTTCTAACGTTCTCGCCCTAATTTGCCGAAAAGATTATCGCGTCGGCTCACGCGAAATCGCACTTGAAGGCACGATTGAGGGCTCTTGGACTTTCTTTCGCCCAGTTTCCTCTTTGTTTGTCTCAAAGTTTTTGGTAAACCTTTTCTCTAATGTCCTTCTCGCACATCTGCCACAGGATTACTGTGTTGAGTATGATCGCCGACCAGTTCTTCGCTTCTTTTTAAATCTGAAACTTTGTGAGCGAAAATTTTTTTTTGTAGGACAAGAAGAAAAACTGCCAAATGTTAATTATTTCTCGAATTATTGAATTTTATCTGATAATTAAATTGTTTTTCTGCTCGCTTTCACGGAAATAATAAGTCATCATCAACCTTTTCGCCGATTTACCTTCAGAAAACGTTTGAGAAAGTTAAAATAGAAAAAAAAAACCATTTTTCTCGTATTTTTCCATTGATTTTCATTGTTTATTCCTTTTAACTTCTCTTTTTTGCTCCGAAAAAGAGTTTTTTCTTACGATCACTTTCATTTGAAATTAGAAATGAAAACCACAAACATAGTTATATCCGAAAAGACCGCGAAAAGAAATTTGTTTCGCAATTTCACTTGGAAATATAATGCAAGTTTGCACTGTAGTACGTCGAGTTTTGCAAGTTGCCAATTGTTGGGCGAAACGCCTCGACTGACAGGCCTGAGATACTCGAGTATTCATGAAATATGAATGTGGCTGAAACTGCCGCCGACGGCCTTTCCGCGCCCTTTTTCTCCTTCATCCGATTTCTGAAGGCGTTCCTATGACGTCACCGCCGCTCCAGAAGGCCTCGACGGTGTCGACGTCGTCGCAGAATCGCCTATCTCACCATCACATTCTCAGTCCACACACTTTGGTCGTGAGTTTTCTGTGTATTCCAGAAGCTTCAGTTATTATTCATAGGCCATACATAGGCAAAGTCCGAGAGACCATTTACAGATGTTATGTGTTTCAAAAAAAGTTCTGAAAACGTTTTTATATTCCTTTTCGATATTTTCATTTTTGACTTGGTCATCAGTGGCTTCTTTTTGTGAATCAGTAATTTTACTTATTATTTTTACTGGAAGTACAAGCGAAAAAAAGGTTTTCATTCATTCCTTTTTGATCATATTTTTTCCCGTCTTCTGAAGATCTCGACAGTTTTTGTTGGTTTTTTTCGGTTATTTGGCAGTTCTCTATTAATAGTTACCTTTTTTAAACTGACTTATTAGTGTAGAAAATCAATTATTAAGGTCCTCTGTAATATATTTGAAAAGTATTTGAAGAGTCAGACACGTTGAGCAGGACGAAACTTTCTAAAAGAAAGAAAAAGCGTCCTATAATGCCCGTAACTTCTTTCACTTTTGATTATTTTTTTCCAAAAATTCCTCTTATCAAATTTTTCAGGACTGTGGTCTTAAATTCCATATGAGCAAAAAAATGGAACTCAAATGGTCTCTGGAAAATTGTCTACGGTACCCAGTCAAGTCATTTTGAATTAGAGTTCTTTTTTTGCACCTATTTGCAAATTTAGTTTTTCTTGAACTAAAAAAGCCATTTTCCGGTTCATTCTTTTTTCAGTTTTCATTTTTTTTTCTCACCAAACCGTATTTACGCGCTTACAGTTATTTCTCGACAGCTGGCAATATGCCATATTCCCAGAAACTGAGATCTGATGTCATCTTTTTAGTCAGCTGCTAATTTTACAACTCCAACTTGGGATTCTCGTCAGTTTTTCAGTGTGAAAAGAGTCATTTAGAGAAAATTTTACTTCCAAAAAGAGCTTTTTGAAGATTTCATTCCAATAAAGTGGGAAAGAGTTATTTTATCATGTTTTCTGGACTCTTTATGATATTTTGTAAGCAGCGTCCTCACTAGAATATTCTAGGATGGTTCATGAAAAATCCAGGTCATGTTCTAGGTCGGAGACCCACGCAAAGAGAAGTGCTTACTCTGTGAACTTTGTGATGAGTGTTTTTTTTTTTCAACTTGCTCCCACCGGACAAACGCTCCACCCGCTCAAGTCGAGTTGAATATTTCCGCAATTTCGCCTAGCAACCCGTTCGCTCGTGCGCCGTTTTTTTTTCTTCTTCAATCCACGGTGTCGCGGTGGTCGCCTTGAAGACACAGACACCTCGACGCGTTTCTTCCATTCGTCGGGTCGCTCAGAAACACCTTCGCGAACGATGACCGAATGACTTCGGCGACGGCGATGTCGTCGTCGGCCGCAGCGACTCCAGAAGCACAGTTGGTGTGTCGCTACGACGCTCGTTCTCAGTCGGCGGCCCTGCACTTCAATCGTTCTTTTGTAGCCGCTTCACCTCGGTCAAGGGTAACTTTCCGCAGAGCCTGGATTCATTATTTTTCTTTTTGGACTCTCCTGATGTCGTGTTTCAAGTTGCTTCAAACTGAAATATCATAAGAAGAACTTAGAAAGTCTTAACCCTGCAGCTTTTCTTTCCATACTAAAAATTGATCGTAAATGGAGAAATCTGCAATCAACAAGCTCCGAAGGAAAAACAAGATAAAGCTATGAAAACCTTTTAAAATGAGTTTTTGTAGATTAACGGATCAACTTCGAACAAGACATTAGCAGTTTGAAAAAAGAGAAAAGAAATTTGGCGTTAGTGTTTCCTTTTTGGGTACTACACCGGAGGAAGTCTTCGCCACAAGTGGCAGGTCTGAACCGTGATGTCAGAAACGGTCAGTTGATCTGTCGGTCTTCCGGTTCGCTGCAACCGGCGATCGAGATGATGCCTTCGATTTCGTCTTCTTCCTCTCAGCGGCCGATCTTCGTCCATCGCTCGGCCAGTCTGTCGGAGCACGGCACCGAACGATGTGCACGGCTCCAGTCCAAGGACATTGCTCATGTTAGTTTTGAGTCTCTTTCTGATCGAGTATCCCTTACTCAATTCTGCAGTATCATTACTGCTCTCGATCTCGTGGAATTATTTTCTATATAATGTTTTACAGTATCATTCAAATTCGGCCCAAAAGACTTTTGACCTTTTATGGGCTGAAACTTCTTTTTTTCTCAATTTTCGGACATTTTTTCTTAACCATTGATCCTTTGATCCTGGACGACTTTAGCTTTTTCTTAACCATTTGACTGATTTCCTTCCGTTCGCCCAATTTGGAAAGTATTCAAACAGTTGTTTTCGTTCAATTACGTCCGAGAACTCTGTACGCCTAATACTTGGAGTCATTCGTAACCTCCAATTATCTCTTGTTTTCAACTAACTCTTCCTTTTTTCTTGCTCAACAGCAATGACTTTTAATTTTATGAGCTCCACTCATTAGTAGCTGTGGGAAAAAGCTGCCAGACAAAATCCTTGGGGACCTGGCTGAAACGTGATCCTTTCTCAATAAAAACGAACCTTGTAATTTCCTTCGGTCTAATAAGGGAGTTGAGCTTTTCTGAGCCGCGAAGTTTGAAAGAATGATGTAGTTTGGATTTTCGACACTACTTCGCCAGGAATCCTGTCTTTTGAAAACTGACTTATTGAATCATGTCGGCCAATTAAGGAGCTTTTCAGCTTTGCTTCAAAGTCGCGAAGACTTCACAACTAGTTGAAAATAATTAAAAAACGACCCTTCCTGTTCAGAAAAGTATTTCACGAGCATACAAATGAGACAAGGTGCAGTAGCGGATCATCGAACTGTTCTTTGATCAACCAGAAGGGGTGAAAGGAAATTGACTTGATGAGAGCAACAGAGAAAGGTCAAAAGAAGGTTTTCGGAAGGAAGATTGGCGGAAGAAGTTCTCGCGTGAGCTCTTCATCTTTGTGGAGGCTTCACGTATCCCTTCGGACGGCTCAATTGCCCGCGGCACGACCGAATTCGGTTATGCAACCCCGCCGCTATGGATTCCCTCCGCCTAGGATCCTCTACAATTGCTCAAAGGTTGGCATTGACATCTGCTCGACGTTTATTCTTTTTTTATTGCACATTTTGTACCTTCTTGTTTGCTCTCATCATCAAAATGCTCCTCCAATCTTGGGTCGAAGCGACTCTTCGAAACTAGTTGTGCGGTGGTGACGTCGCTCATATAATTATTGACTGATCATTTTCTTGATTTCGATAAATCTGTTCATCATCTGCATAATGTGACTAGTTTATCTGAAAATCCTTTCCTGTTCCAATTACAAAAGTGACGTCGATCCTCATTCAGAGAAAAATGTTCTGATTTGTTGAGGGGGAAAAAAATCATAAGTTTTTCTTTATCAAAAGTTTTTTTATTAACATGGAGATCTGTTTTTTTCTTCGAAATATCGGAAAAATTTCTGATGATCTGAAAGTTGCTTTCACGTAGTTGCTACCAATATGAGTTGAAGATATATTTATGGTGAACTTTCTCGTTCACTTCCAAAGACATTTGAATCATGACAAGGTGGGTGTATGTTCGAGGCTTCGGGAAGTTACAGATTATCTGATATTTTTCACGTATTTGGAAATTGAAATAGAAAAATGACAGAGAAAGTTGAAGAAAATCATTTGATTAGAAACACCGAGAAATCTTGGCAAAGAGCAACGGATCTGCAATACAAGACAAGAAGGAGGAGACGTGAAAACATGCAATCGCGACAATTGTGTTCTCAATGGGCGCCACGAGAGTCAACATTCAACAGGGCTGGCCGACGTCTCCACGCCATCTTCTGTCGCATCTGCCAGCACCACTTACGCGTCGCGTCGTCACCACACACGTCTCCATCCATTCGTTTCGTCCAGTTCTTCCATTCTGCGATCCTGTCCTGCTCGTTGAATCGACCTTTTCCTCGACGGCGAGGCAGCGATGCCGCGACGAGCACCGCTGCTGCGTCTGGCGCCTGTTCCCCGAGTCTTCCGAAGACGAGGACGACGACGCGCCGAGCACCTCGTCGCACTGTCTGAGCCATGGAGACGTCATCAGAGGCTGGAACATCAAGAATTCCGAAGAGTCGCCGCTGGTCAGCGATGCCGACGATGCCGAGGATGTCGAGGATGACGTCTTCCATCCGCAGGTTTTCATCTGCTTTTTTGTCTCTGAGTGGTGACGTCACTTTTGGGTTGGGTTGGGATTGGATTCGTTCTTCCTGGTTTTTCTTCTCCATTTTTTCTCTCCTGCACTTTTCTTTTTCTGATTTTGCAAACAAGCTCCTCGGACTCGAGATCAGTGCATCTCTGAGCGATACTCCTGAAAAACATTATTCTGTCCGCCAAGTATTTTCGAGGTAGCAATATCCATTACACATCGAATGGCGGCCGTTCCGAAACGCAATCCTCCGTTTTGTTGTGATTTTTCGCGCTTCAGGGCGGTCCCCTTACCGAGATCTCCTCCGGTTACACTTTTCTTTTGTTCCGATTCACGTCAACTGGCTTTTTTATTTCAAAAATATCACAAAAGTATCGAAAAATCATCTTTTCGCTCATCGATTCAGTCTTTGATCAAAAAGCAGCTTCTCCTATTTTGAGGCGATTTTCAGTTGCTTTTTCTCTGTTTTTTGTTCTTGGCTAATTTGGGTAATTGGATTTCGATCCACCAATGGGATAACACTTGCGCGGCAAATCGTCGTTTTCTTTTTCTCTCTTTTTCAAAACTGGAAAACTCGCTTCATTTTTGTTCTAGAGGTTTCAATGACCAATTTAGGAGTATAAGGATTTTCTTTTTGTTTTTTCTACCAGGATGAATATATCTACGAGGTCAATTGAAGTATATTGAAAAAGGAACAAAACCAAATGCGTGTAAATAATATAAGCGATTTTCACGCCTCAGCCAAACTAGAGACTAATTTGCTTTAAGCCCCATATTTCCATCACAAATCCTTCATTTCAATTTTTTCATATATATTTTTTTCAAGAAATGACAAGCTCCAAGATCTAAGAAGTGCTCTAAATAAATGAAAAAATGTTTCCACAGGTATTGTGCCTTGTCTTTTTCCATTTATTCAAAAATCACTTTTTTTGGCATTATCTCGAATGATCGATTTCAAAGGTCTAGAAACGGTTTCGGTGTAGAAACTCAAGTAATTCAAAAATCGGTGGTGATAAAAGGTCTTTGCTGCTTTAATCTTTTAATTTTTTTTCCACTTTCTCCCTTTTATTTGTAGTCTCGGCAGGTAGACGAATTTTCAGCGTTTAATATTTATAGTAGTTATAAAAAAATACGTATTCTTGGTTTATTTTTTTCGAAATGAATGAGTCATTGCTTTTTCTGACGTCAAGTCTCCCATTTTTTTTTTGAAGTCCTAAAAATTTGTTTCGAAAATTTTTTCATCTGTTTAATTAAGATGAAAAAAAAACAATTTCAGGAGAACATTCGAAAAGTGAAAAAAACAATTAGAAAGAAAGGAAGGCCTAATTTCCCAAATGACAAAATTTTTTTGGAGACTAATTTCCCGGTAAAATCTTTCGGCAAAGCCGCTGTATGGAACTACTACAGTATTGCCACCACGACGTTTCGTGGCATACTAGGTTTTCATGGAATATTTAAAAGATTCTTCGAGACATATACCACCAGTGTGTCTTTTTTTGGCTATATCAATTAGTTCTGTGGTAAAACAAGTCTTTCGGTAGGTAATCGAGAAATTTATCGAGAAATCAATACAAGTTTGATGGCATTTCCGTGCGTAAATGGCCTTTTTGGAGAGCAATGGCAAACGCGAAACTCGGCCACAAGTAGTCTCATGTTCCATGCATAATTCTGAGCTACCAGCCGCCGACTCACACTTTCCGCGGGTCTCAAGTGGTCTTTTTCGGTTCTTCTCCTCATTTTCCCACTTATTTTTGGCCAAAACTGCCCTTTCTTGGCCTGCAGAAATCAAAACTGAGAAGAACTTTTTCGTGCGTATCAATTCAACTTTCAAGAAGGAAATATTTTTAAAATAGGGAAAAATTATTGTCGGATTAATCATAAGACCGTTTGCATGGAACCTCAAAAAGGGAAAACATTAAGAAAATTTCTGATTAAACAAAAATACAAAGTTGAGAATTACTATAGATATTTAACTTATTCATTTTGTACACTTATTGGCTGACAATTTAAGATTATCGTTTTTTATTTATTGGATAAACTTTTCAAATATGTGTTTGAATCAGAGATATTTTTCGATTACTTTATTTTTCAAAAAAACATGTTTTGAATGTAAGATTTGAAAAAAAAGTTCTCAAAAAAATGTCAGTAAAAAAATATTTTTCTGTTCTCTCTTTAGTTCAAGTAAGTATTTTTTTAATCTTAAAGATCAATTTTTTTCTGATAGTTCGTTTTTGGTATCAGATCTAAATTAACTTTCCAAATGACATAGAATTATATAGACCGATATCATGTTTACTCTTAGTGATATAGACTTTTTGTAGTTTTCGGTTGTTAAATATTTGTGTGGAAGCGATAAGAAAAAAAAAATTATAGGCCGCGTATATTGCAATAATTTGTGGTTTTGGCTGGCTTAAAAAATATCTTTTTTTCCCCTGACTGAGTTATATATTTCACTCACTTATTTTTGATAATAGTTTTTAACATGGCTCAGTGGAACGCTGAAAACGTCTTTTTTTTCACTAGGAAACCGAGCTCAGTTTCTGGATCACTCAGAAATCGATATAACAGTCGAGCTCAATTTTTTTCGGATAAGTTTTCTTTCAACCGAAACTAGTGTTTGAAAAAAAGCAGATCGCGATGAAATCTTTATTTTTCTCTTCGCATTCTGTGAGCCAAGAAAAAAAACTTCGGCTTGAAAGGTACTTGTGCGTGCGTGTGTGGAAAACGAAGTGGTTTTCCAACTTGTGCTCCCAAAATCTTTCCCTTTTCCAGCAAATTTTCTTCTCCTTTTCCTTGTCCCCCAACCAACAGGCCAGTCAAAAACAGAACAAACCGTCAAAATAATGGGAAACCTTTGTGAATTATTAACCACCAAGGCTCATGCTTATAACTAGAGGCCGTGTTCTTCCGGCCACACATCCGCCTATTTTCGGGTGTAGTATTACCCGAGTTATTGATTAGCCCACATTACCGAACTTTTTTTGTTGAGCCGAAGTTTTTTTTTTCGGATTTTAGAAGTTTTTTCGGAGCTTACATTATTAGTATCAATATTCTATTCTGACTCTTTATTCTTTTTCATGAGATAAAGGCGATTTTGTTATCAGTTGACGATTTTTTTAAAAATTTTTTTTGGTTTATCTGGAAAAAAAGGTGAAATTTTGGTTAAAGCTAAATTCTTTCGCTTCACTTTTTTTTTTTGAAAACTATCGTATCCACTCATTTTTTTCCATTTCATTTTTCAACAGTTTTGTGATTCATTTGCCGCAGTTCTCTGAACGAATCCTCTCTTCTTCCTAACTTGATTCCCTCCCAATGACGTCACCACCATGCTATCCTTGGCCTGTCATGTCCATTCCGATCCATCCGCTTGCACCTGACGAAAAAGTGCAGAATCGTCGCCTGCTACGCCACTCGGCGACCTCACCAACGAGCAGCACTCGTGGTGGTCCGAACAGCTCGAACATGCCGGCCGGCGCCGGAACCGCTGCGGCAGCGGCTCGTCGCGCCGGCGTCGGCACGGCTGCCGGCCGTCGTGCCTCTGCCTTCGTCCGCCGCATGTCCATGGCCATTCCAACACTCTCTGCCGACCCTGTACCTTTCTCTGCGGTTTGTTTGTTTTCTTTCTTTTTTGTACGAGTATGTCGACGTTTTTGTCGCTAATCATATCAGGTTGTTCATTAATCCTACGAATCTGATCAGATTGAGCTAACTTCTTTAGCGGGTCGCAAAGCTCAACGTTAGGACCTTTGAAAATCTTCCCGACTTGAAATAATTGAGAAATATTTCTCTTCTTAAATTTTTTTTCAATCGCAGAGGTTCGTTCTTTTGAACCGTCATAATTTTATGAACGCACTCCCGTTCAGACGATTCTCGGTTAAGCAAAATTTTTCTACTGCGAAGTTTTTTTTTTCGAAATGCGAACTTTCCTGAACATCGAAGTGTTCTCATTGTTCGTATGTGAAATCGAGATGACTGTCGAAATAATTTTTATTTTTAAAATTCCCGATTCCTGTTTGTCCCCTCTTTTTTTCTGCAGGGATCTAGGATCTTGAATAAGAACGGAAAACGAGAAAGGAAGAAACTTTTTTCGCGGTTGAGCGCGTTTGCCGTCGGGATCGCAGCCTTTTTCGATGGTTGGACACGTGCCAATTTGAGGCGGCCAAAGAAGCCTCCGATAACTTCCCAACTAATTTTCGAATTCATTTCTCTATATCATATTTCCACAAAGTTTCTTCTCGAATGCAAATTCACAATCCCTTCCGACCTGTCACATCCACTTTCTGATGAAAAAATTGAAAACGCCAAACTTTCCCTTTTCAGTTTCCATTTTGCATCAAACTTTTTTCTAGTTTTTTTCGAACTTTCGAGCCATTGAGTCCAGTTATTGATTGATGAATTTGAATCGGAAGAGAATGTAATTTTGGTTAGCTCTAGTTAGTCCATTCTCATATGATTTATCTTAAAAAAATCATCTTTTTGATACAACGTACCGGTTTTTGAAACAAACCACGCACGGAATCTGATCGTCCTCTTTTTAAAATCAAAATCTTCTTTTATTTTCCCAGTCTACTTTTTGGATGTAAAAGAAAGAAATAATTTTTTTGAAATTTAAAAACTACCGTAAAAGACAATGTTTCAGTACAAGGGAAGCTTCTAAACCTTTCAACTTCCAGATTTTGGAACCAAGACTCATATGTACCCACTTTTTCAGTCATTTTCACAGTCTGTAGCCTCAAACCAGTGGCTCACTTCTTGACTGTGTTGACGGAACTGGCACATTTTGCAGAGAAGAATGTCTAAGAAAAGAACATTCCAATTCTAGTTTCATTAGCGCAGGCGCCGACGCATATGACCCTATTGGGAGCAAAAACGAAGAAAATGGAGCTCATCGTTTTGTGGAAAAGGCAGAAGCTCATCACACTCGGCTAATTACGACTTGGCACGGCTGATGCCCCGCAGAACGCCCTTGAGCCTCGCATTCCTTCCGTTTTTTGTCCGCATCATAACTCATTAGCGTTGCGGTTGTCGGCTTCTTCTGCGCAGGGACCACGTCATTTCATCGCCGTTTTAGGTTCTTTTCCTTATTTTTCCCAGATTTTTCTTTCTCTTCTAATTTTCCCACCGGGACGAGTTCGAATGAGGGATCGGACTTTTTTCTCTTAATTTCATGCGCGCCTAATTGGCGTGGACATGAGCAGGGATGAGTGGGACAGACCCTCAAAGTTTTGCAAACTTGAGACATAAATTTGCCGTTTCGAAGAAACTATTCAGTTTTTGCGAGAAAGCAAAGTATAAATCTTGAAAGCGTGCATAAAATTGTTCCATACCGTGAAAGGAACAATCTCAATTTTCTTAATTGAAAGAAAGAGAAGAGAGTGGAACATGAGAGGAAGTTCAAGGTTTTTTGAAAAGTCACAAACTATGAATCGAAGATGTTGTGTGATCGAGAATATAATTGATGGAGGTCTTGACACTCTAAAAGGAAGAGTATACTAAAATGAAAGGTTCAGAAGACTTTGAGATATTTTTCCACGAGCCAGTGATGAATGAAATATTAAGTAACCGTATATTATTTTCCTTTCGAAAAGTCAGCTTCATCCAGTCAAGATATATTTTTTCCAAGGCGCGTCAAACATTTTTTCTTCAATTTTAGGTCTAATTTGCGCGGATGTAAATAGTGTATACATACGGTCACTGTAATTTTTTTAAGAAAGATCGAGTTTTTTTTTCCCGTTGAAAATTTCAAAAAACTCCGTCAGTATTTAAAGCCGGTGAATTTCCTTATGGAAAAATGATCACTAAAATAAGGGCTTGAGTTGTTTCTGGAAATCGCAAAACTTTCCCAGATAGGTACTGTATATGTTGTGTTTTCGAGGAGAGAAGCTTTTTCTCAAAAATATCCCTTTTCCATTCAGAATCTTCAGGTCTTGAAGCGAACCATCTGTTCATTGCCTCCGATTTCCAACCCTATCATTTCTCGCTCAAGGCCGCGGCTCTTTTTTCCAATTAGCGCTTTTTGAAGCCCTCACTTGTCGTCGTTTTTGCCGTCTTTCTTCACTTTTTGCCAACTTTTTTCCTCTCAGAATTTTTTTCAGTTCTTTTTTTTTGAATACAGAGTCATTTCAGTCAGTTTTAAAAGTTTCAAATTGTCGCGCGGGTTCTTCGAAAGCAATAGGAATATATCAATAGCATAAAGCTCTCCGAAAAAGTTCTCCAGAACGAAAAAAGAAAAAAAGACGGACGGAGACGCTTTCTTCTCCTTTACCGGGATTTCGGACGAGCCTTTGGTCATTTTCGTCCTCCACTAGTGAATAGATTACCTTTTTTCGATTTTGTTAGGATTTGCGGCTCAAAACAAGGCCGCCGTCTCTATTCTTTTCCTTTTCAAAGGAATTTTCGAATTAGCTGTGTCTTTGGCCAGCTATTTTTCTTCTGGTTCCTCTGCTCTGAATAGGAGATTTTGCAAAGCAACTCTAAGATTCAGAAGCTCGTCATTCTGGTGTTCAATGTAATTATTTGGGCAGTATTTACTTGCCGTCACACCAAATAAGGCAATTACCGCGGGAAACGCCGTCGAGATTTATTTCCAATATCCAATCTCCACAGATTCCAAGCGTTTAGGCCTACGTGTGTTCCTTGGCTGCCTTGCCCAAAATTTTCCAGCGACTCGCCGTTTTTTTCTCATATTTACGGGCGACGAAGGGCCTTCGCGCTCACTTTTCCGACGTCTTTTCTTCTCTTAATTCAGAATTGCCGGCTTTTTGTGATTTCCATCCAGTCTGTACCTCGATCGTGCTCAACTTGCTTCGATTTGCGGAGATTCAGAGCTGAATTTGAGCTGAATTACATAGGGACGACGCGATAATGATAGTCTTCAACAGAGATTTCCGCTGAATTTTATTCACATAACAACTAATTTTCCTAGTTCAAGTTTTGGGTTGATTAGCTTTGAGCGTTTTTTTTTAATGGAATAGGGTATTTATTTTTGACGTTTCAACTTTTGGAAGTTTTTTTCAACATAAAAGCTTCTAGAAATTTGATGAATACCTAAAAATCAAAATTTGGTTCAAGTTGGTCGAGAACTGATCATCAAAATGAAAATTTCTTATAATTGCAGAATTTTTCGATTCCAAGGTTACTATTTGCAAATTATATTGAAGTATGCAGTTGAGTCGTATTGACTTATTTTTGCTTTTTTCTCAATTTTTTCGCAAATCATTTTTTAAACTAGGCTTGTAGGCACAAAAACATTATCAACTTCAAAAGCGTAGCCTTTCTCAACCATAAAAGTCTGAACGTCCTTTGAAAATCTTTTTCCACATAAACAAAAACACACCAAACCGAAAATGGTTGTTCCGAAAAAGGGACAATCCAGAGAGCCTAAACGCTTTTCGATTGTTATAATTGGTCCCGCAGGCTCTCCGCTTTTTGTTTCAATTCATTGATGGGCGGTCTCGCGATGAAAATTCAACCGAAAAAGGGAGACGAATTAGGACAGAATTTGCATTCGCTAACCGACCTGTCGGCCTCCTGAAATACGAAATAGCTTTCCACTGACGTGACGGTTCGTTGTTTTCTTCTATCTTAGGAAGATGAGAGTTTACAATAAGAAACAAAAGCTTTTTTTATCATTTCGATTCACAAAAGCCTTCTAAATTATAAGTGGATCACTGCAAAAAATCGTTTAAAAATCGTTCATAAGATTTGAAGAGAATTGATCAAAAAGGAGAGGTTACTCCATGAAGCCTCTGATTTTCTGTCGAATCATTCCCTGCCTCCTAAATGAACGCTGATGTTCTTCTCCTGCCTTTCTTCCTCCAGAGTTTGAGCTCGACATAACGTGTACGGCATACCAATCGGAATATATCTCTTTTTTTTCTTTTCTCTCTGGGTTTTGCTCCCATTTTTCGGTGGGCCTTCATGTCTGGTTATTTTTGCTCCATGACGTCGTCGGTGTGCTTGTTTTTGGATATCCTGGACGCGGGTCGTTTCTCCTGGCATTCCATTCCAAGTGCTCTATCCATTCATATAGTCTTGTTCAATTTTTTTAAAGGTTCATTTTAGCAGAATTTATCTGGTTAGTTTATTCACTGCTGTCCTGTGCCGCTAGAAAATATCGCCTGGTCATGCTTATTCCAGGATCTTCAACAAAAAACACACAGACACAAAACTTTATCACTCCAAGTTTTCATTCCTGCGAGTTTATTGCGCTGTTGCACCAAACGGACGCTGCAGAAAAGTCCAATATCGAATTTCCAAACAATTTGCCGCGAGTTTTCGACGACCTCTGGGAGATATATGATTACCAGTGGTCCTTTTTTCTTTTTGAAAATGGCCCACGGCGCGTCATTCATTTCCTTAATGCTTTGGCCAGCTGGCCGTTTGCATCTGACATGATGGGTTTAAGCTTCGCGCGGCTTTTCCTCTTTGTTTCCCCAAGTCTTACTCCAAACCGAGATTTTATTGCTGTCATTGCATATTTTATTGTAATGAAGTGGACAGCTATTGATTTTTCGAACGTTCATACGAAAAGATTTTTTAAAGTTTTTTGAAAATAACCCTGAACGCTTAGTTTTTTGAATATTTTCAGTTAGGCAAGTTAATAAGCAAAATATTGCTTTTGTCGTTTTTTAAAGCTGCAAAATAAGTCAATTGCTTTTATTTTTCCTATTTTTCGATTGTGTGCTTATTTTTCGTGCCGCCAAATTTTACCTTGGTTGTATCTCTGTTTTCCTGTTTTTTTGGTTGGTCCTCGTGGGTAAAAAGCGGGCTTTGTACATTTTCAGTCGAAAAAAGTAGAATAAATAAAAATATACAACAGCTGTTGTTAAAGGTTCTTGTTTCTATGCCAACTTTAGGAATCTAAATGCATAAATTTTGTCTCTAAGAGTACCTCGTTTGGGGTTTGACATTTTTCTCTGCAAAGAGAAGACTCGCACGTTGAAGTTCGTGTGCAACAATCGGAGAGAAAACTCTGTATGAATTCTAAAACTGCTGTTTATCACTTGACGTCTTCTTAAGGGTAGAAGACGTCGTCGTTCTCCCCACATCGATTCTCTCTTTTTTTTGTCTTTTCGGAAGGCCACCGTTGTTGTATATCCGTGCATGTGGCCTCTATCTCGCGGAACAAACCAAATAATTGGGTTATTTCGCCTCGAATTTTGGCTCCACTCCCGCTCTTTTTTTGCTTCTTCTCCTCTTTCTATCAGTTTTTGGCAAGTCTAATTTGTTTGACTTGGTTTCTGTTGGAAGTGTGAACTCTCTTTTTCTTGAATCATTGAACTACATCCTCAAGAAACACCTTTGGAGCTCACTCTTGACGAAATATTCTTGTAAAGCGCAGTTTTTTTTCCACTGGAGAGTGGATCAAAATAAATGCAGTTGGGGTGAACGACGAGCTTGGGCGCCATGGGTCCCGAGTGAGCCTAGGCGGACGTATGTCATCGACTTCCGGCGCGGCTCTGCCCAAGCAACTCATGATCGTCCTTCAGAATGGCTCCTACAAGGTTTGTTCGGCTGCACCGCGATATTTCTTCTTTTTTCTTGGACTTTACCATCACTATTCGTTTCAAATTCGGAAAAGGTTGAATTTGAATGTTTTGAGGATCGGTAGGCTATCTTTGTTTGAGGTACAGTACTTCGAGATTACATTTTTTTTTTCTGAACGTCATTCATTTTGTTGTTTGCCGTGTAATTTTGAGCTTTTTTTTCGAATATGAAGTGTTCTATTTTAAATTTAGAAAATAAATAGAAAGGAAACTAGGATTGGTTTTGTTTATTTTTGTAGGATTTTCAAGTAAACTCTGTCTTTCCGCTGTATTTCTAGTTTTTGAAAGTTCAAGGCGTTTCAAATTCGGTTTCTTTACAACCTTTCCTCATCTCAACAAAAAATAAGTTTCATTTTTTAGTTGATTATGCGAAACATCCTCAAACTCCATCTGCCTGAACAGCCACCCAGTGGTTCTTTTTTTTCGTGCTCTTCGCAGTTATTTGCACTCGACACTTTCTCATGTTTCCGCCCAATTAGCTGCACCCTTATTGGAGATCCGAGAAGGCTTTTTCAGCCAGAGAAAATCATTTTTCTTCTTTCACCTCTAGGTTCGTTTTTCAGGTTATAAACTTTTTTTCCAACCCTTTTGAAGTCGAAAAATATTATAATAGAAAGTATGATCGAACTCAAAGAAGAAAATTTAGTCGAACTGAAAAGGAAAAAGTTTTCTTTGAATTAAGTTTGCACTAATTTCTCGCATGAAAACGTCTTTGAAATTAAAGAAAATATTTAGAACTCTCTTGCATATGCTGCTTTTAACTGATAGATACGAGCTTTTTCACATGTTTGATTGATAGACTTGTGTTTTGATGTTCAATAGGGGCGTAAAATAAAAGGGCAATTTGTTAGGCTAATTTGTGGGAAAGTTGCACTCGATTAGCTAGATGAGCCGGCTAGTTGTGTTGCTATGAAACGGACACGAGCGGTCGGTCCCCGGTTCGATTTCTTTTCTCCGCTTTTTTTCAAAATCACCCGTCCTGTAAGTTTTGACAGTGGACCACTTCCCAACATGTCAATTTTTTTCTGTTTGGCTTCTTCAAAACAATATATTTGTATTGTAAAAGTGCTTACTGAACACTTTATACCGCTTTCTTTAATTCTGAAGCAAGAACTGAAAAATCTGTGGTAGAGATGTATATGGGAAACTTCTTTTTTTTCCCAGTTTTACTAATGAGAGAAACCTGTTTCAAGTTCAGATTCCATCTGATTGAAGTGTGATAGTAAGTGAAGTTTGATATAATTAAAGGAACTAGATGTAATGCAATTTGGAGGTGAATGAATAAAAGCAAAAGGTACAGGTGCGAATCGAGAATTTGATTTGGAGCCGAATAACAGAGGTATTTTGCAGGTGTTGTCGTTGGGCGCCGACGTGCTGCCCGAGTACAAGCTGCAGCCGACGCGCATCCACCACTGCACAATTGTCCACTACAGGTACCTTGCGCTCACACGGTGTTTCTTTTGCGACGCCCCGCCCACTTTTCTCCGTCAATTAGGACGTGTTTAGTGCATGCACGAAAAATTTGGAAAATAAGGTTAACCGATGATATAGGTATGAGAAACGAATGAACATTGAAGAAAAAAGACGAGGAAATTAAAAGAGATTAAATAAAACTATATTGCTGTGGAGAAACAAATAAAAGATGTTTTACAGCAAGTACTTTTTATTATAAAAAGTTGACGGAATATCCGGATATAAATGAATTCCGGAACATACTTTCTCAACTTCACAGACTTTTTTCATGTAACTTCATCTCATTGATGTCCACAACCTAGGAATCTGAACAATCGACAAAAAAATAGAATAAGAAAAACATAAAATGGGGTGAAACATGTTCCATACAAACAGGTGGAGATTTTTCAAAAACGCTTCTTCATCACGAGTTTTTAAAGTTAGCCTCACAGAACTACTTTCAAAAAAACGTCTAACAGCCCAGAGTATACCCCGATCGTGGTCCCGCAATACTATCAGCAATCTACGAAAAGAAAATGTGAAAAAAATATGAAAAAAATTGACAAAAAAATCAAAAAAATAAAGCCACTTTTTTTCAAATTTCGCGGGTGAATTTCGAGAAGTGCGCAGACTTTGCCGAGTTTCAAATTCCTTGCATTTTCTTCAACTGGCAGAAACGCCGTGCTCACTTTTCTCTCAATTGGCGATTCATAATGAAACTGTTAGAAAATGGTATGAGTTTCTGTTAGAAAATGGTACGAGGACAGCAATTTGCAAAATCACTGAGAAAACAGGTGGTGGGTGATCAAGGGAAAGAAAAAGAGAGAAAGGTTTTCGAAAAAGCCCAAAAAAAAGACGTAACCATTGTGTTTGGTACGCAAACAGCAGACTTTACGCTAGTCGTTGAAGACTTTAAAAAAATTTTCCGATTTGTTTGTTTTTTTTCGGGGTTGACCAGGCGGCCGGTCGTATTACGATAGCTAAAGATGTTTTTTGACAATAAAATAGTTACTCTTATATTAATGACTACTATTTTTCACCTTGAGAGATAAACTCTGTTAAAGTTGCGTTTTTTAAATGTAAAAATAAAATAAAAAGCGAAATCGGGATTTTTTTTTTATTAGATTGCAGAAAAAAAAATATAGTTCTTTGATTTCAGAGCACCTCGTGAGATAGTGATTAAAATTTTTAATTTGCTTCAATTGATGAGAAAAGTCCGTTTTTTTGTTAGACAAATCATCGTCGATCGATGTTTCATCCATGTTTGTCAGCCTTGTGACTACATAGTCATCAATTAATTAGAAAGACTTTTGATAAGACTTCGAGTTGAAAATGTGGACAACCAATTAATTAATGAGAGAAAACGTTGGTAATCTGGGTATGATAAGTATTACGGTAGAAACCCGTGACAAAGCTTAATTGGCCTCAAGTCATTAAATGTGAGATAGAGGAGGAAGCGGAATTGGAGAGGAGTACTGTGGAGTTTGCAACTCTGAAAAATGTCAATGTTGAGCAATTTTTTCAGAAAAAAAAACTTTACCCTTTCTAAATTTTTTTCTCTTGGGTTGATATCTTCTCAGCTTATTGGAAATCGATTTTCTGAAGCAGTCAAGGAATCTTCAATTTTCAGTCCCTTCAAAGCGGTATGGGACTGGATTATCCTTTTGCTGGTCATTTACACTGCCGTGTTTACGCCTTACGTTGCCGCTTTCTTATTAAGAGAGGTTTTTTTCTCCATTTTTTTTTTGCAGGATAAATTATCATTTGAATGCATTTTCAGTTGCAAGACACGACGCGGAAAGCACGGTTTTCAGAACCACTGGAAATCGTTGATTTGATTGTTGATATTATGTTTATTGTCGATATTATTATCAATTTTCGAACAACCTATGTTAATGAGAACGACGAGGCAAGGATATTTTAGCCTGTGAGAAAATGTAGAAAAAAGATTTCAGGTAGTGTCGCACCCGGGTAAAATAGCGACCCACTACTTCAAAGGATGGTTCGTCATCGACATGATTGCCGCCGTGCCTTTTGACTTGCTTCTCGTCAATACCAACAGTGATGAGGTGAGTTAGTCTGAATGACCAGAAGACCTTTTGGGACATTCAAAGCTTATTTCAAACCTCCTTGTCAGAAAAATGTTTCCATTTACTAGTTAGAGCAGAAATGGGCGTTTTTCAACACGATTTCTCAAAAATATACTTTGATTCTTTCAAAATTTGTTATAGTCCAATCATCTGCTTTCTCTCGCTACTGCCTATCGAAAAAAATACCATCTAAAGAGAAAAAAAAAAACATATAAATACCTCCTTTAGAATCCAAAAAAAATGTGCTCATTTTTTTTACTCAGAAATCTTCTGTAAATCCGCTTTCCGCAAAAAATTTTGTGGTTCCGCAAATGAAAAGTTTGTTCTGCATTCCGCGTTCCACATCCCGCAATTCGAGAATTCAGTTCCGTCCATTCAGAGTTTTTACACGGTTTCATAGTTTCTACAAAACATTCTTAATGGGTTTTCTAGAGGTAGGAGAAAAATCTTGCGTCCACCTAAAATAAGACTGTAAAACAGCTCTTCGTCTTGATTTTTTTGGCCAGTCCGAAATCTTTTGATCGGTGTTTTTCGAAAAAAAAAATGTTTGATACTGGTCAAAACTAAAAACAATATGTAGGTTTTTTTTTAAATCGAAATATGTTCAAAGAGCAGCATTAAAATGCAATTTTTACAGACAACGACGCTCATAGGGTTGCTGAAGACGGCTCGGTTACTTCGGCTGGTGCGAGTCGCGAGGAAACTCGACCGCTACTCGGAGTATGGCGCCGCCGTTCTGCTGCTTCTGATGGCGACGTTCGCTCTGATCGCCCATTGGCTGGCCTGCATCTGGTACGCCATCGGCAGCGCCGAGCTCTCCCACAAGGAGTACACCTGGCTCCATCAGCTCGGTTCGACTCACTTCTCCTCTTTTTCCACACCTTCAAACGTTTCAGCCAGGCAACTCAGCCAACCTTACGTGTTAATCAACGGGACGACCCCAACCGGTGGGCCAACGTTAAAAAGTCGATACGTCACTTCATTATATTTTACATTGTCTACAATTACTTCTATAGGTATGAAGACCAGAAAAACAGATGGAAAATAGCTCTTGGATATCAGGTTTTGGTAATGTTTCTGCGACGACGGACTCGGAGAAGATCTTCACGATTATTATGATGATCTTGGGATCTTTGATGTACGCCTCCGTGTTCGGTAACGTCTCGGCCATCATTCAACGATTGTACAGTGGCACTGCTCGGTGAATATAACGTTCTTCGATGAAAAAATATAATTTTCTGTTCAAGAGTGCATTGAGTAAAATGAAAATGACTGAAAAATGAGAAAATTTAAACGTGAAAAAAAGTTTGAATTAAAAATTTAAAAAAATGAAACGCAATTAAATCGCATTCATGAGCTTTTTCAAAGTTTTAAAAAGTTCCAAGTTTTATAAGGCGCAGAAGTCTTGCATGATATAACCTCATACAACGTATCTTCGCATCAGAAGTTGTTTCGAATTTTTTCATGTGTTTTTATAAAAAGTTAAAAATCCCTTTGAACAATATCTTCGCTTTTTTTCTTAAAGAAAATACTATTTTTGTCAATTTTCGCCATTTTTCAGGTATCACACTGAGATGTCAAGATTACGGGAGTTCATCCGGTTTCACCAGGTTAGTTCTTTGAAAAATTCAACATTCTCATTGATTTTTTTCAGATTCCAAATCCGTTGCGTCAACGGTTGGAAGAATACTTTCAACATGCTTGGTCTTATACCAATGGCATTGATATGAATTTAGTCAGTTCTTGCTTCTTTCTTCGGACTTCAGACCGCCTTGTTCGTTTTTGTGTCTGAATGAGGATTTTTTTCAGGTATTAAAAGGGTTTCCCGACTGCTTACAAGCGGACATCTGCTTACACTTAAATAGGAATTTATTGAATAGTTGTGCAGCGTTTGCCAGCTCATCGCCTGGATGTTTACGAGCATTAAGCATGCGGTTGGTTTTTTGTTTTCAAATTTTGTTTTCGAACAGAAGTAGAAAAAGAAATTATTTCTTTGGAAAATTGACACAAGAAAGACCATTTCACTTTGCGGGGTAGAATTTCCGGAATTTCAACCAAAGCCAAAACGCTTCTTGATGTGTCAGTTTATTCTGAAATTGTGAACTCGCAAAACTTCTAGTTTTTGAGAAACTTTGAGGCCTCCTTTCTCAAGAACTAGGGAGCTGTACTGGTAGAGAATTCCAGATTTTTCATTTGGTACATCAAGAAGTGTTCTGAGCAACTTTCAGTGAATTCCCAACCGCGAATTGAAAATACCTTCCTTGTCGGGCAATTTTTGATTCACAGAATAGATTTCATTAGGTTTCCAACTCGTCTTAAGTTTATAGAAGTTTTTTTCCAAACGCCTTGAAAACTTAAATTAGAGAAAGCAACCTTCGGCTATTTGTGCAAAATGTCGATTATGAATCTCGAAAAAAGTTAAAGTAAATATTATAATACTGATAAAATCATCAACTTGTTTTCTTTCGCAGATTTCGAACGACGCATTCGCCTCCAGGCGACACGCTGGTCCATCGCGGCGACATCCTCACCGGCCTCTACTTCATCGCCCGAGGCAGCGTCGAGATTCTCAACGACGACAACACCGTCATGGGCATTCTCGGTGAATCTCGACTCTTTGTCTTTTCTCGAAACGAAACACTAGTTCATCTGTCCTACTTCACGGCAAAAGTACTTTACCTTGAGAACCAAATTCTTTATCTTTGATTTCTATCACAAGATTTTTTGGTATGATCAATGTTTTACACATGCATAGTTTCTTAGTTATAATGCTTTCGAATTTTTTTTAATAAAGAAAATAATCCATAAGTATTTTTCCGTGTAGAAAAATTGATTAATGTCAGACTGGGCAACCTATATTTGGATCTCGGTTCATTACGTGAAAGAGGCAGAAATAGTATCTGAATCGTGGTTCTGATTCAAACTTTTTTTACTTGATTTGATTCAATAATTCAAATTTTTATTTCAAATTTTTTTCTAGATATCAAAGACACCTTCCCCTTGAAATTTTCAAGTCTTTTGAAAGTCTTTTGAATGAATTCGTTCTGCAGTTTTAAAAACGCGCCTATTTTTATCCCGATTTTTCGTCAAGTTTTACTTTGTCACACTTTCTATATAGTCCGTAAATTGGGAAATTTTCAGGGAAGGACGATATTTTTGGAGAGAATCCGTTGTTGTACGACGAGGTCGGCAAGTCGTCTTGCAATGTTCGGGCTCTAACCTACTGCGATTTGCATAAAATTTTAAGGTTTATTTCTCCTATTCTTTTCGTTTCCATCACAAAAAAGTCTTCAGAGACGACTTGTTAGATGTGTTGGACATGTACCCGGAGTTTTGCGAGACTTTTTGTAAGAATCTCACCATCACTTACAATTTGCGAGACGATACGCAAACATTACGAAAAAGGTTCATTCAATTCTGATTAGAGCTTTTTAAAGCATTTTTCCAGATTTGATAGACACAAGCTGTTGCGGATGTCGTCTTCTTTGAACAAAGATCGATTTGTAACACCTCCCGAAGGTATCTTTCAAGTTTAGTTTGATTTTTTTTTTCGCTCACTCAGCTTGTATAAAAATACGGAACTAACACAACTGGTAATCGAAATTCATTTCTGAATGGAGTTTCTTCTGATCATAAAATTTACTAAACGTAGGATCAAAGAAAATGTTTGAATTAATGCTTATTTATTTTGAAAAAAAGCGCAGAGATGAAATATAGGAACTCTGAGCTTTTATTTCTGATTCAATTTTTTTAAAGAGTTTGTTTCTTTAAGTTGCTCTACAAATTTTTACGGTCCTGTTTTTAGAAAGTATATGAAAGATTGGTAGAACTGTCTACTAGAGATGCTTTTTTCAGTTTAAAACTCGCTTTTGATCAAAACCCTAGAAAGAATGGTTGCGTGCTTGATGTGTTTTAACATATAAATGGACGTGTATCACCCTCAACTAACACAATGGACAGGGTCGGCCACAGACGGCGGGACGCGACGCAGCGCCACGGAGTCCGTCTCTCGCAGCGACTCGAATCCCATCGACAGAAGACAATCTGCCGGCTCTCGCAGTGAGTTTTCCCCTCTGAGTCTGCATCTTTCCCCATCAATCGAAATGTTTTGCGGTGCTGTTCAAGAGTTCTTCTGTAGTGGTTTCCTTGAATTCTTGCGGCGAAAACGAATCATTTTTTTTCGATTTGTGGCTTTTAATGAGTAGGTTCGGCAGCGCATAACGCGAAGAAAAGCATCTAGCCGTTTGTTTCAATCGTTATGCTATGAATCATGGATTAAAATTCGAATCTTTGAGTGAACCAAAGTCACAAAAAAAACTGTCTGTAGAAGTAGAATTATTTTTTGATAAATTTGATCGAAAAAAAATCTCAGAAATAAATTTTTGATAAAATCGTGTGTGAAACTAAAAGCTGTTTTTGCCTAACATGCCATGCTAATATTTAGCTGTCTGCATGAAAGTTTAAGATTCGTAAAAGTGTCGCTGGGAAATGGTTAGCGGCTCTATTGTTCTCGAAGTTTCAAAAAGGAGCTCATTTTACTCAGAGTTTCAGAGAGTGAATAACTTTTGGATTCGCATAAAGATAGCGAAATTCTCAAAATGAAAACTTTTTTTGGAAATGGAGGCCTTTAGAATAATTTTCGCAGACTTCGTATTTTCCATCGAGAAATAGGGCGATGTGCAGTTTGAGGCTTTTTGAAGACTCGAAAAGTAAAAAGTTAGCAAATTTTCAAGAATTATAAGCATTGTGACTTTTCTTTTAGGTGTAGCAGGAAATATTAAAATTTCACGGCGTCAAATTTACGTATCGTAAACCTGAATGCAATAAACCTAACCGTTGGTTGAGAGTTTATTCACGCTTATCCTACCACTCACGAAAATGTCTGAAGAAAAATGTGGCTGTAGGCTCGTCGAGGTGTTCGCCGCCTCACTTGGCGCTGTCAGGTACGCGGTCGGAGGCGACGCCGTTGCTGCGACGAGCTCCGCACACGAGTGTCGGCGGGACGACGGCGACCATCGACGACGAGGACGGCGTCTTCGAAGACATTCGCGCCTTTGCTCGTGGCAACACAGTCACCGTGTCGCCAACCATCCACCACGATCCCAGCCCCGTCCATCCGACTCCTTCTGGTACTGCCGTCCTTAGCTTCGGGTCTATGAAAGTTGAGCACTGAAGTTGTAGCTAACTCATATAAATTTCGAGCTGAAAGTCAAAAAACCGTCCAGAAAAATGTCGTCAAAGAAATCAGCCTGGTTTTTGGCGTTACTGAGGCCAGGGTATTCTCAAGGAAAAGTCTGTCCAAAGAAAAATCCAATGTTGGCTGATGCGGAACAAGTTTTTCTTAAAAGCTTCCACTCTCGGGTCCCTCAAGCTGAAATATTCAGTCTGATTTCTACATGCTCGTTTATCTTGGCTGTTTTCTGATAATTGTTTTTCAACTTTTAACATTCAAAATGCGTTTTTCAAGCTTGATTCTCATAGACCAGCTTTTGCCTAACTGTTGTTGTGATGTTGTAAGGGTAGCCACGATTTTTGCCTGCGTTTTGGCATGGTATACATCACTAACGGTTTGCGACAAGCTCGACTTTTTTTTCGAAAGTTCGCAAAAATCAAATCCTTTTTGCAGGTCGAGCAATTGAAGAAGCAGACGACCGGAGGACGCAAATGTTCATCAGGCGGTTAGAAAATATTGAAAGGTTAGAACCGAGAAATTCTTCCATTAAGTTTGGACAAAATAAGTTTTACATTTTACCTCAAAAATTATTTGTTAAGCGAATTGTTCGTAGGAAACTTCAAAGTCTGATAATTTTCAGCTCTTCATGTATTCAGAGTTAGCTTCATTCAATTTTAAGCTCCATATTTTTTCGTACTTCGAAGCATTGAGGCAGATATGAATCGAGTAGAACTGAGGAGGTCATAAAACCTTTTCCTGAACTATTGCTTGTTTGCAGCCAAATCGACCGGATGCAGAACAAGTTTAACAGCGACATGGAGACGTTGATGAGGCTGATGAGGGAGCAGACGATGCGAAACGCGAATAACATTGGCGTCGCGGCTCCCGCAGACGTTCCGCCCGGAGGTATGCCGCCGAGGTTTGTCATCACCACACTCACGACCGATGCTCGCAAAGGCTCCTTCGACCGTGTCGTGCTTTATTTCCGATTGCAGTGCTCTTTCGTTCTCTTTTGACTTCTTTTTTAAGTAGCTATAATTTTTTGTTGGAACTTCTCAATGCACGAGTTCTTTCTCTTTTTTTCATATTTCCCATAGAAGTAGTTTTTTTCTCCGTATATTATCATTTTTAATATTTTTTTATCTTTTTATTTATAATAAGTAAATTAAGAACTTTCCAAAAAAACAAAATCAATAATCAGTTCTCGCTCATAAACGAAATTGCACTTCAATCGCGCCGTGTTTTTTTTTTTAAAAGAATAACAACCGATTTTCAATGCGAGTCGTGACTGTGTGGCGATAACAAATAGCTTTTTTCCAAATCCTGGAAATATGGTTCATTCACTGCTGTTGCGAAAAAATTATTAGACCAGTTTTTATTTTATTTATTTTTTCTCTGATAGCAGTTATTGGATTTTCATTTTTTATAACATTCGTAGTTCTGCGAGGGGAATCGGAGAGAGAAAAACAATTTTTCTTACATGCCGTGGAATATTCGAAAAAAAGCAATTACTTAAAGCTCTTTTTAGAGAACCCTAGTTTTTTTGTTTTTCTTAAACTTTCATTGAGAAAATCATTAACGGCACGACACGACTACAGCCACAAATGTCTTGCGAAAACCACGATTTTAGATTATAATGAGACGGTGCGGCCGCGGCGGAACCTCATCTCTTCGATCACGTCGTCTTTCCGGTTACCAAACGGCGGTGGAAACGCAGCCGACGAGATCCGGGTTTCGCGACTCAGCAGCCACGAGCCGCCAACGCCTGCCAGCGAGTCCGACACGCTTCTCTGAACGGTTTTTCTGCGGGTCTTTCTACGCATTTTCTTTTTCTCTTGTGGCTTCGTAAGATAAATTGATTCTTAAATCCGATTGAGAAGCTTTTTTTTTTTCTTGGAAAATGAACGATCTTATCAATGTTTATACTGCTGCAAAGCCACCAGAGAATTCGAACTTGGTACCTTCCCAGATATCCCATTTCTCCTTTCTACTCGCTCTTTCATTTCATTCATTGTTAGCGGTGCATGATGGTGCATCTCAGGGATTTTTCAGAGTTCTTCAAATTTTTTTGTAACTTGTTTTCACCTCCCTCTGTTCCTTTCCACAAAAGTGCCATTCGATTTTTCTTCAAGTTTTTAAAAATTTCTCTTCAGTATCGTTCCCATTTGTTTTAAATAATTCATATGATGATTGATGATAATCCGGTTATAGCCGAATGTGATTTTAATTTTAATTTTTTTTATTTTTAATCTTGCTCTTTTTGTTCTCCAAGAGTTTTATGGCCTTTTTTTAGTTTTATCTAAAGTTTAGCTCTTACTTTTTGTTTCCCATAAAATTTCTTTTTCTGTTTCTCTCTCACTCTCTTTCTTCGTTTGATGTCTTTCCGAGTGATTTTTGCGTTAGGGATAGGTAGCATAGTTTCGGATGGAAGAATGTGGCATATAAAGTTTTCGTGGGGGGTTTTTTTTAGAAAATGTATTTGAAAAATTCCACTTCATTCTTCCAACTTTCGCATAAAATGTAAAATATAATGAATGTAGTAAAATGATTCCATGGGCTATCCGGTTACCTTTTATGAGAAGTAGAAAATCTAATTTTTGTCGCTGTCGATATTCTTGGTATTTAGTTCATAGAGGATTTTCGCCTGAGTATCTTACGGAAAGTCTTTGAGTAAATTTCCTTTTTTTTTTGTCTTTATTCCATCCATTCTGAGCGGGTCTTTTTTGCATTGCACCGTTGAATCGTTAGAGCCTAAATTATATGGCTCTAGATTTTTGCCTTGAATAAATTTCTTTACATGAAAATTCTTTCTTTTTTTAAAGAACATGAAGTGAACTGTGCAGGGACACTTTGGAGCACAAAGTAAAATCAAATGGAAAAGAAGAGAGAAATGCTTTCAAAAAAGACAGGAAGCCAGGGATATGAGGAAAAATTATATACCCGATAGGCAAAACTGGAATTCCGAGATGTTGGAGAGCAAATGAATCCTACAAGGATAATCCCAAGATATGCGATTTCACTGTCTATATAGATCGTTGTAGGATTCCTTTTGTCTTCATTCTGTCTCAAGTCCGCGAATCTTGAGGACCGTAATCTTGTGTACGCATTTTTGCTTTCAAAGATTGTGGTTTCCAAGATTATGGGACTTGAGATTTGCTTACATAAAATTACGGTCCTCAAGATTTGCGGACTTGATATTTTGTCGTACCATCTAGACTCTGACGTACCATCTAGACTCTATGAACGTTCATTCTCGATCGCGAGTTTGTTAAAAAAATGAACGTTTGAACTTCTCATTTTCAAAAAGTTTGTTCAAAAAAATGAACGTTACTTTTCGTTCGTAGAAAGTTCGTTCGAAAAATGAACGTTCATTTTTTTCGCTCGTGAAAAGTTCGTTTAAAAAAATGAACGTTCATTTTTTCATTTTTAAAAAGTTCGTTCAAAAAAATGAACGTTCATTTTTCCATTTCAAAAAGTTCGTTCAAAAATGAACGTTCATTTTCCATTTTAAAAAAAGTTCGTTCAAAAAAATGAACGTTCATTTTTCCATTTTAAAAAGTTCGTTCAAAAAAATGAACGTTCATTTTTCCATTTCAAAAAGTTCGTTCAAAAAAATGAACGTTCATTTTTCCATTTTAAAAAGTTCGTTCAAAAAAATGAACGTTCATTTTTCCATTTTCAAAAAGTTCGTTCAAAAAAATGAACGTTCATTTTTCCATTTCAAAAAGTTCGTTCAAAAAAATGAACGTTCATTTTTCCATTTCAAAAAGTTCGTTTTAAAAAAATGAACGTTCATTTTTTTCATTTTAAATAATTTCGTTCAAAAAAAGTGAACGCTCATTTCCTGTTCGTGAAAAAGTTCGTTCAAAAAAACGAACGTCTGTTTTTTTATGTGAAAAAGCAAACGTTCATTATTATAAGAAAAACGATTTTTCGAACTTTTTTTGGTTGAACGTTTGAAAATGATATATCCTAAACTATCGAAAAATGAAAAAGTTCATTTTTTTCAAACGGTCATTTTTTTGAACGTTCGGTTTTGAGAACTCTAATCTAGAGATATCTATATCTCCCAAAAAGGCCTTGCGCGTGATTTAAAACACTTCTCTCTATGTATATATGAGCACGGGCCGGATCGCAGGGGAACGAGAAAGATTCCCACAGAGTCATTGGTTAGCTCTGCCCTTTCGGTAAGATATATTTTGAAAGTGAATTTATATTGGAAATTTCCAAAGGCGGAGCTGGCTTAACCGTCCGATCACGCTGTGGTAATTGGCCGCGTTTCCCTGCGATTCGCCTCGTTTCGCCGTTTTCCGGTTCGATCCGTTGAACTAGAAATAATGTTCGCTGTCAAATTATAGTCTGTTCAGATTTTGCATGTCAAGTAGTCGCTCAAGCTCCGCCCCTAGAGGCGCGATAAATCAATCAGAGAGCGAGCCATCCACAGAGTGTTTTTGAATGACGTCATTGCACTTGACATTAAAAATATGAACAGACTGTAGCTTCGAACGCGGCATGAACACGCTCGAAAAGCGGTCGGTTTTTAGGATATTTAACCGTTTTTTTCGAATTGTTCGAGTGTTTTTTTTTTCACATTTTCAAGGTGTTAAGGGTTTAAGAGTATATGCAATCAATATTTTGAACTATGTCGCGCGCCTAGCTTTTTGAATTTACACATCACTCAGCGTTGATATAGTCTGTTCAGATTTTGAATGTCAAGTCGTCGCTCAAGTCCCGCCCATAATGGTGCGATAAACCAATCAGAGAGCGAGCCATCCACAGAGTGTTTTTGAATGACGTCATTGCACTTGACATAAAGAATCTGAACAGACTATATGCCTTATTTAAATAGAATTTCCATTCGAACTTGTTATTTTTTTTAAAGCTACTGATGGATTTTCAATATAATTCGCTCTACACATTCGCAGTCGTCGGCCAAAGCGGCGTCATTGAGTTGGTTTTTTCTGACTTTCCATCTTATTTTTAATCCTTGTTTAGAGGTCCTTCTTCTCGCAGAAGTCATCTCAGAGAAGTACAAGGAAGGAAGATACCGCGATAAAGCTCTCAAGTTCGTTGAATACTTTGGAGGCATGGAAACATGTGTTCTTTCGAGTGAGTTTAATATCTATTTAGTGATAATAATGTTTGAAAGATCTCGTCGCTAAAAATCCGAACTATGATCCATTTCGATTGGCAGTTGAGTACAATAAAGCGCAAAAGTTGATGTCGGCTTCGAATAAACCACTTTCCAGCAGCTTGCAGGTTTTGAAAATGTGTTTTCACAGACATAGAGAAGCTTAAGAATACGGTAGTGACAGATCCAGATATCAGCTTGAAGTTGTCGGGATTAGAGTGTGCGGACAGCGGCAAGAGTCCGAACCCGTTGTCTTCTGAAGCGGTTCTTCAAGGTCGTGCTACTCTGCCAACTTCTGGCGATGAGAAAGGTGAGTTCCAAGAAGCAGTTTTTTTAAAAATTCATTCCTCTAATATTTTAACTTTTAACATTTTTTAAGATCTTTGCGCAGTTTGTTTTTTTTGGCTTTTTATTTGAATGGATTTGATCAGATTGCACGGAATGCAGTTGATTAGATTACAATCTGTTTAAAGTTTTAGTCTAATTTCTGAATGTTCAGATTTTTTGTTGAAATGTCTTCGTCAGCTTATTATTTATCAGTTTAAAAACATGTTGCAGTGCCCTTAGACGAAATGAAGACAAGTGAAGTTCACGGAATAAGGGAACAATTACATTCCTCCAAGCTCATCGACTTGAATACGCGAAAGCAAGAGGTTTTTGTTCCTTTCGCAGAAGGATGGTTCACTTATTCTCCTGGTGTTTTGCAAGGTTGGTTTCTTTCTCAGTTTCTTGTTCTTTAGTTTGCTTTGCCTCAAGTAAGAATGTAAATTGTGAAATCTTCCTGATTTACAAACTATCTTTTCATGAATGAAAATTTTTTTGACTCGTTCTTAGATCGTGATGCTATTGAAAATGCTCGGGAAATCTTGAACAAAGCTAAGCTCTTGCCTTGGGGAATCAGCATTGCGATGATGAAGTTGGGTTTGTTTGTAAGTTTTCTCGTTAATTTCTCGAAAATTCTAACTTTTTTTTCAGACCAACGGCTGCAGAGTTTGCTGTTTGGAAAACTTTTCAAGTCTTCATGAGAGTTTTTACCATTTCCTCTCGGAAAATCACCTCCGGAAAGTTTTTTTCTATTTTATAGAGCAATTTCAAGTCAAGTCATCCAGGTTTCCGAAAACAAAAATGGAAGGTGCCGTTTCACGAAATTCGATACCGAGCTAGCCGAAAAAGTTTTGAAGGAGGCGCAAAAAGTCAGCTCTTGTGAGTTTTTTTGCTTTCTCGCGGTAACAATAAAATGTGATATCAGTTACTCAAGTTGTTTTTTTTTTCGAAAATTTTATTCGTATTTCAGACTGAAAAGGCTAATTTAAGAACTGTCCTATTTTCTAGATTTTTTTGATACACTGCGTTCAATAAGGATAGGACCCCCCTCGATTTCGGACCTTCTGGCAAAATACGGAAAGATATCGAAAATCTGTAAGTGCCATTCGATTCAGAGTACAAAACAACCCCCAGAGCCAAACTTTCATTATCCTAGCACTTTTTCTACGAAAATGCCATCGAAAAAACGGTTTTTCGACCGTTCAATAAGGATAGGACCCCCTGGAAATTTTGACTTTCATTGGTGGTTTTTTTGGTCAATTTCTTTTTCGATGAGTGGTTTTTTTGTCCTCATATCATTTTTTTCATCAAGTTTTTCTACGGTTTTACTTTCATATCTTCCAGGTTTAAAAAAATATTTTTATATCGAAAAATAGGGAAAAAAATGACGTTTTTTTAGGTTGCATCATAATAATCGAGCGAATGAATTTTTTTCCAGTACTTTGAATGAACTTACCTTATCAAAAGAGACATTTTTAACATTTGGAAAAAAACAAAAAGAAGTTCGAAAAAAACATTCGTTTTAAAAGTTAGAAAACCAGTTACAAGATGGTGTATCGTGACCAAATTTCAGACTGTCGTCGTTTTCGACCGTTTCTCTTTCTGTATGTAGTCGGAATGGCGATGTACTTTTTTTAAAGGATTTGTGAAGGTACTATCAACATATTTCATCAACAAGATAATCTAAAAAAATTATATTTACCACGTACAATGCCGAGAAAATGTGGAGAGAAATTGGTACCCGCGCTTATCGAAGGTATTGTTTCAAATAGAGCGTTTGGCGGGTTTTTAGTTTGTCAACAAAATAAAGCATTACTGAAAAACGTGCAATAAAAACAATTTTTGATTAGAAATAAAAACTTTTTTTATATGATTTATTTATACAGTACCGCAAAAAGTTCGAGTAGCAGTCGAAAGGGTGTTTATTCCTTTGATTTCCGAGGATCGCCAATTTTTATCCAATCCAACTAAGTGTCTTTTTGTGATGGGAGCACCTTCACAAATCCTTTAAAAAAAGTACATCGCCATTCCGACTACATACAGAAAGAGAAACGGTCGAAAACGACGACAGTCTGAAATTTGGTCACGATACACCATCTTGTAACTGGTTTTCTAACTTTTAAACGAATGTTTTTCGAACTTCTTTTTGTTTTTCCAAATGTTAAAATGTCTCTTTTGATAAGGTAAGTTCATTCAAAGTACTGGAAAAATTCATTCGCTCGATTATTATGATGCAACCTAAAAAAACGTCATTTTTCCCTATTTTCGATATAAAATATTTTTTAAACCTGGAAGATATGAAAGTAAAACCGTAGAAAACTTGATGAAAAATGATATGAGGACAAAAAAACCACTCATCGAAAAAAGAAATTGACCAAAAACCACCAATGAAAGTCAAAATTTCCAGGGGGTCCTATCCTTTATTGAACGGTCGAAAAAAACCGTTTTTTCGATGGCATTTTCGTAGAAAAAGTGCTAGGATAATGAAAGTTTTGGCTCTGGGGGTTGTTTTGTACTCTGAATCGAATGGCACTTACAGATTTTCGATATCTTTCCGTATTTTGCCAGAAGGTCCGAAATCGAGGGAGGTCCTATCCTTATTGAACGCAGTGTATGCTTTCTAAAATGCGAAAAAAAATGAACGTGAAATAAAATTTTCGTGAATTTTGAATTATCAGCACTACGAAAAGAGATTTTACCTTTTGCTCGTTCTGGAGTTTCTGCAAACGTAAAACTTCGCAAGAAAAAACATTGTAAAATATTCCTCTGAAAAATAGTAAGTTTTCCGTGGTTTATAGAATATTTTCTCACTAAAACGAAGACTTTTTTAGACCAAGTTTAAGAAAAATTCTCACAAATTTAAAATGACCTTTTTTGAGACTGAGATTTTATTTTCCAGGTCGCGAAGTGGCAGACGTACAGGCAGAGGTGAAGTCTTCGAAAGAGCCTCTGAAAGTACCTCGGAATAGAAACCGTCGGTCGGCCTCCGCCTTCTTCAGGACCTTCTTCGAACTTCTGGGAGGCGTTCCTCTCATGATCGGCGAGCCAAGGCTTCCATCGACTTCTCTCAAAGGTTCTTATAGCCGATTGAACACTTTTTGCCATGCTATAAATTGACGAAACAGAAATCATTTCCATTTTCAGGCGACGAAGCATTTTATTTGCACAATAATCTTTTTGAGGCATTTGGAAAAATTGACAAAAATCATCTGGAGACTTTTCTCTCGGAAATTGGCGATTTGAAAATGGTTCATTTTTTATTTTTTTTCAACCTATTTTTGCATATCATTCTCAGACTTGTTCTTTGTGCGATACTGATGGAAGTGAGGGTCTAGAGACTGACGAACTTATAACTCACTTGATAAGCTCTCTTCATCGAAGAAATGTGAGCTATTAATTTCTCAGTAGTTTAATTCCATTTTTATTTAGCTCCTCCGTGATTCGTCTATATCCTTAAATGATGCGGAAATCTGGTTGATTATTCTTCGAGAGCTCGCTGAGCCCATTGAATGTTCAATAAAATGCAAGGTTTCGATGGAGGCCTCGTTGGCTCATTCAGCAAGTAAGCATGTTGATCCGTCAGGAGGAATAACGGTAGGAAAGAAAATTAAAAGGAAGATCCGAATCAAGACTGAATTTTCAGGCTAGTTCCGCTGAAACAAACTGTTCTATGGATGAGCAAAGTCTGAAAGATAACTTTCAATTGAAAGTTAAAGAAGATCCGGAAAAGGGAAAAGAGAGAAGTCCAGTTCTTGAAAAATTGCCAACTCCTGAAGCGTGTGGCACTACTTCGAAAACTCCTGAAAAGGTGCGCTTGGCATTAATTTATTATTATTATTCGACTTCTGCAAAAATGTTCAATGAGCCGGGTTTTGTAAAATTCCGATTTTTCATGTCAAGTGGCTCTCCAAACTTTTCTAAGTGTTTTATTTTGGTGCAACTACGGTGGTATGAAAAAAAGACCAGCGAAAATTCAAACGGCGACTTTTTCCGAATTTTTTTCATACCGCTAGGGAACTTTCCGACGGCTACCTTTCCGACGAATCTTTTTTCCGACTTTTTTTCTCGATAAAATCTTCGTTTTTTTAATCTTTCTATATAAAGTAGGTAGTTGGTTGATGATTAAAAACACAAAGAAATAGAAAAATTTTTTTAAAGATTTTTTTCGCAAATTGAAAAACATAAGAGAAAAAAAGTCGGAAAGGGATCCGTCGGAAATTTTGCCGTCGGAAAGTTCCCTAGCGAAATGAAAAAAATCGGAAAAAGTCACCGTTTGAATTTTTCGCTGGTGTTTTTTTCATACCACCGCAACTACATCAAGTAAATAATGAGTTCTCAGCAAATACCGGCAGAATTTCATTTTAAATTAAGAAATTCGAAACTTGAGCGACCGGAAAATTTCCAATAAGTAAAAAAACATTTAAAAAAAAAAACTAGCTTTTTTCTCCAAATTTTCAACAATTCCTTTCAATTTGAGCCGAAGAACCCGACTGGAGAACCTCAACCGTCTAAAAATTTGAAAACCGGAATCAAAATTGCCCAGGACATCAATCTAGCGCTTTTCGTGGCGCAAACTCGAGACGTCGATGAAAAAACTCGAAAATTGAGTGGTTAGACACTTTTCCCAATAATTTTATTTTCAAACGCTTTTCAGATGAAGAAAGACAAATCGCCTTGGATTTCTTACGAGAAACTTACAAAAAGCACGGAATGGAAAGAACGTCGAAGGCGAAGTTGAACGGGAAGGTAAATGAAAGCCATCGTGGGGGATCCACGAAACAAAAGGATTTGGTTTTTACCCGCAATTTTTCAAAACTTAATCAACCTGAACTCAACAACAGTTTGAAAATTCAAATCATCGAAAATTTTTTCACTGAAAAACATATTCCCAAAATGTGTGCCAAAAAAAACTTGAGTTTTTCTGTCATTAAAGCTTCACTAGAGTTATTGAGGCCTCAAAAGGTTCGACTTAGTCAAAATATGATTTATGAAGCTTCTTTTCATGATAATGATTAATTAATTTTCAGTAAGGCACACAATTTGGGAATATGCTTTTCAGTGAAAAAGTTTTCGATGATTCGAATTTTCAAACTTTTGTTGAGTTCAGGTTGATTAAATTTTGAAAAATTGCGGGGGAAACCCAAATCCTTTTGTTTCGTGGCTCCCCCACGATGGCGACTAGGTTTCCCGAGTTTTGTTGGCATCCGAAGGATGTCTTTGAATATTTTCATGTGCTGGAAGCGGAAAAATGTCTGAAGAAACATGTCCATGGATATAAAAATGAAATCTCAAATTTTGAACATTTTTACTGTCCGAAAAAAACATGTCCTAGTGATTTACTACCTTCAATTTTTTTCCACAGCTCGAAACTTCTCATTTTTACACTTTCCTATATGAATTATTTTCAAGGAATCCTCTCTTCATTAGGATCTGAATATAGTTTTTAAATACAGTTTGAACAATGTCATACGTTTTTTTAACTGCGAACTTAAAACGAAGTCTTTTCCTCCCTGGGGTTTTTGAAAATGGCCTTTTTTCAAAAAAAAAATTTTTAGTTAACCTAGAATGGTGTATGCCCCTTGTTATGGTAACCGTAACGGAGACAAAAAACTTTGTTTCGACCAGATATTTTGATCTCGAAAAAAGTTATGAGCGGAAAACCTCGAAAATTTCCATCCCAGGGCATACAAAATTTTTCGGTTCCCGGACATAGATGTAGTATGATGTAAAAAGACGCGTTGATCACGATTTTGCTAGTTTCGAGCCAAAAAAACAAGAGATAAAAAAGTTATTCGGGTAACTTACCCAAAATTACATGTTTTTCGGAATTTTCGGGTTTTAGATGGAAAATTCGCCTAATCTATGTTTGGTTCAATAGATAGAGTATTTTTTTGTGGTTTTGATGAAGGCAAGAGAGAACGCCGGTTCGCAACGTCATATACTGGTTTTGATTTTTTTTTTTTGAGAAAAATCCTCTAATATGAGCAATGATGAGCAAGCATGAGTAATTAGATTTTTTAAAATTGAATAAAATTATTTTGTACCTTATTACAAACTTTAGTTGAGTTTCGTTGGATTTTTGTCGAGATATAGATTTTCGAAGGGTCCTACCGTATTCCTTCGAGCTACCGTATCTCAAAAACGGCTCGAGTGATAATATTCAATTTTTCAAAAAATCCTAAAAATCATGTTCTACAACATATATGATTTAGAGAAAATTCTACAATAACGTTAATTTTTTTTCCAACTCATCCTGAACCCAAATGGCGCAGAACAAGTCTGCGCCTAATAGAAAATAGCAGAGCTGTTCTCGGGGCGACCGCGGTCGACCGAGGGCCCCCCGACTTGCGGCGTATTCGAGGGCGGCCGCGGTCGGCCTTTGGTAAGGGTCAACTCGGTCGACCCGTAGATACAAATTTTGTTCTGACTCCCGGTTTTTTGCGAATTATGGAAAGCGCAAGTTTTACTGAAATGAAAGTGAAACAAAAAAACATTTTTTATCGAGCACATAAAGAGAAAAACCGATGAAATGAGATATTAATCCAAAAATTCAATAGTTTCCTAAGTGGCCAGAACAATTTACAGAACTAGAGTAAACAAATTAATAAAATTTTTCATGGATCATAAATAACTTAAAAAGTTCATTTTCAATATAAAAAAAGTCGGGGCGGCCTCGGCCAGGGTCGCCCCTGACTTGAGAACAGCTCTGGAAAATAGGGTTTGAAGCCCCCTTCAAAAAAAGACTTTACTAATCTTTCAAACCTATTTATACTCTTCAGTACAAGCTCAAAGTACACATATATACTAATTCGAAGGTGTAGAATTAGAAAATCATAATGAAAATTTCGAGCTTAGTTGATGAAAGGTCAGTTTCAATCTGTAGATGTGATGTGAGCTCGGCTCTTCTCTAAAGAAGAGTGTTCGAAGTCTGCGCTGTGTAATATTTGCACTTTTTTGAACTCTAGACTCTTATCTTTCCTAGTTGCAATAATTTCAAGCATAAGAATTAGTATAAGGTAACAATATACACGAGGAAAGGGGTTACGAATAATTTTTCTTATTTTGGCGAGAATTTCGATGAGCATTTTTTCAAATTATTAAACCTGCAATTTAAATTTTAAAAAAAAAGACAACTAAGAAATACTTGAAAAAAATACATGAAAAAAGTCACATATCGCTCACGCTTATCAAAGTTTCCCGACCCCACCTCCGCTTAAAAATTGTTTTCTACATTTATATCTTCTAGAAAATGATTAGCTTCTTTTTCAGAGACTTGAAATGATTTTCGTTTTTCTCAAACTTTTCGTTTGACTGTATTAGATAAAGGTTTTCTTGTGAATGTTCAATTGGACCATGAATTTTTTTAAATTTGGCATAAGCTATTTGGTTTCTGTTTTCAATTAAAAATTTTCAAAAAGGAGTTTCTTTAGAACAGTGTTAGATTTTTTTCTCAATTTTTTCTTTAAAAAAACTTGTAGTCATTTGTTCCCGGCTTGAATTGCGAGAGAGGCGAAGTAGGGCCGGGATGCGTAGCGTGTGCGTATGCGGTTCTTGGCACGAGCTCTATTCAAGCTCTAGCAGCTATTTAGAGAGCTCGTTTATCGCTCTTTCCATTTCTTTTTTGATTTTTTATAGTTTTTTTTTTCGTTTTTGCATTAAAAACCTTCTTCGCCTCCCTCGCCTTTTGAGTCGGGATGGATTGACTATATTCGATGTTATTTTAGCACCCACGAAATCCCGGGAGAGAGGCGAAGCAGTTTGGGGATTTTGGGGACAGTGTGGGCCCTGCAGAAATGTTTTCCTAAAATTTTGGTAAATAAAGTATAATCCTAGCGCATTTCACTTGAAAAAAATGCTTCAAAAAAATAAAATTATAAGTGAAGCGATTACGAACTCTATGCTGGGAGGCGACTAAACGCCCTCTAAAATTTCAGGCGCCTTCAGGCTTATGCGAGGGCCGGCCCGGCCTTAGCGGGGCCTCAAGAAAAAATGGCCCGCCCAGCCCAAAACGCGCAATTTTTTTCTAGTCGGATATCAAGTTTTTTCCGACAAAAATTACGTTTTTGCTCAGTTTTTCACTTGAAGTTTACAAAAACTATGATTTTAAAAGTAAAAGTAACATTTCGGTAAAAATTTGGCCCAGGCCCACGCGGGCTGTTTCCTGAAAATGAGGCCCGAAGCCCGGGCCGCCTGGCCTGTCGCACAAGCCTGGGCGCCTTGAACGCGCTTTTTCTTTGCGCGAAATAGCGAACTTTCCTTCCCACCGTAAATTCTTCATATTCGAAAGTTTTTGGGACTTTTTTTAAAATTTATTTCTTTTGTTTTCATTTCGATTTTGCTTTTGATTTTGGCTACGAATAATGTTTTTAATACCTTTATTCACTGAATCCTGCTTATCCGTGTATTATTTAGAAACAATTTTGCCGAAAGAGTGTTTATTCTCTGAAATTTATCAAAAGATGTAGAACTTGACTATTTTTTCAAGATACTAGTATATTATTATCAATAGGTTTTCACTAAATTGATATGTGATTGTTAAAATTTGAAATGAGGGGGGTTTTTTTGAAAATTTAGCACCGGTTTTTCAAATAGTTTTAGTTTTTTAGTTTTATCTTATTATTTAGTTTCTAAGAGTAATTGAATGTGCAGTATACATCTTGCCAACCACAAATTTACGTTGTGCAGATTAAGACTTTGAAAAAATTCATCCGAAGCATCGAAAATTATTTCCAACCGCAAAGTGAAAAAAAAATTAGATTGAAACACCGTAAAATGCCTCCTTGAATATGTATATGTCTGCTTCTGTTCTGAAATTACCATAAGAGTTTTTTGAGTTTGCTCCAAGAAGATATCTACAATATCAAAAATGTAGATCGCGGTTTGACGTTATTTTGGTAAGATAATAGGCACTGCCAAATCTTGCTCATGAGGAGAATGAAAGGTTCACATGTTTGTTTAAAAAAAATTGTCCTAAAATAGAAATTTTTTTAGTTATTCGCGCTCGATAAACCGCTAAACAAGTCAGCATGATCAGCATCAATTGATGGGGTAAGATTTGTATTTATTTTTTTTACTTTATCGTGATGTCTTTTTCTAGATTATTGCCAAAAGGTTTCCAAACGGACCAAACAAACGAGAAGAGAAAATCGTTTTTTGAAGGTTATTTTTTGATGTTCGCTTTTGATCCTACCTTTGGACTTAAAATTTCCTGTTGCAGATTGTGAAATACGCGCATCGTAAAGGGAAAGCTTCAAGTCTTCATACAACGCCGCACGTCTTCATTTACCAACAGAATCTTGCAGCGACTCTTCTAAATAATCTCGCAGTGACTGATTTGACTCTTCTAACCTCCTTCATTTTTGAAGTAATTTGAAAATGGAATTTGATTAAATTTGCTAAAATGCTCCCAAAGCAGGCTGATCGTAACCAAAAAAAAAATCGATCTTTGTTTTCAGCCTAGTTATGGCTTACCATTGACATGAGTTCTATCACTCAAATAAAATTTATTATATATTCAAAGCGCCGTACTCGGTTCAAAGACGCAAGTCGGTTAATTTTTTATTTTGTTGCGATGAGCGTACTCTAAGAAGCATCTCAAGTTTTTTTGAAATTATTGAGATGATACTTCGTTCTACTTTCGTTGTTATAATTGATTTGTTTTTCTCATTGATTAAATTAGTTTTTGTATTTTTGTTCGTTCGAAATTTGAAATTATATTTGTTTATGTTTCATTTCACTTTCCTTCAATTTTTCGTTTGGTTGAAGTGTATGTTTTTGTTCCTTATGTTTGACTTCATTGACTTCATTATTATGTGTACCTTATCTCGATAGAAAATTTAAGTCGTACATGCATTTTAAAGAAAATAAATGAGTAAGTGGAGATATTATTACTTGATGTGTGATGCTATTCCTACGAGCTGAAAGCGCAAAGGTTGTGTGTATTTTTGTCTAACCATTGCTATTTTTGCACTCTGATCATATGGAATCAGAAAGTAAAAGCATTGGTTAGACAAAAATACCGACGACCTTTAGGCTTTCCAGCTCAAAATACAAGCAAACGGCAAATTGGAAAAGAGAAGGAAGTGGGCCCTATAGGGCTGTCGCGCCCCTAAGCGCCTACCAACCGGCACGAAAGCGCGCGGTTTTGGGCGCTTCTAGTGGGCGCTTAGTCGCCTCCTAGCATAGAGGAATGAAACCGAATTTGAAAAAAAAAATCTGCTAATAATTAGCCATCGAAAATATTGTCAGAAAAAGTATCTGTGGAAGTTATCCTATCCGTAAAAGCGTTTAGATTATATATAAAAAATAGCAACAACGCTTTGAAAAACAAAAAATACCAGAAAAAATTTAAAGAGATTCTCATATAGCCTGTGTACCACGACTTGGAATTTCACCAAACGACGTTCCGCTGTGCCGCTGCGCTCCTTTGCGAACCTTGGTCGCGCTTGAAATTTTTTAAGGTACTCTACTTCCAAGTGCTCCCACAGCAATAACAATCAATTGAAAGCGTGACTTAGATTCGAAAAATGCTTCGCGAACACACGCAGCGGAACAGCGGAATGTCGTTCGGTTAAATTTCAAGTCGTGGCACACAGACTATATCGTTTATTGCTCAAACCCATTTTCTTCGACATTTTGAATTTGCTCCTTTTTTTGACTTTATTTTTTCACATACTTTTTTTTCTTTTTTTAAGAAATAAAAAAAAAGACGGTTTATTTGCTGTTCTGAGCATTCATTCAAAGGGCTGTTAAAAAGTATTGTTAAACAAAATTTAACCATTTTCATTTTTCAGTTCCTGTGCTCTTGGTGTAATTACCTGATTACGGATTTCGCGGAGTTCTATCAACATATTCTCTACAACGAGAAACATTTGAGCAATGTTAGTTGTTTTCCTTTGTTTTTATTTATCTTTCTTTGACTCCAGATCCGTGCTGTTTTTCTTGAGGACATATCTTACCATTTGCAATTTCTCAGGTATTATCGGGTTTTAATTTGAACTTCAACGTCTTTTTTTTTCCAGAAGGCAGCTATATTCGCCTTTGTTGCAAGAATCCGAGAGCAATGTGAAGACGTTGAGCAGTAATTTCATTTTTTGCTTAGAATTTGTTGTAAAAAAAAATTAGACAAAAAATTTCCAAACAAGCGAAACCCCACATGTCATACTTGTTTTCGAAAAACCGTTTTTGGTGTTTTTGACCAATTTTGTCATTTTATGCGTCAAAACTAAAATCAATATGCTCTTGGCGGATTAAGATCAGAAAACTTCATTATCCGAAATATTGTTTCTGAAAACACTACAAAGAAAAAGCTTGAAATATTAGAGATGGAGTATAACTTTGTGTAATTCAGAGAAGCAGTTTATGAAGTAGGTTTTCTCTATGTTGTCCTTTTTTTGATCCAAGGTGCATCGTTATTATGAAAAAAACTAATTCGAAAAATTCCGCGGTGAAACAATTTTTTTGAAATGCATGGACTCAACATTTAATAGACCATTTAGTCTTTTTTCCCGACTTGCGCGGTGGAATCAGATTGGAAATGTGCTTTCTGCGATTGTGACGCGACTTTTGGTTGGAAATTTGGGTTCAAACGCGAGAAATCTTTATGCGTTTCTTTTACTCACTATTTTGCGTTTTATTTTCAATTGTAATGGCATTGTGAATCCAGTTAAAAAAATTAATTTTTTTAAAAAAAGGCCTTCAGAAGGATAATATTTAAAAAAAGTGCCTTCAGAAGGATAATATTTTTTTAAAAAAAGGCTTTTTTTCTTTCGTTTTCTAAAAAAACTCGCAGTTTAATCGGCATTTCCGGCGAAAAGCCTGGTCGCGACCAGGGCTGTGCGGCAATCGATTGCCGGTTTGCCTAAATTGCCGGTTTTGCCGGCTTTTTCTAGAGTTTTTGAATTGCCGGCTGACCGGCAATTTCCGCAGGGAATTGCCGAAAATTTTTTGAAATATATTTTCGATTTTTGGACTCTTCAAAGCTCCATATTTCTAAGAAAGTCTTCGAAAAAGTGTGTAGGATTGGTGTAGGATTGCGTCTTTCTGCTACTTGGCGCGTTTTAACCTCAAACTTCTCGAAAATTTTCATTCGAATCATCAGTTTTTCACGTTTTTTTAAGCATTGAAGTTAGTTTTGTTTAGTTTTGTTTTCAGGTTCACGTAGTTGTTGGAAACTAAATGTAAGTAACCTTCAGAATGAAAGTTTTTCAAGATTTTTGGAAGGTTCATTCCAATTTCGAATTTATTTTATGTGAAAGTTATGAAATGTTTTAGCAATTATGTTAAGCAAAATCTATCCTACATTTAACAACAAAAAACCGATTGAAAAACTGTTCAGAAATGCGTAAAATGAATTTAAGACCTACAGGGACCCGTCTGGTTTGCACTGCGCCTTCTCGGTTAGCCATACTAGACCATTTTTCACTCATCTTTCTATTTGATAAAATGAAAAAGGCTATTTTTGACATTAATAGATAGAAAACTACAGAAAAAAAGACTTTTTACTTAAAAAACGGATAACCGCTATCGGTGTATGCACAATTTAAACCTACAGTGTGCAAACCGGACGGGCTGAACAGATGCGGCGAGTAAACTGTGAGATTAAGCCTCCTGTTCTAGAATTATTCAACTGATAACTGGATTGAAATCATATTATCTATGAATTAGTTCATTTTGCTGCCTTTTGCCAAAAATTGCCGAAAAAAAATTTAAGAAATTGCCGGTCTTGCCGGTCTTGCCGAAAATATCGATTGCCGCACAGCGCTGGTCGCGACCGCAATAAAATCCTGTCAACCTGCCTCTATCGCCATTAAATTTACGTGAAGTTAATTTCACTTCGAAAACGAACTTTTTAAGAAGCGCAAATCGCAGATAACTTCCAAAAACTGTGCCGAAAGTTGAAAGTGCACTCAACAGATCTTCCGCCTTCTCGTAATTCGTTCTTTCTTCATTTTGTTGTAAGTTTTTGCATAAAGTCTAAATTTAAAAAAACTTGTATATGATAATGCACGTTTTTTTTTCACAGAAGAAGTGTGCCATTTGCAATGTATCGCTTTTGGGCAGGCCAAGTGTTCTGGAACACCTTTGCAACGATACTCACTATAAAAAAGTAGGTGGACGAATTTCAATTTTTTTTTGCAGTCACTTTTGATTATTTGTTTTGAAGTCTGGAGATTAGATAAAATCTTGGCTTCAAAATGTGAGAGAAAGTTTGTGAATGTCGTTTCAGTTGCTGGAAGCAAGAGTCACCGCCAAAGATTTTGCGTTTTGGAATTCAATGTTCTCTTAGGAAAAAAAGGATAAATGTTTATGTGCATATTTTATTTCTAATAGTCTCTTCCCTTCCTGTTGAATGGTGGATATTTTTTATATATTTGTTTCAAAAACTTCACAATAAAATAATTTGACTCCTGAAGTGTTTTCGATCTAACTTAGGTTTTCATTCGAACGTTCATTACTTGTAAAGAATCTAACGGGCGCGCCTGATTCTAAAGAGCAAAGCGACGAATCCGATGAAATATAAGACGATAGCTATGGTGGCAAGTCCGCCAAGATCGAAGAAGAACATCCAAGCCTCGAAGCCATGTCGATGCAGTATTGCGTCGCGATTCTGAAGTTTGAACATGGTTGTGAAAAGTTATCTAATATGAAGTATCAAGCTAGTTCATGGTTATAAACTGTTTTTGGTTGGTATCGTTTTGGTGAAAGCAGTATCTTATATAATTTTTCATTGCGAATCGAACTGTGCTATCGAAAAAATTACAGATATGACTAATTTTAAAGAAGAAAAACGCCATTTTACTTTGTCGCCTTTAGTTTTGAAAAATGCTTTGGATCGGTGTTCGGACAACTTATTACAGTAACCGTGCACGGGATGTTGCGGACGAGTCAATAGACTCGCATTTTGGGAGAAATAACCGCTTATCTGCTTCAAATAAGGTGCTTCTTCTCTAAAAATTCATTTACCAGGCTCTCCAATAATTCTTGTCCGAAAATTTCACCATTAAAATTTTTTTTTAACTTTGTTGAAGAACTAGTCTAATCAACAATATAATCACCAAAGTTATTTACGACATTGGCCCATCGATTGGGCAGCTCGCCGATGCCCTTCGACCAGAACTCCTATGCCTACTACGCCCCTATGCCCCCTACCTCTTTAAAGTTCCAGAGCTAAAAACAACTTTTTATTGAAAAGTGCTTTTAAAGTTCAAATAAACTAACTTGAACCGTCCAGTTTTTGCCTCCATGAGCGTCGTCGAGACGCGACCACTGGTTAATCATCAAAGCCTCATATGCAAGTCTAAAACAAAAAATATAATCTTAGGGGGCAATATAATTATTCTTAATCAAAGGGACCTAATCAAAAAGATAATAAAAATTAAGAAAAAATAAAAATAATTTTGAAAAAATGAAAAAAAGGGACCTGATTCAGTAACAAAAAATTATGAACAATACATTCGCCTTTCCTAGTAGCTTTCATCAGAGTGAAAGTCTGGAAGACCAACCGATTCCAACTGGTGTATTGGATCCATTGAATGAAAATCGGCATGCTTGAGGTGGTTCCGTAGAATCCTCCGACCAACATGAACAGGATGAGAATCGGACCCGACGACGCCACTGTAATCGGCACCGACGGACAGATGCATGATAACGCAATTCCGCAGCTCGAAGCAGCCTGCTCCGTCAGAACGGCAACCAAGATCATCCATAACACCTTTCAAAGGTTCAACTTATGACAATCTTCATAGAAGCCTAAGGAGAAAAAAAAAGTTTGAAACCTGTTGAAACGTGGAAGACAATCCGATCAGCCAGTAAGAGATTAGGATCATACACAAGCCGTCCGATGAAAACAACGGCATGTATGAAACGATCCGAGCAATGTAGTAACTAATAATATACAGCTATTCAGGAAGATAAATTGAAGATGGTTTTCAATGTTACCATTAGACGTTTTCTTAGTAGAAGAACTGTATGATTTTTTTTTTGTTGCCATTGAAAAGAGATAATAACTCTTTTGCATTTTTTCACAGCTTTTCATTTTTCGACAGCTTTTCTTCACAAGATTTCAGACATCGTCTCTTTCAAAAATCATCTCAAGAGACCATGCGCATTGGTAGTTCTTTCAATGATAAGCTCAAATTTAAAAGATAAAAAAATTTGCAAAATTTAACAGAAAATAATAATATAACCTTGCCAAATTGTATAATCCGTCGTGATATTCGCGAGCAACCAGAGGGAACTCAATATTGAGGAATGTCATGATTCCTTCATCGTTTAAATTTCAAGAATAATGTCAGATTTTATGATAAACCTGCCATTGTCGAAAACGTCAATTCGCAAACGACAAAGAAGAGTGCGCCGTTAATATTTTGAATACCATGAGGCGTATACTCGGTCTGAAAATGAAGTTGAGACCGAAAACTCTCTTTCAGACGAACCTGAAGGTACAGCAGTCCAATGAACAGACCCATGACGCATTTCTGTGTGAACTTTGCACGTGCGACGCCAGGATTCCGCATGATGTCAAGAAAACATCTCAAAAAAAAAAAAATTCATTTTTCATTTTCATAAGGGAAACAGAACCTTTCTGCCAAAGCGGTGATCTGGCTTGTGAACCCGACACGGCTGAGCCACTGCGGAGCTTCTCCTATCTCCAAACTGCTCAGGTAGTCGTTCACCTTCTGACCGTGATCGCTGTAGAGTAGAAGTTTTTTTTTGGAGTTCGAAATAACAGCGACCTGGATTCGAAGGCTTCTACGATTTTGTCAATGCGCTTCTTGCACTCGGCTTCTTCTCCAGGAACGACCGCCAACACCGATATTATGTATTCTGATGGGTTGAATTTTGGTGGAACGACGTGTCCGCTCTTTTCGAAGAACTGAAATTAAAGAAAGGTCACGTGCAGCTAGAGTCGTTTTAACGGTGATTGAGTCCTCTGGTGAGCCCAAGAAGGCCGTTCTTCCGTTAGCTGAAGCGAGTTTTATTAGTTCTTTGGGTTTGATTTAATCTCACCCATGTACATGACGCTATCAAACATTTGATAGAGTTGAGAGGCTGGCTGGTGGATCGTGCAGATAATGGTTCGGCCGTTAGCTGCGAAAGTTCGAAGGAGCTGCACAACGTTCTCCGCCATGAAGGAATCAAGTCCCGAGGTGGGCTCGTCGGCAAAAAGGAGAGAAGGATTCGACAGCATTTCACAGGCGAATGTCAGTCTTCTGGCTTCTCCTCCTAAAAACCTTATCCACCTTTCCGAAGCGCAAAGTATACTATAAAAAATAACTCCATGAACTGGATATATTTTAACAGAGAGAGCAGGGAGACGCAGACACTCGAAAACTTTCAAGTCGCGGCGAGTGAACTATACCTGAAATGCCTTTTTTCACTCCGACGACGCCGATGCGAGAGTTCTGGCATTTCACAAGTCCCAACTGAACCATAACTTCATCAACACGCTCTTTCCTCACTACAGAATCTTCGTCGATTCTCAGTTTTGCCTGAAATGTACGCATAATCGACAATACATGAACCCCACCTGAATGAGGAGATACTCGTGCACTGTTAATGTGCCTATAAAAAGTTCTTCTTGCTGAGCGAAGCCTGATACTCGCGAGATATCTTTTCCCATCTGGAAAAAATAAAAAATAACTCCATGAACTGGATATATTTTAACATCAATTCCATTGACTCTGATGTTTCCACTGTGTTCTAAACCGCGTAAATTGCGAGCCATCAGTGTATTTAGTAAGGTAGTTTTGCCAGCTCCACTGAAATTCGAGCTTTTATAAACGTTACTTTTCAAAGCTGGTTCTCTTTTGTTGCAATCGTTTCAAGAAAAAAACAGTATTTTCGAGAATGCAGACAGTATTAAATGTAAAAAAAAGGAAATTTTATTAAGTTTTCAAAGTTATTTCCGCAAATTTACCTCTAGCTCTCCAAAGTTTAGTTATCTACTTCTATATCTGACAACTATTTTTGAGTTCGCGGAATCACTTGAAGGCGAAAAAACTTTGCAATACTTAAAATCAGATTTGAAAAGACGTTTTCTTAACAAACAAAATTCCATGCTTCTTTCAACTGTTAAATAGTCTTTTCGCACAGACTATGTTTTACCTTGCCCCCATCAAAGCCATCAACTGTCCGGGTTTAGTGAAGCCATTCACATTTTGCAATATTTCTCTTCCATTTTCAGCCTTTACTCTGTAAGAATCTCTCATCACTGTATTTCATTTGATGCCTACGTAATATGTTCCCAGCTGACGGTAATGGGAACGACCTTGAGACTTTTCTCGCTGTTGCTTCGAAAAGCGTTTCGCGCCTGAGAAAGACGAATATTTTCCAAGCTTTGAATGGAACCAACAGTACTGGGAGACCTCCGCTCGTCAGGCATTTCTATAAAATGAAAATGCTGCTGGCCTTTGAGCACGTTTGTTTCTTCAATATTTATTCAATTTACAATACAAGAGAAAACCGGTGAGAAATCAGAAAGAAGAACGAAACAATTATTGAAAGTTAAATTTTGTAAAAAAAAAAACTTTGTACAAATAGGGAGCAAAAATCTATCTTGTAGTTTTCAAAAAGAAAGCGAGTTCAGATGATGTGCAGATTTCGAATGGAAGCGTGAAAACTAGCGATTTTTGGGAATTTCTATTGGAAGCTGGGACGAACTTTGCCAGAAAGCCTCTAGAACTGATCCAACTTTATAAAGAGAAGTTTATAAAGAAATTTCATCACTGCTCCCAACCACATAAAAAGAATTAGATAATTTGTCTGGAACGGAACTTTTTAAAATGAATAGGCATTGCTCATGTTCCGCTCGGCGATTTCTTCCTCGAGCATGCGGATTCGTCTTTCATGTTGCCGCAAAACGGCCTTCATCTTCATCAGATCCTCCAGCAGCTCTTCCATGTTTGTCGGTACCTTCTGCAATTTTTTTTTTTTGATTTTTTTGAGTTCTCATTTTATCAACTTCCGAGAAACCCTAAAAAGGAATTATTTTTGATTTGAACTCACAATGGTCAGAACTTTATGGATACTTGTCAAACTTCTTTTCATTTTAATGGTTTTTAAAAGAAACTTTTATCGGAAAATAGAAAGTTTTGTAGATTGAGATTTTTCCTTACATTATGGGCTTTAGTCTTTTTTTGCGATCAGAGCCTCATATATTCCGTTTGGGGCGATTCTCTTTAAAATTTTGAAGTTATAAAACAAAAATTATCTCTTTTTTTGAGGCATCAATAACATCAATAAACTTAGTAAATAAGTGAGTTCTCTAGTGAAATAGATAGAAAAGCAGAAGCAGAAGTGATACGTGCCCCGATATCAGCGTTGCTGGATCTTCGCGAAGCAGATTGTCCGCCTTGAGGTATCGGCGGAGCCAGCTCTTCCGCATCCGGTAGGCGTGACTGTAGGGTTAACAATCTTTAATGGCTTCCATTGAGTGAATCTTCGTTAAATTTGAAAAAACGTCGAGTTTCAAATTTGATCGAATTGAAAAATAATGAACCTGATCTCTTTTTATGCGATCTAATTCGGCAGCGGCTCTTCGCTGACCAGCGGTCATGGCTCCTGGCTCATCTCTGTCGGCTCGGGATTTTAGTTGGACCTTTAGACGGATAATAATTAGTAAGGAAAGTGATAAGGGAGAGGGGGGTAGGTTGTTATGTTACTTCTTCATTACTGATTAACTGGAAGGAACAAACCGCTTGTTTTGGTTTCATGGGGTCGGTTTTCGGCTCTTCTTTAGGTGGGATCTCCGATCGCGAAGCTCTACTCGACGCCGGTCTGCTCGGAGCTTGCTGAAGACTATGAGATATTAGTATTCTGAATTGATTAGAATACCTCTCGCATCGTGACGATTCCCATGTCATCGTCGACGACAACTGGCCGCTGTCGAGGAGAAGCTTGAGAGCTTGGCCGTGGAGAAGGAGCAGCACTTCTGAAGGTAAATATTCTGTAGGTTAATTATTCAACGTCTTACGATTGCGCTGACGGCGTTTCAGAGTATGATTTTGCTTGTGGAGATTCGGCCCTGAGAAAGAAAATTGTGACTGAAGTTCAAAAAATATCACTAACGCAGTGGGCGCCAGAGTGTTAAGAATGTTGGCTTTTTTGACGACGGCGACTTTTGGCTTAGCAGAGGCAGCGGCTGCTTCGGCGTTGACAGGCTGCCTGTTCGGAGGAGCGTTCTTGCCTTCGCTGAACTCTTCAGCCGTCATCGCCGGAATCGTGGACCGTGTGTCTGGGTACAGATCGTGCTGGAAAATGAGCAAAACTTTTTTTTCTAAAAAAAAACCCGGAACAAGTCTGAAAAAAAAAAACCTGGAACAAGTCTGACTTCCTAGGCACGAAAAACTGAAGTATGTCGACAATTCCCTTCGTAGTCAGCTTATAGATTCTGTAATTTTGAATGTTTCAAAAAAAAGTTTTTATGAAGTTCTTACCTGACTACTTCGTTTTCTTCCGAGCTGATGCCTCGCTTCGATTGGAAACCGATAGCTCTTTGAGGCTCACTTGTCGTGTAGGTGTTGATGTAGTGCACGAATGGCGCTTCGTTGTTCACTTCGTAGTAACGAATTGCGCAGTCGCCCTTTAGAAAATATGTTTCATTCTTTCAAAATTTTTTCAGCAATAGTTCGTTGATAGTTCTAACTAGGAAACTACTCGGACTCGGGTACGCGTTTCGAGTTCAAACTTTAGTGGTTTATAGACCCAAGTCAGAATACTTGAAAACAAGGGAGAATATCTGCTAAACCCAATAGAGAACTAAGAAAAAAAATAGTAGAAAATGTGAAAAATAGGCTTGGAAATTTTCAGAATACTGCTTTCTACCTTATTTCATATTTTAATACAATCGCCTTGAATGATCCGGCTATGATTAACTCTAAAAAACTTTTTTCCAGTCAAAAGGAGGAAAGCAAATACTTGATAATTTTCAAGCCTAAATTGTTCATTTTCAAAAAGCTTTTTCTCAAAAGCCTATGGGGTTTAGCAGATAATCTCTCTTGTTTTCAAGTACTCTTAGCCGTGTCCATGAGCCACCAAAGTTTCAACTCGAAACGGGTACCCGAGTCCGAGTAGTTCCCTAGTAAGAAACGTCGATAATTGAAACTTCCATGAACGGCCTAGGAGTACTGAAATTTCTGAAACTTTTCTTTCATTCCGAGATTTTTTCAATTGATCAAGTACACAAACAAAGTTGTAAGTGTAATAACTCTTAAGAACCTTTCCGCAAAGGTAGAGCAAGCCGGTATCTTCGTCGAAAAATGGAAACAACACTCCGTTGGACGTGTCAAGCTCTTCTTCTATTATTGGTGTCGATAAGTCTTCCTTAATATTTTTTTAAAATTTAAATTTAAAGTCTTTTTTTCTGAAAAAAAGTAGAGATATTTTTTCAAAAAAAATTTTCAAGAAAAGTTCTTCTCGAGATGGTTTCAAGCAACTTTTTTAAAGAGCTGAAAAAGAAACTATTCGGTGAGTGGTGACTTACTGGAGCTCGAAGCGCAAAAAGTCTCTCAGATCTTTTGGTGAAACTGAAAAATAATATTGAATATCTTTCCGATATTTCAGAGCTCCAACCCCGTAGTAAGAACCAGGCCGTCCTTGACGAAAATGGCTCTTTGAGGCTTGACTCCCTCGTGACCGACTCCTTCATGTAGAACGGCACCGGTGTGTGAGTCCAAAATCCTGATTTTCTTATCCTTAAAAAATCTTACATTATTGCAAATTTTCCTGTAAAAATCACTTTGCAGGCCGTAACAAACTGGCTGCCATCGTAGTTGAAACTGATGCTGAAGATTTGGTCTGGATGACCGGCGATCTCCAGAAGAGCTTCTCCAGTTCCCACGTTCCAGAGGTACATGATGTTCTCGCCACCTTCAATATTTATGCTTTACTTAGATAATCAGTCCTAATAAATCTGTGTTTTTTTGATCAATGGTTGGAAAAGACGTCAACATGTGTTCTGCACTCTTTTTTTGCTAAAAAAAAATCATGTTTTCTAGCGACCACTGCACTTTGAGGACTTTGATTTGTTGTGATCTGTATTCGAAAAGAAAAAAGTAGTCAATAAGTGGAACGAGCCAGCAGTGAGCAAGACGTTGTTGGCAGTGGGATGCCAGGCGAGGGTGTTGACGCGTTTCTGGTGGCCGCACAGCTCAACGGCCGGTTCGACAAGATTTCGCGAAAGTCCGCGGTCTGGAATCACCCAAACCTGCAAGAGGGAGTCCTAACATATTCATTCCTTCTTTAAAAAAGTTTGCCAAAGTTTGAGACAAAAAGTTTCAAAAAATCCTAGCAATGAATTCAAACTGTAAAAAAGCATCAAAGGAATGTCTGGGAAGTTTTAATTTTCTTCTTGAAATCAAACTAAATTATTGATTTATAGCTTTTTTTTTTTGAATAATTAGTATTTGATATCCAATAATCCAACAAATTGCATTCAAAGGCTTTGAAGAGGAAAAAAATATTGAGGAAGGTTTTCACACGACTAGTGAAGTATTTCACGAAAAGAAAATGTTTAGAAGTATCTACATATAGTTTCTCTGAAATGAACGCGGAATGAAGTTTAGTTGATATTTTCCGCTTTTCAGAGGAATTTCGGTAGATTCCTACCTTGCATGTTGTGTCTTCTGAACACGAGGCAATGACATTGTCGTTGAATGGACTCCACGCGACTTCGAGACACGGCGCCTTGTGTGCATCGACAAAAGGATAGTCCTTGTCGATGCGGCCGACCTACGAGATCTTCATTTTTCAACATTCAAAAAATAGTCAGTACGAATTTTTAAAGAATTTTAGTTTCAAAATCACAATGAAATCCCGACTTTTGAGAATTTCTGGCCGCAAGCGGCTTGCTTGCGGCAAGCCATTCAGACTTTTACACATTTCCGTTAGAACTCTGCGCGTAGCTGCTGTACACAACCTGAATCGCACTTTCACATTTTTTTCAATTAAAAAAAACGAATAGTGAAAGTTATACATATTTCAAAGATGATGTTTGCTGACATTGCGATATAATTCCGTTGGCAAACAGAGGAAAAATTTTCAGTTACCTGGAGTAAATGAGTTTAGATAAGTAGATAAACTAAGCAGTATGAACTAAAACGACGAAAAAATATTAAAACGAATCCACCTTGTTTTTAACCTTAGAATGAAAGATAATTTCCGATTTCTACTCTTTTACCACACAGTAAAATCATGAAAAATGTTTTGTTCGTTTCACTCGAATAGAGAAAAAAAACCTCTCAAAATTTTCTAACGTATCTATAGGTTACGTATTGAAACAAGAGTATTTGCACACGCAGCGTTCCCACGCGAACTTGCCAGAAATCCGGTCAGAAGCCGACTGGAGGGAGGTGAGATATAGATGGTTCTAGTCTTTGACAGGTCTTGGGTCTGGGTTGAAAGAATAGAGAAAAGTTTCACCTTATTAACAGGTATGACCATGAAAGGACCTCCAGCGCCTCTTGTAATGAGAGCGATGAACTTGGGATTGACGTCGCAGAACAGTGAGTCCCAGGTTATTTCCGTTACCTAATTAAGAGAAAAATTAAAACTTTAAAACTTTAAATGTTTACCCGAATGTCGGACATGCATTGTTCGTGCTTGACAGGCTTACAAAACACATGTCGGAACTTACTTTGTCTTACGATTTGAGCCATTGCTGGAAATTTTTCACTCATCATTTGTCAAGTTCAAAAAAGGAGAATATGGAAAGATTTTGGATTCACGAAATTCTAAGATTCATGAGATTTGTAATGTGAACGTGAAAAATTGGAGTGCAGCAACGCTTCTTAGGTGGCGTCCAGCTCTAGCTATTAAGACAAAAAAAAATGAATTTATCACTTGGATGTACCGCAGTGTCCCAGTCTGTAAATCCCTTCACTGTTTCGCACAAATCAAGAAATTAATGATCCGGTCGATTAAAAAAGAAGAAAGAGTATGAGATATAGCTAGGTGATAGGTGAAAGTCTAGTTCAAGCTCCGATTCAGTTTTAATAAAGTGAATTGAGCTTAATAATTACCCTTCTCTTCGCTAGAAATAAGAAGTAGAATATTTTTGAGAATTTTCGCGAAGTTAGTACCCAAAGTTATAGGGCATGACAGGTTTAAAACTATAAAATAAGCTGTCCTGATAACTTGAAAAGATTAGGAGCACAGTTGAACGAAGAGAACGGAGAAATTGTCGTCAGGGATGCCGCGACACTCGTGTGGGCGCCGAGGCAAACAGCCGAGGGCGGAGGTTCGGCTGTTACACTGGCGGCTCGGATTCTTCGGCTGTTGTGTCGCGGCTTTGTTGACCGGCGCATGGTTATCAGCCAGAGCTTCATCAAGTGCTTGCCGAACGGTTGGCAAAAATCGCCGCAATTATGCACGGAGAAAGTGGAAATATACTTTTTTGTGTTTTTTTAAGAACGAGCTCGTGACAGGGAGAAGTCTGGTGAAAAAAGAATTTAAACTAGTCGTGATACTTCAATTTATAGTATGATCGCCAAAATTTTAAAGCTGCAATCGAGCAAAACGAAGCGACGTTTCAACTGCACAAATTCATTTTTAAAATTCGGCAAAAATAAATTTCAAGGCTCTGTGCTTTCAATTTTTTTTTAATAGTCCTGTAAATATATAATCAAAAAAAAAATCATCTAACGCTTTCAGGAGCTTCTTTTTAGAGAGATGGAAAATCCTAGAGGCAATAATTTATGAAAAAGTTTAGTCCTTCGATGTATTTTCTTTTTTCCAATCAGTTCCACTGTTTTAGTTTTTTCTTTGCTTGAATAGAACTTAATTCATTAGATGATTCCATCGAATATCTCTCGAAATTAAAAACAAAACTGGGGATTCATTTAATTTTTATCAAGGTGTCACGATGATGCTCTTATCTGCACGCACATTGTAATGTTGCAGACTAAACATTGGAATAGACGACTGCGCCTTCATTTCAAATTTTTTTTTTTTTCGAAGATATTTTTTTCGAAGATTTTACAAACTCTTCACAAACTAGCTAATATTCTTCACACACGCAGTTCATATTTTTTTTTTCGATTGAAAACTTGAAGGAGTTTTCATATCGCGATACCAAAATTTTTTTCCATCTGTGCGCCTAAACACGCCATATAGACAAGGAGTTTCTTTGAAGACTTTTTTTAAGTTATTTCACTGGTTTTCCAAAAGTAATTTATTTTACTTTTAGAATGTTAGAATGGTGTTTGTAGTCAAACTGTTAGAAATCTATATGAAGAATGAAAATTTTTGTGTTAGTGGGGTTCTGAATTTCCATTACAAAGTAGTAGGGTTTTGAATTTCCGGTACGAGGTTAAACCACGTCTAGTTTTCTGCAATTGTGGCGCGGTACTTTCGGTCTCATTTTTCACCACTGCGCAGTTCCCTTTAGGAACGCCGTGTTCACTCTCCAATGTGTTTTGTTTTTTTTTCGGTGTGCTCTTCCTACGTGTTGTGAATAAATAATGTTAGCGTTTTTTTTTTCAGCAATGATTCGCTTCGCCGAAAACGGCGATGTAATAGCGGAAACTTTGCCGGAGACTAGCACAACATCTCGAGGTAGTTTGACTCTCAAATAATTTTTCTTTCAACATATCACCTTTTTGGAAGAATTTTCAAGCACTTAATAACCTTGTTTCAGAGAACGTTGCTCCCAGCGCACAGAAAGTTGCTTCTGAAGCGGATAAGAAAAAGGCTGCGCAGGCAATTTTTCTTAAAAAGTCCAACTCGGTCATGCGCAGTGCATTGAAACAGGTGGGAGGGTAACATGAAGATGCAAACATTTGTTTTCTAATTTCAGAATGCGGTCCCTGGTTACGGTTGTCCGGCTTCAGCGGACTATCCCAATATAGATAAAATTGGTTCCCCAGGAGATAATGTCAGCATTTCTGGTCGGTTTTACCAAGAAATTTTAATTATCGCGCTTTCCAGCTAAACCAACATCAAGTGTTCGGTATAGTCGGTCCGAGCTCAAGTTTGAGACTTTGTGCCGTGGCTACAAGTTTTTCACGTGCAAAGACGCCATTTTTGCTCAGGTATCCATGGTGAAAATTTTAAAGAGAAAACGTTTTTTTTGAGGACATTTCCGGATTTTATTACAAGCTTAACACCTCGACTAAAGATTTTGAATGGTTTTCTGAGGGATGGATCGAGGATAACGGTTTGTTAGATACATCAAAGATGTTAGTTCTTTACATCAAATTCAGAACAAAGTCTCGGTGCGTGTCCTCCAACGGCTCCAACTTACATAAGTTTCAACAAAAATGGATTGCCTGTCTATCCGCTTAACGACGAAGGAAAACCCATTTTGCCTTACAACGAGAAGGGAGAAAAGGTAAAGCTTGAAAATACTGAATTCCGGAAAGGGAAAGATCCGCAATAGCTTTCAATTGTGTTGAAAGAGGACTGGCTAGGGCATGGTCTCCCTTGAACATCGAGTTGAATAGTGAAACAGTATGGGTTGATAGGCGTAAGAGTACTCGGAATCAGAAATAAATTTCTGCGAAACCCTACAGACAACCGAGGAAAAGCCCGTCGAAAGTTTTTCAGACCGTGTATTATTTTTCCCGATTTGAAAAGCGAAATGAGTAGATTGGTTAGGCTGAAGGTTTCGTACGCGGCTTTTGGCAAGAAACTCGAGGTCATGAAAAAAGGGTAGAATAATTTTTAGATTTTGATCGCTCAACTAAGTTCTTTTTTAAACTATAAACATTAAAAATTATTTTAAAAAACCATTAAAAATAGAAAAAATACAACATTCGCGTATAAATTTACGTTTCCCGCCGGATAGTCGCTTCGTGTACGAAACGCTTCATCCTTGCCAATCTACCCATCTCTTTTTCAAGTTGAGAAGGATTTACTTATATAGCCACGCTTGATGATTTCGGCCAGCAAATGTCGGCGTGGTTTTGTGGGAATTCCGCACTCTCCACGCAGTGACCCTGGTTCGGATCCTTTTGGCGGAAATTAATTTTATTTGTTCATAAATTCATAACTCGCACATATCCAATGTTTCTTGAGTATTTCAAGTTAAAAAAAAAAACCACTTTTCACATATTTTTGTTCATTCGTTTATTTATTTCAAACAATGAAGATTTTTTTTATAAGTTTTGTAATACTCAATTAAAATGATTTTTTTTTTCAAGAATTGTAAAATATATGAGCGAATGATGAGTTTTTGATTAGCAAAAATGTTTTTCGCCAATAGGAATCCAACCATACACAGTGTGAACAGCGACGAAACTCCTACGCCGCCGGTCGCTGTTGGAAGCCCCCGAACTCGGTCGTAACTCTCCGGAAAACCTCCCGGAAGCTCATACGTCGACTGGATCCCACCCCGGGGTGCGGCCTACCCCCCTCAAACTGCGGCCTACTCCCCCTCAAACTGCGGCTTCCCCCCCACAAAAAGTGCGGCCCACTTCAGTACATTTTCAAATTTTTTTTTTCGCGCTCAAAAGGCTGGGGTGGGATCGGAAGCTTTTCCTCGGTTTGGCAGAAGTTTTTCTTTTATTTTTAATTTCGAGTACTTTCACCTAGTATTACCAATAAGGTCTCACTCCTCCACTCGATTTCCAGGGGAGGCCAAACCATAATGAGAAAGACTTTCAAGACATAATTTTTCACTGTATTCAAAGTTTTGAATTGTTTCAGGTTTTCCCGACTGATATTTCGACGGCTCTTCCGATATTTCCTGTGGACTTCTTTTCTGGAGAACCATGCCTGCCAGTGGGACCTGATGGTCGTCCTGTTTTTCCGATGGGATCTCATGGAAAGCCAATCGTTCCCATTGACTCCACCGGTTAGCCCATTTAACGGAACCCTAATCTCTCCTTTCAGCCACCTTAAGTGAAATAAGGTTCCTCCAGAGCATTCCCCTTAGCTAGACCGCCATTTGCAACCATTCAGGTAGGTTCTCGCGCCTCGGCAGCAAATTTTTGGTTGATATACAGCCGAATGAATTGCAGTCCGCTCTCAACCAATGCGGCGCTCCCCCCAAACTTGGGAAAATGCAGTGATGTTGTCTCTCGCTCCCCCAGTCATTAACTTGTCGTTTTAGCGAGGATTTGTGACGGCGCAGTTCGGTCGCTGTGTTCAGCTCCAACAAACTTTGAGTTAAATGTATCGGAAATGTTGTGAAAATTGCTTTTCGAGAAGCGGCGTCCTCGACTTCCAGCTATCCTAATCGTTGATCTTTTCCTACAGGCGCCGCTGTATTCCCTCGAGGGCCTGACGGAAAGTTTTTGTTTCCTGAGCGCGAGGATGGACGTCCCATTCCGCCGACCACCGTCTACGGCAATCCGGTCATTCCTTTCGATGAAAACTGTTCGTTTTTATTTTTCCAGATCTGTGAAATCTAAAATAGAGCACTTGGAGAGCAACAATTAAGAAACGATCTGCTCTGTGAAAAAGAAAATACAAAAAATGGCGGAGGAAAAATAATCATCACTCTTCTCTGAAACAAAAATCAATAGACATTGCTTTCTTGAAGAATGGCCAGAACATTTAATAGGCTTTGGATACGATTAAGTCGAGCTGCGAAAAGTCGCTAAACCGATATTCAAGTGGAAGCTCGTTTAATAACGATTTTCTACTTTTCTTGGCTACTGAATAGCTGGTTTTCTGAAATATGATTTTTTTGATTTTCGTATTTCGCACTGTTCATGTCTAGATACTTTTAGAATATTCAATAAAGGACGACAAAAACACGAGTTGAAAAACAATAATTAGAAACAAAACTCAACGGAAAATATGTGTAAAATCCTCTTAGTTTCTTTTTTTCTAAATACTAAAAACTCGTTTTTGCCATTTCAAATCAGAAAAAAAGCTTAAAAAAAAAACAAGTTTCAAAAATGTTACCCATTTAGTGGCTTCTTTTCAGTGCAGCCGGTGATCCCAACGGACGCCAACAACAAGCCTTTGATCTTCATGGGCGGAGAGGACGGAATCACGCCTATGACCGAGGAGGAACACTACGACTGGCAGTACAGTCAGGCGATGTACGACCCCGCCGCCTATGGCTACGGCTACGATCCTCAGCAGCCGAATCCCTACGAGATGGCCAACAACGAACAACTTATTCAGGCTCACAAGGACATGTATTATGTCAGTATTCGATTCTCTCTTTCTATCCGCTCGGGCAGGCTAAGTGAGCTGGCTTTTAGGAGTTGCGCATAAACTTTTGAAATCCCGTCGAATATTTTTTAAATCTTAACTTAAATTTTCACAAAAATGGTGATTTTTGTCTTTAAGAACTTGATGTTTGACTTTTTGAAGTATTCAGCCCTCGCACGAGTCCTTTCTGTTTTTAGGGGGTTTTTTTTTTTGAAATCGATTTTCAGAGGTCTTTTTCTTTTATTCTCATCGAAGAAATTTTTCAGCAGCAATACGACGCCAATGGCTATGATTATAACTACGAGCCAGCTGAACCGACGGTTCGTTTCCCTTTTATGACGTGTAAACAGTGAAAGATTTCTAGCCACAACAAAAAGAAGCTGAGAAAAAGAAAAAGATGATCGAAATGCATTTGAAGTCGTTGAAAAAGGAGAAGAAGGTTGGTCATATAATTTATGCGCCATGAAAACGTTTGATTGGATGTTGTGATCTAAAACAGTAAAGCGGCGTTTGGTTGTTTTTTTGTTCATTTTGAAGATCTTCAGAAAGACGAAGAAAGTATTCAAGTGAATGCGAAAAAATTTCACTTTTTTTCATCTAATTTTTTTGTTCAGGTTTTTCTTCGTGAGAAAAAAAGCCGAAAAAAAATTTTTTTTTGTTGAAAAAAAGTTTAAAAAAAAAAATTGAAGACGAGTTGGTCCAAAATATTTTTGAACTTTCAACCTTTGGGATGTCCCATGATTCTCTCTTTCCTTCACCCTTTCCAGAATGCTCTAGTTACTTCTAACTCTGCAAATCTGTGCCTTAATTTCAGACGGAAGAAGCCCCGACTGAGGGAGCGAATGCGGAGACTCCGGAGCCTGCAGCCCCTGCAGCACTCCCTCCGATTCCGCCAGGCCGTCCGCCTCTTCTGAGCCGGGAGAAGGAGCAACGCGAGCGTTACGTCCCAGAACCCGACAACCGTGCTCGCCGATTCCGCAACTACAACAACTACGAGCGCGACAATGATCGCGACAGCGACGACCGCTACGGTGGCAATCGAGGATACAATCAACGTTTCAACCCGCGATTCCGAGGAGGTGGTGGCTATAGAGGACGTGGCGGAGGCTATCGAAGCGGCGGAGGATACCGAGACGACTACAGGAGTAAAAGTGGCTACAAACGCAGACATGACAGCCGAAGCGATGAAGATGGTTAGATTTTTTGCCGTCAAAAGCAAGATTGAGCACGAGCTGGTTTGATAAGTGGAAGAAAAGTTCTTTTTGATGAAATTTTGGTAGTTTTGTGCGGAAAAAAGTTATAATGGAACAAGTCTATAAGTTCTGAAATAAGTGTAAAAGTGTAACCAATAATTAAGAAAATAATTCATCTCAAAGTTTCATTACGGAAAATTTCTAACTGAGAAATTTTAGTTCACCGATGGGCTTACGTTTCTGAAAGAGGTGACCATTAAGAGTTGCAAGATTCATTGCAGATTCCAAACGGCGCCGTGGTCGTTCTGATTCTCGCACGCCCAGCTCTTCAAGATCTCGTTCACGCGATCGCTACAGGTTCATAAAGTTTCTCTTTCGAAATTTCTTCTGCTTTACAGGATCATTCTAAAATCTTTTAAAGCACCCCAACTCCACATTAATTTCATTTTTCATGTTTAAGTTAATAGAGGAAAGTGAAAACTCCTTTTTGGGGTAGGTGTGCGAAAAAAATGAGAAGAAGACCGTGTTCTCAGGTCGAACTCGAGGTCATCCTCACGTTCGCGCTCGAGGGATCGTCGTCGCAGTCGCAGAGATCGCAGCGGCTCAACTCCTCGTAGGTCTCGCAGTAACAGTCGCAGCTCGCACAGGACGTGGTCCGGCGACGAAAGACGCACTTCCAAGCGTCGCAGCCGACGTGACAGCGACGATGTGAGCAGATCCCGTGTGGACAGCGAAAAAAAGAGTGTTTCGAGGTATTTCTGTTTCACAAAGTTAGGCTGTTTGAAATAATTGCATCAAAAGACGCTTAGATTCGTTGAAATGCAATATCTTTTTAGTTCTATTTTTTCCCGTAGTTTTTTCTCTAAATCTTGAAAAGTTTGCTGTTTATTTCATTAGTTTTTTTTCTTCAAATCATGTTATGTTAAGAAGTCGCAGTCGTTCTTCTGCCATGTCTGGTTCTGACGATGAAAGACGCAGAGGCGGAGAGTCGGATTCTCCGAAAAAGAAGAAGAAGAAGGACAAAAAGAAGAAAAAGGACAAGAAGCGCGAGAAGAAGGAGAAAAAACGAAGCAAGAAGGACAAGTCTCGCCGGGAAGAGGATTACGATAGCGATAAGGTTTCCGATGTTTAATTTGGTTGTTTTCTTTTATCTTCTCCATTTTTTTTTTGCGTTTTATCTTTGTTTTGTTGAACCTGTGAATGGATCTGTTACAAAAACGAGGGAATTCTAATATTAAATATCGTTTTATGGCGTGAAAGGCTACTAAAATAAAGCTCTTATTTGTGTGAATCTTATATTATCAAGAGAATGCGATTGAAGGCGTAAATATATTTTTCTTGATGTATATCCTGCCGGACTTTTTTCTATTCTTTGCAGGACCCGCGGAAGACCCCGAGAAGCGATGAGGACAAAGGTAAGGAGAAGAGCGACGAAGACGCCATGGACGTCGACGAGGGCGATGACAGCGCCGTGAGTTTCTTATTTTTTTCGCTGGGTTTTGGGTTTCAAGGGTCTATGAAAATTCGTTCAGCCCAGAAGATATAAGTTTAGAGGAGGATTCAAATATATCTTTCCAGAAATCGAAAAAATAGATGCACAATTATTTGTTTCCTTTCTAGTGCTCTGGATAATATTTTCATAGACCTTGCTTGGGTTTGGCTCTGATTTTCTCATACCAAATCTTGAGATTCAGATCGATCTGAATAAGATCGACGAACGGGTTTTGGATGAACTGTTGCGTTTATCTGAAAAGGTATCTTGCAGTGTGAATTAATACAGTTGAAAGTGAATGATTTATTGGCGTCCATCAACTTGAGAAAAATGCCTTCATTTTCTGAATAAACTTGCTAAAATGACACTCAAAAACTTATAAAATCTTGACGTGGCCAAGATAATTTTTTTCATTTCTATTTCTCTAATTGTTTTAACTTCTGGATTTTGTAGAAGGAAGACATTGGTCCGCAACTTCCAACAACTCAGAAAACGAACGCTGTCGTTGAACACAGACAGACAATCGATAGAGAGTCGACGGGCACGGACGAAGGCCAGACTCCTCGAGAGGTATCAAAAAATGAACATTAGCTTTTCATTCAACGTTTTTCTCTTTAGGCTTCTGAATCGGCTCAAAGAAAAAAGGAAGAACTTTTGCGTGGTCATACCGCACCTAAGAAGGTCTTCCATCCGTTCTTGGACGAAGGAGACAACTCTCCAAAGGTTTTTCTTTCTACAAACGCCCACAACTTTTTGATTAATTTTCTAGAAACCAGTGACAAAGTGGGAAAAAGTAGCAGACGTAGTTCTGCCTCCTCCTGCCGTGATTAATAATTCTATCGAGGAATTGAAGCTACGTCGTTTGAAAGAAAAGGAGGTTCGGCCCTAAGTCGTTCTTCTGCCCACCTCATCTTTTTTTTCCAGGAAGCTGAACGGCTGGAGCAGAAGCGGCTTGATATTGAGAAGGCGGCTGAGATCGAACGTCTCAAGGCTGAAATCAAGGCTCAGCAGGAGAAGAAGGCACAGGAAGAGGCTGAGAGACTTCAGCGTCAGGCTGAGCTGTCCAGAAGAATTGAGGAGGAAAAAAGGATAAAAGAAAGAGCAAGAAAAAGTTGCCCGTCAGGAAGAGCTGCGGCGGCAAATCGAAGAAAGTCGACGAAGAAAGCAGAAAGAAGAAGAAGATCGAAGAGAGCAAGAAGAACTTCAAGTTCAACGGAAACGTCTACTGGAGGAACAGGAAAACAGACGCAAGCAAGCCGAAGAAGAGAAAAACCGCCAAACCGAAGAGGAAAACCGTCGCGAAGCGACAAAGAGTAAAGAGGCCCCCAAAGTGTCCGATGCGGAGGCGAAACGAAGAGAAGAGTTTGAACGGATCTTCGCCCAGCACGAGGAGGTCCGCACCAAAATGGAACGCCTTCATCAGGAGGAAATCAAAGAGCTCAAGGCTCAGATTGCGGCTTTAAAAGGTGATAAATAAAAATATTCTTCTTGATAGCCTTATTTTAACTAAGTTTAGCTGAGAAAAATATGGAAATTTTTCGAGTTGTTATAATTTTTCGTATTATTTCATTGAATTTCGAATAAATTGGTTTTGACGGTTTATTGTTTCCAGAGGAGCTGTTGAACCAGAAGACCCCTGAGCAGAACGGGAAGTCGAGTCGCGCGGCACTGGAAGTAATCACGTTGCCGACGACTCCGGAGCTGGAGAAGGCGGTCGCCGAGTGCCACAGCCACCTCAAGGCGATTCGCAAAGAACGTCGTGCCGTCGAGGACGAACGTCGCAAAGTCGAAGAGCGTACGTTTCTCATACGTTTATCGTTAAAAAATTTCAAGAGCGGGTTATCTTATCTGGGCAAAAATCTGTTATCAGTTGAGAAGTATTGAAAATAGTTTTCTTTTTTGAAATTTCGAAATCTTACTTTTGGCGGCATCTCGATGTTTGATCCAGCCGACTTATGTTCAGATCCTTATAATATTCGAAAGTTGAACAGTCATTCACAGAATATAGTTTTTCTCACACAAAAAGAAAAAAATTTGCCCTTTACTTATTCTCTTGCGAAATTCAATTTTTCTCCTTGAAAGAAGGGGTCAAAAAACAAAAATAGTAATAATAAAAACTCACCATAAACGTTTTTTTGTAATAAGTTTTTTTGAAATTTCCCGTTCAATTGAAGAAGTTCGACTTAGAAAGTTTCCCACCGCCAATAGTCTGAAGAGTGTCTGAAAAAAGTTTAATCTTCTAGTGGTTGATGAGGCCCAAGCTTCTTCTGGCAGCCGACGCAGCGTTCGGAAGCGCGAAGTTGAGGACGACTATTGAAACTTTGTTCTGACTGTTTTTCATTTCTGTAATCCATATTTATTTATTGATTCATTCTTTTCCTCACCTCTGGGTCGTTCCATAGTTTTATGACGCTTGATTCTCGCTAGCGCTTTTCGAAACTTTCTCTCTCATTTTCATGATCTTATACTTATTTCGTTGTTTCTTATTTGCCTGAAAGGATTTTTGAGGCCATTTATTTTCAATTTTTGTTACCCCCTGTGTTATTTGCATTCCGGCTGTTTTTTTTTTTTGGTTTAACGTATTTTCCGTTTCATTGAGAACTAAAATTTTTCCACTTGGTTATATAATAAACGTAATACTTCCTGTGTTGGAAACTAATGGTCCGTGTTAGTTCATTATGGATATTGAGAATAGGTCTTTTACTTGTTGAATTTTTTTTGCCCTTTTCAATAGTTTTTTTTTTGATGAGGTCATGTATTGAGATCGTTTCGAGATGGATCTTCGTATTTATATTATATAAGATTTTAAATTCACTTCCAACGAACTATAGTTTGTTCATTCTGGGAAGTATACTCCAGCCGAACTATGCTGCTATTCGGTCAGAGACTGATAACGCAAATCGGAAGTATCCAGAACTTTTCTGAGCAATCATAATGATCACTCTTGCGCGGCGATGGTAGATCATTCCGGCTACATACACCTTTGACAAGAGACTCATTTGGTGAATTATTTCTGTTTCTATTGAATTTGGTTTTTGTTTACATTGATCCCATTGTTTTTTTTTTTCTAAAAGTCGGCAAAAAATAAGAGAAAAACAAATAAGCCATAAAATGGCGCTTTTTTGAAAGGCGCATGGATAGTCGCCATGATCTACCTTCGCCGCTAAATTAAACCGCCCGTTCGCTGTCCCAAGCCAGCCGTGAACGGGCTATTACCAGTCATTGCTTGAGAGTGGAAAATTTGAACAACTATGGGGAAACGGTTCAGTTTTCATATAAATTAGTGGCGGTTAGAAGAAAATGATCTTTACGCTTACTTTACCATAATTGAAAGGAAAAAAACAGATGTCACGTCCACTGGCAGTGCATATTTCCGCTGGAGATTCGGATCCTTGCGGGATTCTGATGACGACGAAACCTGACCTTCCTGAAACCAAGCACATCGTTCTCCTCCACAAGCCTTATACGGTAGGTCTTGCCTTTGACAGTTCGTCCGAGTCCCTCTTTCTGCAGGACGTAAGAGACTTCGAGCTGGTCAGCATTTTCAGTGGGAAAAGGGTTAAGCCGCCGAGTGAGCACGACATCAGCGAACAGTGCTCGTGAGTGTCCAACATCTTTGGCTTGGATTATTCACCTGTTTTATCTCGGAATATTGGGACTTTTCGTTCAATTCTCACAACTCACTAAAGAAACCTCTCGCAAGGGCCGTTACTGTTTACTCTCAAATCAAAAAAAAAATTTTTATATAGCTCCTTAAGAAAGAAAAATGAGTTTCTTGCTCTTGTAGGAGTACTTGAACACTGAACCGGTAGTGTTATACTTTTTATGGAATAATTCAAGAAGGTGCAAAAGTAGATATGGTGTGCTCAGCCACTGAATAATCCAGAGGATGACAAAACCCAAAAATAAATCGCGGCCTACGGCAATTTGAAAGAGGATAATAGCCCACAACAATCAACAATCTACCCAATTAACACTGTTTGAAGTTTAATTTTGAAGAGTTTTGAAAGGCAGAAGTCTTTCTTGAAACGGAATGACCCCGAAAACAGCCCAACAAGGACTTGAGAGCAAAAATTAACATTCTAATCAAAATAGGATCAAGAATTGACTCACTTCATAGGAGCTCGCATGCTGAGCAGGTGTCTCAACGGGTGTACCCGTATTAAACCCGTTTTTCTGAGGTTATTTCAGTCTCAGTTGGGCAGAAACGGGGGAACAACGGGTGTAAGAAAAATATGTAACCCAGCTGGGCTAAAAATTTCCAAAAGTTCTACCAACTGTGCTTATATAGGCCATTCCGCGCCAGCTTGTCACGTTTTTCTTTCCGCCAAAAGACCAGGTCAAATTTTACCAACTTCGCTTCAAGACCTTTGTTTATTGCCGTTATAAAAGCAGAAATTTGATCTTATTTGGTATACGGTCTTTTTGGCGGAAAGAAAAACGTGACAAGCTGGCGCGGAATAGGCTATAAGGGTTTAATACGGGGGCACCCGCTGAGACCCCGTGTAAGCACGGCCGGGTTACCCTGCTCAGCATTCGAGAAGTTTTCATACTGCTCTACTTCGAGAATCTGTTCACATTTCCATTGTCAAGTCCAATGACGTCATTCGAAAATGCTCTTCGGATGTTTCGCTCTCTAATTGGTTTTCCGCGTTCTTAGAGGCGGAGCTTGAACGAGGACTTGACATTCAAAATCTGAAAAGACTAGAGCGTTTATTGATTTGATATCCTCCACAAATTCTTCCTTCAACAATTTTCTGTTTTTATTTGTTATTCTTTATTTCTTGAAAATAAATTTTTTATGCATTTCAATTTTGGTGAGTATACCATATATTTTTTCCACATGGAGAAACAACTGAAAGGCTTTTTTTTTCATTTTTCATGTTTAATTTGATTCCAATGAAGATACTGAAAACAATCTTTTATCATCTGTTAAAAAGTATTTTTCTAGATTTTGAGAGATATCTTCTTCAAAGTCAGCGGTATTTTTTGTTATTATAGATTTTTGCTTTTCAAAACACTCCAGCAACGAACTTGATTAGAGTTTTTGAGTTATGTCAAATAAAGATTACCTGTTTTTTGCAAATTCTTTTGTATTGTATTTGAGGCGACACAAAGTGGTGCTTTATTCTTTCGGGACTGTGCTGTACTGGAGCAACGAAGAGCCGGAGAACGGCCGCATCGAAACGAGGGAATGCTTCAGACAACCCGGAATCTACCCGGTCCGTGTACATCTCGGCGACAATCAGGTAAACATGATTCGTTCCCTGTTGATTCGGACCATCGACTTTTTTTGAGTTTGACGAAAAAATTTTCATTGAAACGATTAAAAAAGGGATTTTTTGAAAATTCTAATTATACGCTTCCACGCATAGAAATAGCGTAGCGCTTTTCTTCGAATTGTGAAATTTTGATCGGAGAATTGTTTCAAAGATATTTTTATAATCTGTTCGAAAATGTTCTTTTCTAGATTTTAAGTAGACTCGAAAGAGTATCGTTTTATTTTTATTGGGGCCGAATGAATTCGAAAACTGAAATTCAAACGAATGTTACTCACTTGACTGAAGGTTTAGACAGCATTTAAAGTGGTTTCATTTTTATTCCATACTTTTATCATTTTTGGACAGCAATAGAATGTCGCTAAATTCGTATTTTCACAAAAAAAATTTGACGAAAATGATAAATTTTGTACATTTTTTACCGCAACTTATCATTTCAGTTACCGGCTTCCTTAATTTCTCTCATCATTCTACCTTTCATTTCTCTCTTTCAGTTATCAATCAAAGGAGTGATGAGTCCATCGCGAAAAACTTTTGTACCGCTCGACAAGTTTCCCGCACTTGAAATCCGTAATGTTCCTCTCTTAGTTGCTATCGAATGATTTCCCTTAAGCTGAAAGACTGCGGATGGATTTGCAGCCAAACATCGCAGTTCAGGCCTGGGTCACCCTCCAACTTCTCAAGGTAAGCGAAGGGGCTGTAGAAGCTCATTTTGGGTCTTCTCAGGGGCCTTCGATCAAATACGAGTTGACGGACTTCCACGAGTTCTCGCCGAGCGACCAGAGCTTGGTTCGCACCATGGTTATTTTTTGCTTTTCATTTATTTTTGACGGGTTTTTAACAAATCTAATGGATGATCATTCAGGTAGAATTTCAGTGAAAGCATAAATATTACTATAAAACTTCAAAGTTTTAGTTATTTTCATCCCGAGGGGTTTATTTGTCTTGGCAATTTTCCGATATTTGTTGATCGGAATGGAACTTTTTTCATAAGCCAGCAACTCTTACAGGCTCGTTGTTTTGAAAAATACCAGAACTATTTCGATTCTTAAACTCGTTTACAGTGTTTCAGCTAGAGAATTTTCTTGAAAGTAATGTAAAGTGAAAGGCTAAAATATTTCCCCTAAAAAAACATGCCTTTATTCTTCTTTCAGCCATGGAACGAGTTCAACTATCTGAACTACGACCGAATCGTCGAGGAAAATCCTTACATGGCGCGTCACTACGAAGTCAAGCCCATGGAGACGACTTGCAAGCATTGGCCTCTGCCGCCTACCGTTCGTTCTCGAAGCAGAGTAATCGTGCAGATTCGTTCTCAGGAGCTCAGGGAGAAGAAAGGAATCGCGCTGTCGACGACCAACGTGCTGTGCCACGAGTGGCAGGACGTCTGCGTCAGACTTCCGTTGCTGGTCGACCATCGTCCCGCCGTCGTCCTCCAGCCAGGTCCGTCCGGCTTCTCTCCTCTTAGGCCTTCTGTTCAGGAACTCGGGTCATCTTCGAAGCAACCTACCTCCCGGTCGTCGGTTACTACGGCCTGACCTTTTCGAAAATCGACAAAAACGCCGAAAAATCTCTTTCCGCCTCAGAGAATGGCAATGTTTGCTTTTCGAGCTCATCAATACTGAAATTGTTTGCGATGAAAGTATAGTTCTTCAACATCATCGATGAAGAAAACCTAATTAGGAATTTAACGAAATCAAAAAAATGAAATTGACTCGAATCAAAAAAATAAAAGACAATTTGAACTACCTTGGGTTTTGTTAAAATTATTTATGGCGTCATATTAATGGAAAAAACGTGAAGATTTATCAATCAGCTCAAAAATTCCTTATTCTGAACGTCTATTCCCATTAGCATTCATCTTTTTCGACTCATTCATTTAGCCCTTCGATCTAAATTTATTTTCAATGGAACAATTTTTTGTCTAACAGAAGCACTCGTTAAAGAAATGGAGAAGCTTTTGTTGAATTTATCTGCAGTTCGTTTTTCTTTGCAACTACGTCTTTGCAGATCCGCACCAGCGTGAGGATCGTCGAGAAGTGTCCAGGATTCTATGAATGCGCCGCTCTGAACGTGATGGTCGACGACCCTCTCGGACTCATGCTGCCTGTTCCTTTCTCCAAGTACGCCAAAAGCGCGACTCTGGTTCGTGTTCTGACCTAACGAAGAGCAAGGCGGGTTCCAGGTGGAGATCAAGGAGGGAGAACCGACGCCGCTGGGCAGAGCCAGAAGATACGTGGCCGCTCTGGCCGGAGACAAGGCCAGGAAACTCCAGGAGGTCCTCATGCTCGGCGAGGTCAGACTGCTTCTTTCAAATTGTCTTTTTCAATTTACCGGTGAATTTCTATTTTAAAAAAATATTTAAAAAAAACTTTCAAACAAAAAAACTGAAGCTTTTTTTGGATGATATTCGGGGTCAGTCAGAGAAAGCCACTTTCGAATAAGATGAAATAACCTCAGTAAAATGCTTCTGTACGATTTCAAAGAGTTATTTTAGATGAAAGAATCTTTTTGATATTGTTTTTCTGTAGATTTAAATTTATTATCTCCAGTATGCAATTTTTTTAGTTAATCATAAATTAAAGAAGTGAAGCCCGTAGGCTACAACAACCGTTGAAAAAAACTCACGTCACATGCTGCAAAAAGTCTATGACACGATTTCTTTGAGTAACTCGATCAAGAATCGCTCGATATTTTTATATTTGCTTTTTTGATTTATGGATTTGAAGATTTGAAGTCACAGAGATGGAAAAAGTATGTTTCTCAACCAACCAGCTCGAATATTTTTTGCTAGCTCCCAGAAAAAAGCAAACTTTTTCCAGCACCTACAGTAATCTGATGAGTGGGCGGAGCATGACAGTAACTTACCTTATAAACCTTTATCATGAATATCAGCTCAACAAAATAGAAATAAAAAAATCTCGTTTAATCCTTCACCGAATAACATCGATTTTCTGAGAAAAAGCGTGATAAATGTTCGTATTTGAGATGAAACTGGTAAAAGAACCTGGCGTGGTAATCAACCATCTAGGTCGTGTCCACATCTCCAGGTTCCCGTCCCTCTCCGTTTCGTAGGTCCGAAACGAGATTACGGTTTCATTTGCCTGTTTTAAGGCTGCCGCTTAACACCAACAACTACTACAACAGCCTGGAAGCCGGTACTCAAGTCCTCATCGACGGACACTTCGATCCTCAGCTCAAGGTTCTATCTCCAGAGATATCGGAAGGCAAATGCGCCCTACTGACAGGCGATGGTCGTCGATGAGGCAGTTCGCGATCAAAACAAATCCAACTTCGAATTTGCACGCGTCTTCGACCGCTCCATCGGCCACTCTCGGGTGAGACGAATCTGTGTCTTTCATCTGCTCGAGAATCCTTCCGAGCATTTTCAAACAGAGAGAAAAAGCATGCTTGGATACAAGTAGCTACCGGGTAGCTACTCAATCGGCGTATGCTAATCGGTGGTCGTTTATTAGCTACTGGGTACTATCTCTATGTTACCTGGATACTGCCGGGTAGGCACCTGAATGAATGTCTTGATTGCTACTGGCTGGCACATCGGTCGTTTACTCAGCACCCGTGTTTTTGTAAACCGTTCCAAGTCTTCCAAGATCTTATTGGCTAACGCTGAAATAAAAAAGAACTACCCGAGAAGCATTACCATAGCCATCGCAAGTGTCAGGTATCTATCCGGTACACGCAGGTACCATAGCATAGGCCTTTGACGTAGCTACGCGGTAGCTACTTCTATCATCCTCCCGATTAACCATTGTTAATCCTGTTATAATGTATTTTCTTTAATAAGATTTCTGTTTCAAACTTCGATTAGAAATGTTTGCTGCATAATTTTTTTTTCTCAGTTAGCGTTTCGCGTCTCAGCGACGGGAAGAGCCGAGCTGCCCAAGTTGTTGTTCAACGAAACTTTCGGTTTCATTGAACCGCCGGCGAAATTTCGCGTACCGCTCTTTCCAGAACAAATCAAGTATTTCATCTCGGAAAGAGAGAAAATATCGCCTATTTTTAGATATCAAAATGTGTGGATCTCATTTTCTGACCAGTACCCCGGCGACAATCTGCCGCCGCAGTGCAAGTTCCAATACTTTTACTGCGGAGAGCTGCCTGAGCACATCGTGAGTGTCTACTTTACTCAAATGGCGGGTCATTTTAGTCTGAAGTTCCAATGAATTCCATTCATTTTTATCAGCAGAGTTAATCTAATTAAATTTTGAGAGGAGAAATAGAGCTTCAATTGACGTCATACGGCTCTTACTCGCTTACGATCTTTTTAAAAAACTGTCGCCCCAATTTCGACTTTTATTGGTAGCACTTGATTTTAGTACTTCCCGGATCCCTTGCTTTTTTTCAAATATTTCACTTTCCTTTTTGTAAAGTGTCCATGATTCTTCAAATATGGAAGAAAACTAGCATTGACCGACTTCTCGGACATTGGCAAAGCGAAACAGACGTTTCTGAGCAATTCTAAGGTTCACTTAAGAGTGCTGACGCTACTAAAGTGATCACTAGAAACGCCCGACAAGTCCGATTCCGTTTCGCGTTACCAATGTCCAAGTCATCTTTCGGACCCAAAAGTGAGAAAGAAAATTTTCAAGCCTAATTTCGAATTGATTAATTTTTAACACACTGTCTCTGTAAGTTTCAAAAAAAGTGGGTGCAGAAAAAAATATTTATGAATTTTGATGAAATTTCAAATTAAAATCGCCACAAGAAAATATTTAATCAATAGGTTAAAAAATCAATTGAAAGCATTTTCAGCGTTCGATTGACGATGAGAGAACCGACAGATCTGCCTCCGATTCTCCGATCGCCGCAGAAATCGGCGACGACTCCGTAGCTCAACGTCCCTCGAGCTCCAGAGGAAACAGTGCTCGGCTGTAGGAATTGAGTGACGTCATTTTTAAGAAATCAGTGTTCAGTTCTTCTTGTTAATTTCCTGTATACACTCTCTCAGTTCTTTTCCTTGTTATCATGGATCTCTTGCCTTATATTTTCATGTTCTTTCATGACTAACACCTTGCGAATCGAAATTTTCACTTCATTCAAACTTTTTCTTTAACCATGAAATAACTTCAGACAAAAAAAAACTACCAGAGAACTAGATTGATATGTTTTTGGAGATCTGGGTCATTTACGTGAAATTTCACACTCGAGGGTTGGTACTTCGGGAACGATTCTGATTTTTTTGGTTAGAAAGAAATATTACTTTTAATAGCACTCCTTGCCTACTGGCTCTCGATTACTCTTCAAGTTTCAAACTAAAAATTGTAAAACCACTCGCGACGTCCCATTTCAAGAATGTAATTTTCCAATATAAATTAGAGAATTTTTCAAGAACAGCTATGATATAATGAGTTAGGCACATGAAATCTTGCAACTTCGAAAAAGTTTTGCAAAAATCAAAAAGAATTCAGACGATCTCAGGTGAGGCCCGGTTCAGCTCCATGTTCGACGCCGTCGTCGATAGGGCGATGACGTCACGACAACCGTTCATTGAAACGCTGAACCTTTTTTGTTCCAGTTTGAAACGTGTTTATTGAAAAAGTTAAGTAGCTTTGAAGCACGTCTTTACTGAGGTCTTTTTGAAACCAAAATAAGAATTTGACTGGGATACGCCCTTAGGCAACCGAATGAAAAAAATTTTCCTCAAGAAATGCATGGAATTTCGAAAAGAACAAGAGGAACCTCATATGGAAGGGCAGAACGAGATGTCGGGCGGTGGAAAGAGCTTCCTGCAGGTTCGGGAAGAAACTGCTACGCGGCACCTGGTTGTAGAAACCAAGAACTTCCATCGAGTCGCGGACCGTCGCTCAAATAATTCAGTAGTTGAAGTTTCATTCGAAAATACCTGGGACGCCGGCGAATATGAGCTTGATGTGTTGATGGCTGAGTTCCCCATAGAGCTGAAAAAGAGAACTTTCCATCGCATCTGCGGAAATTCTCAAACCTGACTCAAAGTCTGCAATGCGTCCTTATCGACAGTGTTGACCCCATTGCATGACAAGATAATGAAACGAATCGAGTGCAGACTGTCGCCTGGGGGAGCCTAAACGCGGAACAACGAAACATTTTCTATACATCAATTTTTAGAAACTAAAAACGCTAAAAAGACCAGAAATTGAAAAGAACTGAAGTTTTAAGGAGAAGCCCACCTGCGGTAAATCGAAATCTTGCGTGACAATGATGTTGGTCAGATTGACGGAGCTTCTCGCGGCGACGCTTTCCTGAGAATTCAAGAAAAAAAAAGTGAGTTTCAACTGAAATTCACTCCCAACCCTGGGACCAGCATTTGACGGACATTGGCTTCGCAACGACGCCGTTCTTGTTCCGATTCCAATTCCGATCAAACTGAAAATGATTCCTTGAAAAATAGAAAGTTTGAAGTTTAATGTCCATCAAACTTTCGTAAAGTTTTTCCCTTTTATTAACCTAAAAAAGGAAATTTTAAACAGAATGAAAAAGCTTCATTTCAAAAGTTACTCTTTTTAAAAGAAAATTATCCTGCTACTCTAAAAATAATAGCTCAATTTTAACTTTGGGAGAGCTCCGAAAAAATAAACTCTTCATTTAGAGAAACACGGCAACAAAAACCCCTTCACAGCGACAGCTTGGTTTCGGAGTTCGCGACGCAATGCTTCGCAATTGGCATAAATGAGCGGCCCACAAAGACGGACGATCCTCACCGGCGTGTCCAGACAGTCTCCCTCATACCTTAAGTGACAACTTGAAGATTCAACCTTCTCTATCAAATACTGGATAGATCGTATTTGGCCTTAATTCTTCGAAGTAGTTTTTAAGCAATGATCATTCAAAAATGTTTCAAAACTACCTCTTCTCTTCGCCAAAATGGGCATCCGACAACTTGACCAGAGTTTGGAAGTTGGGCCTGCAAACGAGAAGTTCCAACTGAATGAAATAGTGAGGGCAAGTACCACTGGACACGGAGAGCGACGCTGAAAATGGAGATGAACAAGACGCACAGGAACGCCGTGCAAGTGTTCGGAAAGAAGACGGCGCAAAGGATGCCTGACAAGGCCAACGCCTAAAACTCAGCCCTTCATGTTTTTTCGGGAAGAAAATCTCAAACCGCGTCCCACGGCGAGGAACAAAAAAGCTCTCGCAAAGTTTTTAGATCGGAAATCCAGCCGCTGAAAGACAAAACAACCATGGCACTCAGAATGCATTGCATCTGAAACTTCGGGTGATTTCGGAACCTGTAAAGTTACGAAACCAAAGAAACGTAGCCGAGAAGTGGCGCGCCAAAACAGATAATCAGTGCCATCCAAACAGTCGACAACGCATTACTCACCTGAAATTCATTTTCGATAAGAAACTTTTTTCAATCCAGAACCAATGAAAACTTGGAAGTCTCCACGTTGATCTGGCTGCTTCCGTAGCTGCTCGACGGCGGCAGAACGCCGAAGAACGACGCGGCCAAGGAGATGATCGAGAAGCAAAGCAGTTCCTACAAGGCTTACTGAAGAGCGACGACGTTGATCAACCTGCTTGCGGTGGATAGTGTGCATCTTTTCCATGGCGATCCACTTGGACATGTGGACGTGCGAGGCGACGGCGTACATCGAGATGGCCAGAGAGTCGAGAGCCGTGCTCCACGAAGGAGCGTCTGGCCAATCTGGAGAAGGGGCTCTGAACCCAGCAAAAAAGGTCCACGTCTTCAGATGTAAAATTCACCTGAACAAAATCTCAGCTGGAATGCTCGTCACGTTTGTCGTTGTCGGTGGGGCGAACTTGATGAAGTGCGACGTTACTGCACAAATGAGCAACTGGAATCTCGGAATAGAGAAGGACGGAGCTGTTCGCAGCAAACCACGATGAACTCGTAGGGAATGGAGAAGCCGACACGAGAAGAGATGACGCCGTTGAGACGCCATTTGAAGGCTGCGAAGACGAAAACCGTCGCCAGAGTCATTATCATCAGAAGCGTTTCGTTGGACCGCAAACAGGGGACTGTCGCGTAGAAACATTGCAGCACTCGCTTCACGCGGTCGTTCTCAATTTCATCGATAAAATTAGGGTCTCGATTTCGAAAATTCGAATTTTTTCTATAGTATAATAGATTTTTTAAAGTTCTACCTTGTTGAGCATTTTCTCGCAGTCTTCGCCTCGGAAGACGATAAAGTTGGGCGTGAATCGTATGACGATCCGAATGAAAAGACCCAAGGAAAAACCCGAAAGAACGCTGCTCGAAATGTAGGCGTACAAGAATTCCAATGGCAGCATGAATTGCAAGAACTGGAAGCGATTGAGTATCGAAATAATCAACCTGGACTCACCTGGAACACGCCACAGCTCAAAGCGATTGAAGAAATCGTGGATTTGGAATGTTGGAGACTCGAGTAAACCATTATCGAGGTCAGAGATAAAGCGCCTGAAAATTTGACAAACTGAATGATTTCGAAGTGGTGTTTTACTTCAAACAAAAAAAATTCTGATTTTCCAATAAGAACGAGGATCTTTGTTATGATATTATATGAGTCTTGGAAGCCATTCTGAATAGACTATACCTATGGATGAATGCCTTGCGGAGCCGAACAACGTGTAGAGAAGCTGCGGCAGGAACAAAGAGAAAATCCCGGCTCGCAGGTCGTTTATCACGACGCCGTAGGCGATTCCTAGACATTAACAGTATCTTTGTGAAGGTACGGTTAGTCGCACCTTGAGGGATGAATAAAAGAGCTAGTAATAGAGATCCAAGCGAGTCTTTCAATAGTGATGTCTTGAAGTTATATCTGCAAATAGATGAAATGTTAAAAAACTATAATCTGAAAGCAGTTATATTCGGAAAGTAGATCGGGCCGGAAGAAAACTTCTATTTCTAAAGAAACTGCATTTCTGAGATATCAATACCCTTAAGCCTATAACAATTTTTCTTCATTTTACATCTAATCAATTTATCTGAACTTGCAGCCAACCTGGGGACCCAGGCGACGACAGGCAGAAGGTTGACGCGACTCGAGTAATGGCGCCAGTAGTCGCCGATGAAAGTGCGTCGCAGGACCTCCTTGTTCGTTTTCTTCTTCCGGTAACGCACGTAGTTGTAGCGGCTGTCAAAGTCTTCCTGCCAGCATTCAAGGTAACCTCCCAACTTTTTCCGCTGTGGTCACCTGACTGAGCGGTTTGTTCTGCTGCTGTGGCAGAAGAAGCGAAACCGAGTCCATGTGCATCGCGGCTGCGATTCTTCCTCACGTCGGTTTCAACATGACTTCTGGAAGTTTCCATCAAAAGCTTCTTTCTAACTGTTTCTAAATAAAAAAAACTGTTTTACTTAACAAACATTAGTTCAATGAAACAACGAGATTAGCCAAATTGCAGTTATTCTCTTCATGTATTAGAGTATTTTTTTTCTAAAACCAAATTGAGTTCTTTGAAGCTCACGAACGTCTACAAACAGATGTTTATTTAGATAAAATAAACCTTTAAAAAAAAAATAAAGATTGTTTTCAGCGGAATTCATATCATTTGAAAAAAAGACGTTTTCTCCACAGAATGAAAATAAAACCTTGTTTGTTCAAATCTTTTCTCAAGCCTTACTCACTCGTCAGTATATCTCCTTGCCTACGAATTCCGCATGGAAGAGTGAAGATTAGACAAAAAAAAAATTATAAAAAGGAAAATTTTAAAATAGCATCAAAAAAACTAGATATTAAGCAAACTTGCGACTATTTTTGAAGTTTGAAAAAGGCTCAAAAGTAGAAATTTAAGAGAAAGAAAAACAAGGAAATCCGTTTTGGGGCAAACAAAATGTGGTGAAAGTGCGCGAGAGCTAATCCCGCTCGAAGGGAAAAATATTCGCACTGATTTCATTCGGTTTCGGGCTCAATAAGCTTATTTGAGACTTATTGGTGTGAAACTTCAAGAAGAAAGAGAGTTAGAGGCAAAAAAAAAACTTCCATGTAAACGATTCTTGAAGAACACGTTGAAATCATTTTCGAAGTTTTGTTACTATTATTTCAGTAAAAAAAATAATGAGCTAGAGAACCTCAATTCGAAAAATCTCTGAAATTCATCCAAGCAAGACTGAATTCGGATGAGATGAAGAAATCATAGAAACTACGTCAGTCGACGGCTAATCTTTTATCGCCTGTAATTTCGTACGAGACATATTTCTTTCAAGAAGAAATAGTGCAAAGAACAGGAGAAAGTTCGTCAAAAAAGCTCTTCTCAAAAACTTATTAGTTTTCAATGTTGCTCTTTCTCTAACGAGAAAAGCTTCTTCAAGTGGGAATTCAGAGAAAAAAACTCACCAAAACACTTTATTTTTAATGCGAAATATGTGATATAAAAAAATCTTCTAAACGAGTGCTTTTTATCAAGATTTCAAAAAAATCTCCGAAGATTCTTTAAAGCGTTTTTTTCCGATGTTATTCAACCTTTTTTCCAAGTTTTTCATATCAAAATCCAAGCTATAGCAATATTGATGAAATAGTAGCCTTTCTGTTAGGACGTATCACAAGAGAATTTGAGAAGATAATCCGACGCAAGTCTTATAGATTATTCCTTTTCCCCTCGGATGCAGCCGAGGGTTCACAGCTATTTTTCAAGTTCTTTCTTCTTTAAATCTTAAAGAAAAGTGAAAATCAAGTAAAAGATGCAAGTAAATGCGCAGAAAGTTCAAATAGAGAACCAAGGAAAATTGGAATTTGGCAGAGTAATTCGGAAGCTTGTCAAGGGAAATGTGGCACTTTTCATAAGCAGCGTCCAAACTGATGATTCGCGCTCTGCCGAACACTGCATCGTCTAGGGATTGGACTGAAAGTGCATAGCTAAGTCTTTTTTTCCAATTTAATATTCATAATCGAACTAGAACCATTAAGATCCAATCAACGTCATGTTAGTCTAGTTAAGGACGAACTACACACACAAACTGTCAAATTTGAAAGAAAATGGGAAAAAAGAACCATTTTGATGGTTGTGGAAGTGAGTGGGCGCCTCGGCAACGACTTGCTCTGCGATTCGGAGCCGCAGATAATCTCTGCAACGTCAATATCACTTTCGCAAAGGAAATGAGCAGCTCTGCGAGCAAACGAAAACATTTGTGCCCTATGAAGGATCGTGAGTTTTATACAAGAAGAGATTTCCAAGCGTTATCGCTGGAATCCACGAAGAAAAGTATATAAAAAAAGCAGGTTTGAAGTGTCACTAGCGTCACATTCCATATTAAATTAAAAAGATGAAAACTTTTTTTTCTGAGTTTTTCGAAAATTTGAAATCTTCAGTATTGGAGAGGCAAAAAAACAAAAATAAATTTATTTTAACCTCACCTACAAAGAGTCTTTTGAAAGTACCTTGCTAGAGATTGTAAAGGCGGAAGTATCTTCATCTGGAAATCACTGAAAAGTTCGCCTCCAGATTGTTTTTCATGGAGTCTTATGTTCCTCCCAAAACCATAGAAATCACTTTCGAAAAAACTATATAACTGCTTACATAAACGAAGTGAATATATGTTAGATTATCTTAGGGACCGCAAAGCTCCGCCCATTTGCTGAGAACGTTTTTTATTTTATGAGTACATTATTTTTTTCTTATTCTAATTCGCGCGCGGATTTGCTTTTATGCACAAAATAAGGGTGCAATATGCATTGTTCAGGACGTAGAATCCAAATTCGCACTCAAAAAGGAACAAAAAACGCTCTGAAACGAATTTTTTTATTTCAAAAACTTGAGCTTTTTAGATAAAATTAAGTTCTGTAAAAATATCAGTGCTGGAGAAATACGATAATTGATTAATTTGAATAGCCAAAGAAATAAGGGAAATAGTAGGAAAATATATAGATCGAGCCGGCCCATTGAAAAAGCGGAAGATGGAGACTCTCAAGGAATATCGTGGCTAAATCACTCCTTTTTTGATCTAACCTTTTGGAACCCGCATAAAAAATTACATCTAGGGTGCCCAGTCAGAAGTCTCACTGGGAGCTGAGACCATTTCCTGGTTAGTTAGTCTTGAACTTGTGAGTTCCCTGTGATCAGTGTATCTTTAGCTCAAACAACCGTCAACAAACATTTTCAAAAACCTTTCGACTTCGATAGCACAGCAAAAGTACTGGAGGATTCCCGGAGCACTTTTTGAAAAAATGACGTTGTCGGAGGAAGGAGCCGACATCAGAGGTCGAGCCATCAGTTAATTGCGACGGAATTCTCCTTGTTTTCTTTTTCCCGTCACTTGGCTCAAATGGATTAATGAAGCTCGGGAGCGGTTGGAATTAAAAAGCAGCGTCGATCCGCCGGGGTGTTAGGCCTTTTGGAAAAGACATTCAGAAGCCCTTTTCGATAGCAAAATCTCTCAATAAAGAAGATAAATATTCATTCACTCTTTACACACTAAAAAGTAAAAACTCGAAAAAGGACATAGGCACAAAAAGGCGGTAGAAACGTTGGGTAGAATTATGGACAAAAAAAACCCGTGTAGAACTATTAGTTTATAGAATAGAACACAAGGCGACAGGAAGAAAATGGTCAAATATAGTACAGTAAAATAAAAGTTAAAAGGGGAAATGTTAAGAATTACAGCGATACGCACTCGACCGAAGTGACTAGAAGTGTACAACGAGAAGATGCAGAGTAATGCCATGAAATTTCCAATAAAGTCAGACTCACCGGCAAGGCACAACAAAAAGTGAATTCATACAAAACTGAACTTAAGCGATTTGCAATAACAGCCCATTGATAAGTTTCTATTACCTCTTTAGGGAAAGCTATTTAAAATACAAACAAATGAAAATCCGACGTGTTTATGCACACGGCTAAAACTGGTTGAGCCTGGCGAGAAGCTCTTCGGTCGTCGGAAGCTCGTCGTTTTTGGTCGATTCTACTCGTGACGCCGATTTTTTGACGACGGCCGGAGAAGCTGAAGATTCTCCGGCGGTCGGTTGCCAGTTCTCTTTGTGGGTCGGTGACGTTTGTTGACGCGAGGAAGATTCCTTATTCGTCATCTGTGACGAGGAAAAAATAAGTTGAATATTGACTAGGAACCTAGGCTTGCTAATGTTTTGAAACTTTAGCAGCTCTTAGATTTAATAAATAAGAAATTCTGGGCAGGATCGTCTTGAAGTTGGAACTGATCAACAGCAATTTCCAAAAATAAGAAAAGTGGAAGAGCTTCGAGCGTTTTAATATACATTAATATTTTTGACCTTAAATTTCATTGTCCTAAGAAAGTTTTCAATTGTATGTTTTAAAAAAATTGTTATAGAAAGAAAATTCAGCTTGATTGATTGAAGGAAAAAAATTGTAATTTCCGAAATACGACTCGACTCGAAAAAGTGTTTGAGTCAAATGGTCGAGCCGTTTTATAACAGATATTTTGGGAACAAACTTTTGGGTTAGGAATATAAGATTTCATGCAATATCCCAACTAATATTGAGCCTGTCCAACACAATCGCTGCAATGCCAACCGAGCCAACAAAACCAGCAAGCCTACCTCGACAGGAACGGCTGGTGCGCCACGACGTCTCACTTTCATCTTGAGCTCTCCGGCGCCGTTGAGAACGGCCGCACAGGGCGTTCCGACGGCTTTGACACGATCGAGAGGGCTCGACTCACGCATGGGCTCCGTGAGCCGCGAGGATTGCGGCATTCGCGGCTCTTCGCTCATTGCGGCGATCGCCGACATGAAGGAGTCGTGGCCGCGAGACCTCTGTCTTTGGAGCGCCGCACGACCTTAACATAAGCAACCGAAATGGATGAGACCCAACAGAAGAAGAAGTGAACTGATCGGTAAGGTTAAATTGAGCTTCAAGGGTTCAAAAAAAACCGACCAGCTTTGGTACGAGGAGGACCAGAACGCGGGGTCCGCGCGCCTTGCAGGAATCGCTCCAAGAATCTTTCTCCCCCAGTGGCTCGTTCCAACTCGTCGAGAACGCCCATCTTGTCATCTGGAATCACGTCGATAAACACGGACGTGGCAAATAGCTACCAGCAATGGCGGCAACCGGCCTTGCGTTGACTCTTGCGGCAGCCTGCGAAGAGATGATTTGCCGTTCTGCGAGTGGGTTTCGCGAACGTTGCATCGTCGCCTGCGACGCCTTCTCCTTGCGTCGTGCCTCAGCCCGCTCAGCCTCCGCTTCTGCTTCCAGCTCTCGCCATGCAGCCTGTCAAAAATGCGATAGAATTTGAGCAAATAATCCATTAATATAACCGAACCGATTTAAGAAGGTTACGAGTTTTTTGATCAAATGTGATATAATTCGCAGACTTTTTGGGAAAATATCTAGGAAACACCAACATTGAAATTTGAATGACTTCTCGTGTCAGAAAAGTTAAAACTTGCAAAAGCCGAAAATTTCATATTTTGTTACAATAATAACGTTGGAAAGCGAAATGAACATATCTTCGTGAAATTAAAAAATTTCTTAAAAATTGAAAAATGAGTTCCGAGCCACCTGAAGACGGATGAAACTTACAGTGTACTGTTCGCTGAACGTTCTGATGTCGACGAAGAACTCCTCCAAAGGATACTTTTTCGTGTCGAACGCAAAGTATTTGGCCAACGAAGCCCAATCGCGTTGCATCTTCTCATTCATCTTAACTACAGTCGTAACCTCCTTGGAAGTAGCTGATCCAAACCGATTCCACCGTGGAGACTTCCTTGTTGACGCGCAGCAAAAACGGCTTCATACGATCTTCGAAGCGATCGCGGCCCGACTGAGCTTTGTACGTCTTCAGGCAGTTTTCGAGCTGAAGTGAAAAGATGAAATTCGGAAAGTTGATCCACTCAAACTTTGTTGCGATTCGCTTTGAACTGATTTATAGACTTTTGGAGCTCTTCGGCATTGACGCGGGACGACTCAGCGCAATGATGAAAATCTTTCATAGCAAATCTTCAAATTGATCTCATTGAGGTACTTCTAATCGGACAAACTTGGCTCTTTTCGGGTCAATTTTCTTCATTTCTTCGATCAAATGATGCAAAAGCGTGTGCTTGTTCTCGACGTCTTTAGTGTCTACTAACTGAAAAATGAGAACTTTCTGAGCTTCAAGTTGGATGTAACTGACCCGAGTTAGCGTCCGCAGTTCGAAAGCGTAGGTGGAATTGAAGTTTTTGGTGGTAGCGCCCATGAAGTTTCCGATGGCCAATGCCAACTGCAAAAAGGTGCGAAGACCGTCCGATTTGCGAATTTCCTCGCACGCTTCCATCACCGACGACATACTCTGAAATCGAATGTGTTATTTTGAAATCCGAATTTAGGGAAGGCGCCAATTTCTTTTAAACTATCTCTCATAACTTGAAAAAACTAAAATAAAATTCTGTGCGATTTTCGATATACAATAAACAATGACAATCTTATTAAACGAAATTTTTTTCATTTTGAAAAACGTTGGTTTCTTCAACCGTCAAAATCAAAAAGAAAATGTTTCAATTTCAAAGCTGACATTAGATCCATCGACATGAATCTTATCCATACTAACCGGCTTCAGTTCGTTCAAGATTTCATCGAAACGCATTTTGAAGTGGATGAGATCAAGTCGCAGAGGGAGGGCGTTGATCGTGGCGAGAGACGCAGCAAACTGAACTCAGTTTCAGTTTCACCTCCTCAGGTAGCTTCGTCACCTGTTCGCCCTCAGGCATCTCTTCGAACAACTTCTTGTCGACTTCAGAAAGCTTCCGGAGGTCCTCTGCAGGTGGCAGGGCTAATCGAAGTTGCTCCAAAAGACCCTGGGACAAGACTTTCTCGTCAATTTCCAGAAGGGCGATCTTCAGCTCATCGTAGGACATCTTCACAGATCCTTGCAGAATACCTTGAAAGACATATTTCCAGTCAACCGAAAAGGACAGTCCAACCGAGTTTCTGCAGAAGTTTGTCGTCTTGGATCACCTGAGGGATTTTTGCTTTTTTCGTCACGAGGCCGTTTGACGTATCTGCCTTCAGTGCGTTCGAAGGAGGCTTTGAAGAAAATCTTTGCTGAAAAATACTCTTTCGATACTTCTTTTTCAAAATTTGCACCTTGAGTCTATCGAAAAGCTTGTCGCTAGCCAGTGCATCTTCATTCGTCGACACCCAGAAAGACTCACGAGGGATATCTTTCGGATTAATCTGAAATTAAACTGAAATATTCTCAATTTAGAATTGAATCAATACCAACCGTGCTACTACCCCATGGAAATTTCCTCATAGGAACGTCAACTTTGCGGGTTTTCTTCGGCGGCAGGTATTCAGGCAGAGGATTCAACATGACTGGAGCAATGCCGCCTGGAATCATATCATGCCATCACAAAGAATGAGAACATTCTCAGAAAAGAGTTAGTAGAGAAAAAGGAGGAAACAAATTTTGTTAATGAAAACCTAGAGGAAATGGTGGCGGTGGTGGACCAGGCGGTCCAGGTCCTTTGCCTAACATACCGGAAGGCGGCGGCGGAGGTGGAGGAGGAGGGATCCCACTGCCTGAAACTGAGAAGACCATGAAGACAAATCGTGCTTTCGAACCCATTCCAGGAGGTGGCGGCGGAGGTGGAGGTCCGCCAACAACAGGAGGAAGTCCACCAGGAGGCGGAGGAGGCGGAGGGCCTCCGGTGATGGGCGGAAGTCCTCCGGGCGGCGGTGGAGGCGGAGGTCCTCCTGTTACTGGCGGCAGTCCTGAAGACGTCGACGGCGTTGACAAGTCTGTCAGATCAGGAGCACTGAGGTTACATTTCGTGGGCGGCGGCAGAGGAATGGAGTTTGGATCCGCGACCTTCAAAAAATTCTTCCATCTCTCTCTCAACATAGTTCAACCCGACATGTTTCCGGAGCAACTCCGTCTCCTTCTGATACTCCTGAATCGCTTTCCAGTAGTTGCTCTGCATGGCGACGGCCGCGTGCTTCGCCGCCGTCGCTTGTCGCAATTTTTTCGACGTTTCGTCGTCTTGTAGTTGTTCTAAAAGTCACCACCGTTTACATATCCCTATTTTAATATGTATCTCGACCTAAAATCTCCGAAACTGGCATTTCAAACACAAAAGGGCTCTCCGGATCAGGATCGACGCCGTTGAAAACGACTTCAGAAATAGCACACTCGATGAGTTTCATGTATGCTCGTCTGGAAAACATTTCCTTTGTGTTTCGAAACGGCAGGCTGTGTAACCTAGCAGTGATTTCTTCTGGAACGAGCACCATGAGCTGGAAAATTGCCAGAAGCATGGGTTCCACGGCTGAGGTACTCGCAGAAGACGCCAACAGCTCGAAACATCCGTCTAACGAATCGTACTCGCTCTTTCTTCAAAAACGAACATGAGCCACTTTTTCTTTTTAGGCTACTTCTCTTACAAACTCTCATATTTCCCAACAAGATTCTCCATGTCGCTGGCCTGCTCGTTGATATAAGACTCGCAGACGCGTCCGATTGTCTTCTTGTTGCTTTCGGCAAGGTTCTGAAGCCAAGAAAACGTTTGCTTCGATCCGGAAGGCCAGAGACACCTGCATGTGCTTGCCCCAGCCATCGCGCGCGGCTTCGCTTCGTAGGCGCATTCGCATTTGCCACATTTGGTCCTCGGTCCAGGTCTGTTCAGGCAAGTTGTCGGAAACGCGAGTAATCATGCAGTTGACGGATATCACGAAGCGATACTGCAAAACCACCTTCCTCTATTGTCTTTTAAAGAAAGAAAACACCACAAGGTCCTCCTCGCGTGTGATGTCGAAGAACTCGAGGCACTCGACGAACGGTTTGAACCGTGACATTGGAATTCCTGTCGAAGACTTCTTCGACTCCTGCCGCGACAAAGTCGTCAACTCTCGAAAAAACTTTTGCTGGCTGGAAAGAGTCAAGGTGGAAGAACGGCTGGAGATCGCCAAACCCAGTCATTTCGAAGCTGCGGTATTCGTCGCTCTCTCCGTGACTACTCATGATTATCAGGCAGCAGATCTTGACGATGTCGGCACGCAACATTCGCGCTTCCGGCGGCTCCGGCGGGGTTCCCTGCCCGATAGGTGGCTTCCTGAAAGCTAGCGAATTAAAAAAAAAAGCTTGAGATTCTTTTTGATTTCCGAGTACTTTGAAATTGAAAAATCTTTTTGACCGCTGAATGGATTCAGTGATTTTAATTACCAAGCAAACTTGGAAAAAAACTGGGAAAATCGATGGTTAACATTTTTCAGACTCCAAACGCACTTTATAAAAACTCCATAAATTTATTTATATATTTATTTTTTTCAGTAAATTCTTTCATTTCTGCCACTTATTCACACTATATAATAAGCTAACTTTTTCTTTAGCTCATCTTTTTTTATAAATTCAAAAATTAAATTAATAAAGAAAAAGATAGATTTTTTTCTAACTTAAAAAGGGCTTCCGGTTTTCAAGTCCTGATTCAAGGCGTTTAGGGTTATGGTTTATTGTCTAATCAAGGAACCCTACAAACCTTCGATTTAGACAGGACAGCGTCTGTATGAGAAGGGAGACAACCGGAGACGAAGCCTGCATTATCAGCCCCATTCCGCTCTCAAATAGAAAAGACCCTTGGATCGCATATAATTATTCAAAACCATGAGATTCATGATCGATCGGATGCACTTGACGACTTCTTGCAGGAAATCTACCAACTCGATCTCTTCTTTCGTGTCGCACTTTGTCCTTTTCAACATATCGATAAGCTGAAAAATAACATCAGTGTATTTCTCAGGAAGCTATACCATACATAAGCATACAGCTCACATAATAAATCGAATCCTGATCGGCCTTTTTCGTCTCGAACTCCCGACGTAAACTGAAAAAACACGTTTGAGAGCAGAAAGGTTACAGATGGTACATCATAACTTCTAAAGGCACGGGAGTATTGAACATTTAGATAAAATGTTCTAACACATTTCTGGCATTATTCAAAATGAAATGAAATTTTCCATCAATCGCACAAAAATGTTCACACGATCCTTTACAGTACTTTTCACGCGAAGAAATTTTTTTATATTCATACGGATTTCGCGCAAAAATTTGTTCCGAAAGACATATTCATGTGGTATTTCGAGTGCCTTTTTTGAGTCGGAATACAAATCTTTTCAGGATGAGACTATTATCTTTAACCCTGAACAGCTTCTAAAAATCATTTCCCGAACGAATCAACGGCGCTGACCTTTGAAGTGTAGGACAGGTTCTGGCAGGTCAGCTGAACTTTGACGTCAACCATTTCTTGTTTGCAGGCAAGAATATTCTCTGACCTCAGGATCTGCTTCAGTGACGCGAGTAAAGACTCTGGCGACTGAAAGTAATTTTTATTTTCTTTCACATTTTGCTCCTCATCAGTTTATATTCTCCAATGTTTGGCCTAACTTTCTTGTTGGCGACGCTGTCCGTTTTGTTACTATTGTGTATCAATTGGCGCATCGTGTCCGTCGTCATCCGGTTCATCATTTCCTCCAAGTCTTGGCCTTTTACATTTTTTTCTTGCTGAAACTTCTTTCATGAACTTGAAAAGCACCAAAACTGACCATTATTTTGCGAAATTGGTCTCGTAAGCTGCCCAACTCCTCCTCTGTGACAGGTCTTAACGCGGATTCCCCTTGAAAAATTACGCGGTATCAATCTGTTTGAGTCTATTTTTACTACAAATATGATTTCATAAAATTACAAAAAAAAATCATTTTTAAAAAAGTTTTCGACTACTTCTCCTTTCTTATTCTGCGACAATGAAACCTTTGTGACAAAACATCGTTTCAATGTCGACTTCCCTTTTTCTGCAGCTTACCATTAACACATCAAGGAACCCACATTTTCGAATCGAAACGAAAAAAGATATTGGAAATTTACAAACCAGAAGAATTCGAAGCCAAAGTAGATGTACTGCCAATAGTTCCATATCTGCTCTCATCATCGCCAGCGGGCTGAAAAGGAAAAATTGATAAATTGAAGTTTCCAACTTTGATTCCTTCATTGAAAAGTTGCACTTTTTTGTAAGAATCTCTAATTATTTCAAACTGAAAAAAGCCTCGAGCGCAGTCCAATCGCATTATGTCATTTGCAGATTATGTGTTATGAATGATATTTTATCGCTTTTTTCTAACCTTTCTTGATGTTTTTCCTGAAAATCTGTTCAGACGGAAAACTTCTAAAAAAAAAGTTTCTCAGGTAGAGATGAATGCTTGAAACTGTGAAAAGTCTGATTTTGAACAAAATTAAAACCAACACGCATAAATGTAATTTCTGTCCTAGAATTCTACCAACTAATTTCATAGGATCAATTTGATAGTAAGTACTTCAAAGTGCTTCTTGATGCGTTTGCGGAACTTCTTGGAGGAGAACAAGTCGGTCCAATGGCCGCCTGGATCTCGAGGACTGCTGCGACGAAGATCGAAGCCGGCCATCGAATGCCGTTCGACGCTGCGTCGCTTGAAGGGCTCGTGTTGCAGGTGCGATATCGTGGAATGGGTGGCTTCCGAGCCGCCTGTCGTGGCTCCGCGCGGTCGCGTCTTTTTCGACCGCATCTGGATGTTCGGCTGGTTCACGGGGGCTTGGATCATCGCTTGTATCGGATGCAGGAACGAAAAAGGTTCCGACTTCGTCGTATCTGGCGCTTCCGATCCGCTATCGGACATCTTCGCAAGAGTTTTACGTATCACACGGTATTCCTACTATCCGGAGTTGTACTGAAACGCTCAAATCTTACTATTAGCTCGCATGGAAGAAATTCGTCTCAATTTTCGGTGAAAAAGAGAGATAAAAAGTCAATCGCAGGGGGAAAAATTACGTCCGTAGAATTTTCAAAAGACATATAAATTTTAGTCTTCTCAGTTTTTTTTTCGACTGGATGGTTTTCTGAACCAACAAAAGTCGGTAATAAAATTGATCACTACTTACTTTAACTTCGTCTTTATTTATCACCATAGATATCGAAACGAGCTGTGGAATATGTGAAAAGGAAAAAAATTGAAATTAAAAAACCAGGCTTTCAAACTTTAATTATAAACACATTAAACTCCGAAAACTTTCTATGAAAAAAAGAAAATAAACGCTTTTTTATGAAAAAGTTATAATGAACATGAGAAAAAAAAAACTTATTATAGATACAATGAAATCTTGAAAACAAGGATTATGTGCGAGGCTATCAGAAAACGAAGAAAATTTAAGAAGAAAACATTCAAATCAGCTACTGTGTTTATTACAAACGATCTGAAACTTCAAGACAAAGAGAAAATCGCGGTTTATGTAGCAAAAAAAGACCTGAAATCGCGACAAGAGAGCATATGACTGTGCAAATTAGCTCACATCTTCAAAATTGGTTCACTTCAGTTCAAAAAAAAACGATTCCGCTATCTACTTCCTATCAGAAGATTGATGTCATGAGAGACGTCCTGAGCCAAGTGCTCTACTTCATGAAGCAAGCTTGAAAAGATGGTTAAAGTAAAAAGATGGTTGAAGAAAAAACTGGAAAACACATTTGGACAGGTTTCAAAGAAGAAATTTTGTAAGGTCTTCGCGTGCCCAATGAAGCCGAAACGATCACGAAACATGCGCAAAGAAAAAAAAACACAAATACACAAGGACGGGAAAAACGCAAAGTGTACACTCTCTATGGTTCGAAAAATCGATATTCATATTGTTTTTACCTTTAATTTAGCAGACCATCATCCCTCTCAAAAAAAAAAGAGGAAGAAGAAGTTCTTTTCTAAGGGTACAAGGTCAATTACCGACTAAATAGAGGAAAAAGTCCGGCTGATAATGACTGATAGTGTAAACAAACGCATTTACGGTCACACCAACATCATTAAACAAAACAACAACCAGTGTTTCATGATTGAAAATGACGAGGATCACAACAAAATCTGCTCGTTTTATGATAAAAAATTTACGTGACCTTCGAGCGAACCTATTATGAAAAACTTTGCAGCCATCTCTAAGTTTTTTTCACGTTATACTTGACATTTTTTCTTCAAAGTATATTTAGGTACTTCATTAGTTTTTTTTTTTCAATTTTTGGATCCAAAAAAAATGTATAGCAGTGCAAAAACTGAGAAGAAAAAAAGGAAAGAAAGAAAGAATTCTAGGGCCAAAAAATTTTGCTCAAGAAACTTTCGAGCAGAGCGCGAAATTCTCAAAACATACAAAAATGTTGTCAATTTCCGAATCTCAAAAAGAAAGGCTTTTGGAACACATGCCGAGATTGACAAGAAATATTTCGAGCAAACCTTAAGAAAAGAACATTTTTCAAGCCGTAGTGTATATTTGTCCTCACAGAACTAAAGCAAATGGTTTTAGGTGAACTCAAGGATAATTACTGAAGATTAAAACTTTAGTACTTGTGAGAACTTCGAACGGATAACGAAATGCAAAAGAAGAGGGGTGAAATTCTTCTGGGAATGAGGTCGTATAAATGGAAAAAGCTCCTTTTGAAGTGACACTTTTGCCGACAAAGAAAGTAGAGAAGTGAAATGACAGGGTTAGGAAAAAACTGAAAAAGAATTGAACTGAGCAATTCTACCTGAATAGTTGCGGAAAATATGTGGCCGCTACCAATAAGCAGTGTAAAAGAGCGTTCGGAGCTGGGGTGAAAAAAAATGAGGAGAATTGCAGACTCGCAATGATTCACCATTATTAAACTGTGGTAAAAAAGCGTACCCATACCAAAAATTTATTCAAAGCATTTTTTAATCTCGAAATCGTATTTTGAAGTGTTTTTTTGTAATAAAATCTTCATTTTACGCGTTTGAACCGTCCAACAAACCTAAACGACTTTTTTTTAAACTGAGGCTTATTCAAGTTCCATAACACTTTTGACAGCTGTTCCGCTCTAAGAACATGAAAAAGGGAAAAGAAATAGTCCAAACAGATCATTGGCGGGAAAAGCTCAAGAGGTATTCATGCTGGAAAACTGAGAGAGCTCCGAGAGCTTGGACACACACGGAGGGAGCACATGGCGAGAAAAGTCCCTATCAGTGAGTCGCTCCAAAAAAAGGCGATCGGCGTCCATCGCAAATATTATTCATGCAATGACTATTGGATAGATAGTGCGCCGTTTTTTTGTTCACAATACGGTTACGTAGATCCTTCTCCGTTGAATCTTTTGTTTTAGAAAAAAAGGGACTCCGCTCAGCAGTAGACATCGAGTTGTCAACAAATCAAAGTTATTCAGCACTGCAGCTATTACGAAAATGGTCAAAAAAAAATAAGGGTTTTAAAATTCATTTTTATTACCTTCAGAAAAAGGCTGAAAATCGGATTTTTACAAGATTTTATCCTATTCATTTTCAATAATCTACAATGTGGGTAAACTCTTTCTCTCAATACCAACAAAAATCTCAAAAAAATTTATTACACTAAAATTAGTACATTTTAATAGAACTAATTTAGTTTTTGGAAGGAATGAAAAACGATGGATCAGACCCTAAAAAAAACTCTTCTCTTAAAATTTTCTAGAAATATCCTTGCATGGGTAGAAACGAATCAAAGTTGAAAGATGAATAACTCAAAATGAACAAATGAAATGAACATACTTTGGAAACTTGAAACACTCTGAGACAAGGAAAAGGAGTACTGGGGAGAAAAAGAAACCCAAATAAAGAAGTTGAAGATGAAGAATGGGCTCGAAATGGAGTCGCCTCGTATTATCAAAGGACCTACAGATGTTTCAAACAACGTTTACAAATCTCTCGGGAAAGCATTCAAAACGATAAATCGCGTTGTCGACGAGTCCTGTGATGGCCGAAAACGCGAAAAAAAAATTATGGCAAAAAAGGCCGCGCACTCGTCGCAAATGTGTTCGTGCGCTCGGGTGCACAAAGATAAAAAAATAGTTTGTATATTTTCAGCTGACTATTACATGAATCCATTTTTTGCGGAACTATGAAACTTTTAGATCAGTGAATCTTTCAAGTAAAAATTTGAAGTGAATTTATATTCAAAAGAAAAAAATTATTATTTTTTTCTATCTTTCATTGGATTTTTTTGATTAAAATCACGCACCAAAAAAATATCTATATACTTCGAAAAAAAACTTTTTTTCAATAAAATTAATCATCTGAAAAGTTGCACCGCCGACTTTTTCCACCATTTGAAGCATTCTTAATCATACCAAAATCATTGGTTAGCTTTTCACCTCTTATAAGAAGAGTAAAAATTTGATTGAAATACTGAAGGTAAAAAAAGAAAAATTATTTTAGAATTTAAATTCGGTCAAAAAAGGAGGCTCTTCCTCATCTGCTGTTCAGAAAATAGTTACTCGGAAAGTAAATACAAACTACGAGTCCAAAAATGATCATAAAAAAAGAGGAAGACGAGGCAAGACGGAGACGGCTGTAGAAAAGATCGGCTGGCCGCACTTGTTCCAACACCTCCGCCATTTGCGTGCTCTCTCTCCGCCAAAGACGGTCGGCGCCAAAACAGCCGTATTCAAATGGCCGCGAGGGCGTCGCTGCCTCCACCAAGGGCAGCAAGGTTCTCGAAAAGCAGTTAGGTGCTACATTGGCAGCTGTTCAATCTATTTCTGGTTTCAGTTGAAACTCGGAAAGAAAAAAAAAATTTTTTTCGAACTTATTACAAAAAGATCCGACGTTTTTGGCCGGTTCAAAAACACTTACTGAAGTCGTTTATGTCGTAGACGTTTATGGTAGACCATCACTTTAAACTCATTGATTTCTACTCGAAACCGTCAGAATAAAGAAATTGGGGCTAATTCTTAGATCTTTTTAATAGATTTCAACTTATTAAAAAAAAAAAAATGAATTTTTCGATATATAATTTGTTGAAGAATCGAAGTAGCTTCCAGTTTCTTAGTTTTTCCATGCGGGGCGGTACCACAAAAAAAATCACGCATGTAACAGAAATAAAACTTGCGATTTTTTTCGTATATCCAATACAAGTATGATAAAAAAACATGCATTAGTATGTAACCGAGCAAACAAAAAAAATTCTTTTAAGTATAAGTTTTATTTATTTATTTATTATAACTAAAGACTCCTATTTCCGTGAAAAACGCTGATAATTCAAAAAAATTGTAAAAAAAATATAATCCTTAGATTATACTGAATTATATTACGAACATGTCGTTACTTGGAGACAAAATAACGTTTTTGGAACTTTCAAAGTATTTTTAGATCTCAAGGTGAACCAAAAGAACAGTAACGACACACGACATAAGTGAGTCACATGGCACGTTCAAATTGATTCGCTGTATGTCATGAAATCGGAAATATAATTCGCCTAAAACGTTCGATGAAGGCTTTTCCTTGTGAAAAAAATGTGTGCTTTATGAATAATTGATTTCTTCAAATGACGAATTAAAATCATTTCACAATCAAATAGTTGAAAGAAAATTAAATCTGATTATAGTTCGTTTATCATGAAATTTCAGACATAAAACTTCTGAACTGAAGAACTAAATTGAAAAAAAAAAAAGAGAAAACCAACTTTTCTCAAAGACGGTTGCCGAAAGCTCCCACCATCGCGTTCGCCTTCTTTTTTGCCTCGAAGCTTCTTTATCATTCTTTTCTTCTGTAATAGTTTACAATTTTTTTCTCAGAAATAAAAAGTAACAAAGTCATTTTGAGAAACTCACAAAGAATTTACAGCAAAGCAACGAAAATGGATATGAAATTGGATACGATTCCATTTGAGCGCATTAAACGACTGTTTAAACAGAAATGAGCGTCGATACGCGGCATATATGGTAACTCACTTTCGACTTTCCCATTTTTCCAGTTTCAAAATCAGCAAATTCAAGGTAAGAGTGCCTCAGCCTTGCAGAATAGTAGAAATATCAGCTATGAAAATAAGCTACTTTCGAGAAGCAGCCCGAGAAAATGAATCCGAGAAATTGGAAAACAGGGCGGAACAGCACAACATGACGTGTGATGTTTATGTGTTTTCGCTGCTGGTGGAGCATGCGGTTTACTAAGTGAAATGCGTTGCAACCATGAGAACAGAGAGAAAAAGTTTTCGTTAATTTATGATTGCTAAAAATTGCCAAAAACATTGCAGTAGGATATTAGCATTTCAGTCAAAAATTTTGAAAAAAATGAATTCAGTTTCTTCGAACATGTTAACACGAAGCTCGAAATTTTCCTAATATTTTAAGGTCACTTTTACATCGAGACAAGATATAATATCGAACATAGACATTGAAACAGATTGAACGAGAGAAAAAAAGCTGGGACCGTATTCAAGAAAGTGTAAGCGAATTTACCGCGTTATTTTGACTTCTGAGAAGCAAGTTTGAGCTATTTACCCCTTTTGGGTGAACCACGGTAAAAGCGTTTACCTTTTTCTTGCGTACGGCCTTTGTTTTGCAGTACAAATGAAAAAATTTAGAATAAATTGATAAACTTTACAATTCTATGGGCAAGTATGTGTAATGACGACCTGAATATTTGTTCGAAAAGGTAAATCCGCAACTTTCACTCAATTTTTCCGCAAAGTTGCAACAACGGATACATTCTAACTCAACTCAGCGTTTTTTTACGAAAATAAGTTTTTAAAAAAATTGATATGTGCCGAATAGAAAAAAAGACAAAAACATTTGATTTGAAACTTTTATAATTTTTTTGATTCTTTTTAAATCTTTAACACGTATCAAAAAAACACTCAAACTTGTTCAAAAAAATGATGAAAGGAACCAGCCATGTGGTAGTTCGATGACCTCCCGAATAGAAGAAAAAAATGCGCAGCGGGGGTCGATCCACCGTGTTCACTATTGTTTCAGCTCCATAATAGGAGCCTTCCCATCGAAGGTCAACCGTTTCTAAATGCTACTCCAAAATATCCAATAAACCGCAAGTTTTCAAGTTTTTTTCACCAGGACAACAAAACTGAAAGTGGCTCTTCTTTTTCACTTCTCACCGAGAATTTTAATTTATTCAAGAAGGTCTGAAATCAAAGTGAATTCACAAACTACTCGTTATTTTTCCATCAATTGTTTTATAAAGTTTAAGTATTTTGTGTGAGAGTTAGGAATGGTTTCGCAGTTTCGTACCTTCATTTAGAAACTAAGATCAGGTCCGCAAAAAGTCATATGAACCTTCTCAATGCATTTTTGAAATTCAAGAAAGCGAACTAAAATGAGATAGAAAAAGAAAAAAATGTCATTGATTTATATTTGACAGAAAGTACGGCGCACATATTTAATTCTGGAAAGGCATTATCTAGTTCACACATGACGACTAGGCGACAGATTTTCATACGTTATGGAAAACTTTCGCCTGCGTATCTGCATCCGATCGCCCTTTCGTTCTACTGCGCTTCACTTCGTTTCCCAACATAGAAAGCTCATACAATTTTAAAACGATTCTCAAAAACTGATAATAAAAAAAGAAGAAAGAAGTGGATCTATGAAAAATTTGACAAGTATATTATTACAAGTCGAGTAATAAAAAAGAACAAAAAAAATTGATGAATCAAACACGTATTGACAAGTATAGAAGCGCCGAGAAAATAAGTTCAATGAGAGACTGTAGTTCATGCCGTGTTCAAAGTAATTTCCGCGAAATGCAAAATGGTCTCTGACCCTCCAAAATTTAGTTATCTTTCTCTTTCTCTGACGGCTATTTTGAATTTCGCGGAATCACTTTGAACACGGCATATGCGCATCAAAGGTGAGCGCGTATTTTAGTGAAATTTTTAGAAATCCACTTTTTCTCCTATTTTTTAATCAGTTTCATAAAACGCTTGTTTAAGGTGGCCGGTCGTATTACGGTAGTTTGGATAGGTTTTTTTCTTGTGTACTTTTTTTGTGACGTAACTTACCTTTTAACCTCGAGAAATAGGTCCTTAACGAACTGCAAAAAAGAAAAAATAATTTAAAAAATTCCCTAGCTCCGAAACTGACTGCGCAATATTGACCGGCCACCGGCAGCCGTAGTACTGTCTCAAACATGCGTTTTTTTAAGATTTATTTTTTTAAGTTGGAAAGTTTTTCGAGGAAAAAGTAAATTTCATTTTGAATGAAAGGGCGATCGGATTCAGATACGCTGGCGGAAGTTTTTCCAAAACGTATCGTTATATAAATTAAATTTACAAAATTAAAAAAAGTTTGCATGAATTTTTTTATTATGACTTGGCTTTGGCTCCGAAGTACTCAGACATAATTTCAAGGATTGGGAAAAATAAAAATGGTGAATCGAGTCAAATTGAAAGAAAGCAGAAAATGGGATACCAGAAGGCGTTATTTTTGAAAAAGAGGACACTGCTCAATTAGGAGTTTTAAACTACTCAGTGAGAATATTGCCTTTTTAGTGATGTCTAGAGATATTATAAAAATCATGATACTGCGAAATTTCGCAAAAAAATGATCAACTTTTTTTAAAAATTTTATCTTTCCTTCTCAAGCAGCAGGCGCAAAAAGCCGTGGGCTTCTTGCGTTAAAACCGACTTCAATCGGCAATTAATGAATTTTTTTAAATATCCCGAAACCTTGAATTTTTTTGGAATTTTTACGTTATATAAATAATTTTTAAATATTTCATAAATTTAAGAAGAATAAATTAATCTTTGGATGAAATCTAAATATGATTCGAATTTAAAAAAATAATCCAAAAAAATCAAATATATAGTAAGCTTTTTTTATGAGACCGATTGAAATTTTTTTCATCAAAAAAAACGCTTCTTGTGGCTTCTGGTCTTTATTGAAGGAAGACTCAAGAAACGCTAACAAATCTCGAGTTATATCTTTGAATGTCTCAGAATCGTGCTACAATATTGGAATCTGATGCTTTCCGGATCAGTGATGCACGAGAATCGTGTCTTGAGATTTCTCGAGAAATTTTAAGACGAGATATATCGCCACGGTCAAAAATTCAAAACTTCGTCTCGTTTGAAGATGAAGAAATAAATCTGATCTCGTCTTCAGAGATTTCGAGATCAACAAATCTTTGTACATAGGAAAGATAAAAAATATAACGTAACATATTATGACGTTTAGGCCAACTTCAAACGTCTTTTTTCGGTTTCTCCTAGAATTTTGTCAGTCTACCGCACGAGAAGGAGCGATTTTCGAGTGTTCCGACAATCACTGCTTCTCCATAAAAACCTTATTTCCTGAGAGGAAATTTTTTTTCATGAAACTTTTATTTTTTTTTAAATATCGTATTCATATTCCCGTTTATTGAGAAGCTCATTTTTTTAATTCAAGTTTTTATCCTGTCTCTCAACGTTTCCGATTGCTTTATATAAACACTTTCGGAAAATGTCCCCGTCTTAATCTCGTTTCGAAATAATTCTTGAAATGATTGCCTCGAGGCTCGAGCTAAACAAAATCACGTCTCGTGCATCACTGTTCCGGATGTTGTCAGAAAAGATCCAAAAGACCAATCAAATCGCCTTTCGATTTGCTCCTCATGTCTTTTCCTATATTCCCTTCAAGTTTCGTTATGATCGGTTCATTTTTACGGAAATGGTAGCCTCTTGCCCTCGTCGAGTTACAATCGTCAAACTGAGGGAATAAGGAAAACCGACGATCGGCGTTAGGCGAGGAACGGTGAAAAGAACTATCAAACAATGAAAGGAGACATGAGGTGCCCAGACCCTCCTAAAAGTGGAAGACCGCGCAGTTCAGGCAAAGGTCCAAGTTATCGCTCAGCAAAATTTGGACTCGCTGAAGCAAACCTTGGAATGGGACAATCTCAGCCCCGAGTACCTGCGTGCCACCGTTGATGCGTTCCCGGAGCGTCTCAAGCAAGTTATCAAAAACCGAGGACCGAGAATTGGAAAACTTTAAAAAATTTTTTATTGTTTATGTCTGAATAAAATTGTGTTGAAGTTTCATTCCATTTGCTCCTTTCTTTCAAAAGTTACATCGTTTTGTCTTTGCGGCAATACTTTTGGGCCATCCTGTAGTTCTTTGTGAAATAAAGCCTAAAAAACCATCGAACAGTTTTATCTCATTAAAGTAATGCGAATAAAGTTTTCAAATGTTGTTGTTGAAGTCGTTGAATGAAATGACGGATTTCTGACCGCCCATCAAAAAATTTGGATTGGGTCGATCCTTGTTTTGCGTGAACATCTCGATATTTGGAGCACCACAGACGGCTGCGATCAAAGAGAAAAAGAAGAAGAGAAGCAAGTTCATCTGAAATCAGTGGAAAGTAGCTACTCTAGTAGCAAAGAATAGAACGATTTCTTGAAAGAAAGGAAATACAGAGCGCACTGTTTTCTCATCCTTTGTTTAAAAAGTGAAACAGTCTCAAATTGGAAAGTATTGGATCATGGGAAAAATGTTATACACTATTTGATTCTCATCTTCTCAGACTTTTATTCGACTATAAAAAGTTGCTCTTACAATATTTTTCAATTGAGAATCTTCGCTTGAACTCTGTAACAGACCCTCAATTATATACTGAGATTGTATTGAAAAAATGAACTTCCTGAACCATCCTAAGTATTTTGATCTCAGCCTTGAGAAGCTCTTTGGAAACACAACGATGACAAAAAAACTATAAAGCAAAGATTTCCTGACCGTCGCATGTACTCGTCGTAAGAAATGACGGCATTATCGCCGCCCATCAGCGAGATTCCAGCAGCGCCTGTTTCAGAGTCCTTCGTGGACCTGTTGAGTCCTGGGAGGCACCGAATCACGTCGAAAACCACAATCAGGAGCAAAACCGACCACCAAAGTCTCATCCGACGTCTCAACGACTTGAAGCCTTTTTCAAACTTGTTGACAAGTTTAGCCTAAAATAAAAAGGAAAACTTTCAAATGTTCCAATTCAACAAAAACCTCGGAAATTTAAGACGTTGTAAAGTTTTTATTGGATCTTTAAAAAAAAAACAAAAAAGGAACAGAAGAGATTAGAAAAAAAAAATTGATGATAAATTTTTTTCGTTATTTCCTGATATCCGGAGGAGGAATCATGTTCACTTCGCCTGAAATTAAAAATTTTTTTCCTGGATAAGTTACACATGACAATCTAAGAGCAACTTTTAATTGAGTTTCACCTTAGAAAATGAATATTCGAATTGCACATAACTTTTGATTGGATTTAAAAAATCAATATTTGAAAAAACGAACAAATAGTTTGGATGACTGGTTGAATTTTAGGCCGGCTGCGGACTTTCCTGCGTCGTCGGTCTCCCGGCGTATGCGGACGCAGACCACTCGACCGCATCCTACCCGACTTCTGTTTGTGCGAATGTGAGCTATCCGTTTTTCTGAAAGAACTTCGGAAAATAACACAAGAGGCTCTCTAAAAATCCATCTCTTTCTACAACAAAATGTTATTTCTTGAAAAGAGGATTTATCTTGTTAACTTCAACGGCGTACTGACTGCTTCCTAGGTTAAGACAGGCTTTGAAAAAGAGTTAAAATAAAACCAAAAAAGTTTGAGTTTATCCGGATCTCGTTTTGGTTGCAAACTTTTGGATAACATATTGAAACGACAGTCTCAATTTAGTAAGTATCTTGATTCCTCTGTATCTAATTTTTTTTCCCTCAGGAGCAATTTCGCCAAATTCACCTCCTAGAATCATCACTCTTACAAGACTTGTCTGCCGATTTTTTTCTTCTGCTTTCCTTTGAATCGGTTTTTGGTTGCTAAAAACTATGAAGATGCAAAATACCTTCACGAAAAAAAAAATACCACAACATCATCGATTCGCTCTCCCATTTGCGGTCGCTCATTATCATTAAAAGACATGGCGTTCACTTGCAGCAGTTCATCTAAAAAATCTACCATAAGTAGATCTTCCGTTTGCATACATATTTTCTCTGAAGCTTTAGCTGGCTGCTTTTCCAAAATCAACGGAACCATATTCAGACAATCCGCCGAGTTTACCCACGAGTAGTTGGCTAAACGGGAAACTTTTGATTTAGTGGTTGGTAAGACGTATTTTCTTCATACATCAAACTCTTAGACTTACACTGATCACTGAAAAAAAGCTGCTTGAGGCCAATAGCTTCTTCTTCGCTTCTGCTAGCATTCCAAGGCAAAGAACCGTAACTCGTCAAAAACATCATCTAAAAAAGAGTGAAGCTCAGGAAATAAATGTTTACTGTGTAGAGCCAGCACTCGATGTCCGCATTTTCGTCAAGTTCTACGTTTTGATGGAAGGCGCGAGCCGAGAATCGGTCGGTCTTTCGATTGAACTTAACTTTTAGACTAAAGCAAGATAGTTCGTGAGTTTTTCAAGAACAAGAGATACCTCATGGGCTGAACGAAGTAGAAATCAACGAGACGAAGGTGGAAAGGGGTTGAAATGCAAAAAGAAGAAGGCCTCAAGTCGCAGTGGAGAAAGCCCAACAAGTGCAGCTCCCGCAGCGCCATGAACGAGTAGTATGTGATCAAGAAAGTCGTCACAGTACTCAAAAAAATCATAGTTAACCATTTATCTCAAAATATAACTTTTTTTCATTAATTTATGTGAAAAATTTTTCTGGTAGGTTTGTAATTAAATGCAAAGTTCATTCATAATATATACATTTTTTTACAAAATGAACACGTTCAATTGACTCGAAAGGGCTGCGCTTTCTAAATATATATATTTTTCTTAAAAAAATAAATTGATGTTCCGTGTATTTTTTCTTCACTCGAAGTGGTAGCTCTCTCAATCGGCCGAGGCTACCCTAGAGTGTACACGGTGTCCGTGCCCGAGCCCCACCATCATCGCCGTGCCCGTACCCGCAAAAACTGAGGGATCAACTTGTGGAAGAGCGAGGAGAAGGACCGTAAGACCATGCTTTCAATTCGATCGACTACACGTTTTGACTTCTTTTTTTCGCCAAAGGCGGTGTTAGTGCCGCTCAAAAGAGCAATTTTTTTCACCGCCTAGTCGATACCATCTGACTAAAACAACCAATAAATATTTATTGATTGATTGATGTTGACCAAAAACGTGTATTTGTAATCTTGAGACTTATAAAACAAAACTTAAATAGAATAACTGACTTGAAAATGTGATGACGCCGTATAAAATACATCAAGTCTGGCCCCACATCGTCCACAACAATAAAACTAAAAAACGTTGGATTCATAGGAAATGTTTGCTCCAATTAATTCCACACCGATAATCTTCTGTGAATCCCATGTCATGGACGCGAGAAAGTAGAGAGTTGTTTCTCAGTTTGCAAACCAAACTAGCAAGGAAGAGCCGCTCCGTCTGTAAATGGTTATGTTTCAATGTTCCTTTCCATTTCTCAGAAATGCGCTATCAAACCACGAAGACAAGGCGTGCTTTGAACCGACTTACATTGAGATCAATTTCTTCTTTTCTCGGCTTCGTCCGATATTTCAGTTTCAGACCGAAAGGTTTGTTTGATTTCGCTTTACGGATTCGCATATATTTTCCATTATCAACCTGAAGTTAAAACATTTCCGATCATTCTTGTTTTTAAATCAAACTTTATGAATCTCTGGGGTAGAAATAACTTCGTACCTAAACAGCAAATAAGTTTTCAAAAAATTTTCAAAACTCACTGATTTTCCAAAGTTTCTATGTGCGTTGGTAAGGTTTTCTGCAAATACAATAGATAGCAAAAAAAAGTTTGAAAACCTTGACTTCTGAATTTTGCGATTCTTGAAATGCACAGTCGGAAAGTTTCAAGACTCGTTTGATATAAACCTCGCGCTGAAAAAAATTTATTTATTTTCCATCTCAGTAGTTAGAGGATGAACGTTTGATATTTTCTATACATGAATCAGAAGCTTAGAAAAAGACAAGTCTGAACTTTGATAAGGATAGCATTGGGAGAAGTCGTTGTAGTCGTACGCGTACGAGCTCCTTCGGAATTCTATGATTCAGAAATATTATAGAAAACAACCCCTTTTTATCACCTTCGAAGGGAAAAGCCGAAACTTCCGAACGCTCTTCATAGGATACTCCATAGTCAAAAAAACAATTGAAATGACTTTTTTCTCCGAATTTCACGCAAGTTTTAGCGGAAGTTGCAGCTCCGGAATAATTTATTAAACTGAATTTGATTGGTCATGAAGCCAAGGCGAAACAACGAACAAGTGAACTGAATTTTCAGAAAGTCTGGCAATTTGATTAGCGCTAATAAAACAGTACATACAACAGATTTCAAAAAAATAGCGTAGTATTTGTACATAAATATCAGAAATGCAAAAAAAGTGGAAGGATAAATATAATGCGAAGGTGAGACCAATAGATTAAGAGGGAAACTTGGTAGAAATTCAAGCTGTTTTCGTTTCTTCACTGGAGCCAAGCGGCTGCAGTTCTTGCGCCGAACGGTTCGCGTCTCCCTAAAAACAGTCGTCTGTCTGAAGAAGTTAATAATTTCTGAACGAAGACGTGAAAAACGAACTAAATCCCCTCCTTTCAATTTTGATGGTGATGAAAGCGAAAATTGATTAAATGATAAATATAGTTGAACTATATAGAAATTTTACCGTTCACCGACCAAAAACTCAAAATATTCGAATCGAACCATTAGTGCTTGGTTAACCTTGGAACTCTCGTTGATGAGAAAAGAAAGTTGCCCTTTTTCCAAGCATTTTTTTTCGAGTCGTGTTGAAAAATGAACCTCCTCGATCTCGAGAATCGTGTCAGGCAACGGCTTGCCCATCGTCTCCGGCAAGAAGAGAAGCGTCAGGATTCCGGCGGAAACGGCCATCACGCCAAATGGAATTATCATGTACACCTTTCCAAACTGCTCCACCTTTAATATACTCTTGATAAATTGAAAATTTGAAGAAAATATTGGTTCAGTCGGAAGAAACTTATTTATACAATAAATTCATTTTTTTCCTAGTAGCCTGAGCCCTTTATCAACATAATTTTTTTGGCTTCTTTAAGGTGCTTCAAAGAATTTATAAAAAAATTTAGAAAAAAAATGTTGAAAACTCGGAATTTTTACTAATTTCAATTTTTTTGGGAGAAACATTTTTTTAGTTCGTTCTGAGCATCACATAATGTTATTTTTAATCTATTAAAAACTTTTTTTCAAATAATTACATTGAAAGTTTATGAAAATGACAATAAGAAACATACTGCTTGCAAAAACTCATTCTTAAAAAAAAATTCAAAATTCGAAACTCAGGAGGACATTTTTTTTGCAAGTTTAAAAACATTACGGAATTTTTTTGTTCAGGTGGTTGTTATTAGCCCTGTAGACTCGAAAAAAATATTTTTTTAAAAATGAGTTTTTGCAATCAGCACTTTTTTATTGTCATTTTCATAAGTTTTTAATGTAATTATTTGAAATATTTCTCAAAAAATATGAAAATGAAGTAGTTATAAATCGGAAAAAATGATATCCGCCAAAATTGATGGATTCGAACCCTGGTCACAATATTGATAAGCTTCAAGACACCACTACCACTACACCACGCCGCCAGTTGCTAGCTCCGAGCGCGGGGATATACGCTCTGGGAAAATTTCGACGAGCCTTTCCTCGGTTGCCTGAGGGGTTTAGCATAATTTTGTTTTTGATTCCGAGTACTCTTACCCAGGCCTATCAAACCCACAAAGTCTCAATTCTCAACTCGATGCTCAGGGGAGACCATACCCTAGTGAATGCATTTAAAGGAGCATGTAACTGACAATCCACATTGCGATATAACTCGCAGAGATGGCCCCGAGCCTGGCTATTGTCGAGCAGCAGCCCATAGCCGTGTTTCGAATCATCTAAAACCAAAATATTTATGCTCGAGCGAAAAATCAGACAGATAAACGCCTTTTGGAAATTCACCGTCGGGAAAAGTTCCGGGGAGTACGTGTAAATGGAGGCATAAGTTCCTGTGATGGCTCCTTTCGTGATCATCATTTGAGTGACGGCAATCCAGGGAGTAGCTGTAAAAGAAAAGAAATTGATTGACTGAGTCATTTAAATGGTAATGACCAATTTCTCCCATGGCCCAGTTGAGGATCAAACACGCTCCAGCAATGAAGAAACCTCCAGCCAGAACCGGACGTCGTCCTATTCTGAAAGTAATATCTTTTTAGGACATGATTTCAATATTTAGAAGACCGATCAATTGTGAGGAAAACAACGATCAGCGCGGGGATTTCCACAGCGGCGGCAAAAATGAAGTTGAGGTACAAATCGCCCCCGAGAACATTGGCTTTCATGGCCATTCCATAATAAACCATGGAGACAACTGGCCTGAAACAGTAAATCGTCGAGATACAAAAACCAAAAAGGAGTGTCGACTCTATAAGTTCTGATAAAACTGTTAAAAATCTCGAAACTTTCACACATGGGTTTATTTTTTTCTTATACGTTGTTTGGTTTTGCAGATGACAGTCTGCCTCTAAACCAGAATTCAAACAGATTTCACTGAAAAACGGGTCACTTTCCTTGGACAGTTCACTACAATTTTTCTTGCGAAATAGTTCAAAAATAATTTCTATTCACCATAAAAAGAAGACGACGAGAGTTCTTTTGCGGAGCTCGGGAGTCTTGAAAAGGTCAGCCGCTCCAAGTTTCTGAGTCGGAGCCGAAGATTCGCTAGAATCGTCCGTGTCCAATTGATCCCACCTAAACAGTTTCATAGCATTTCAAGCTTAAAAAAGTGATAATAACCAATTTTCGGGCAAAGTGACTCCATTGGTACGAGCTGCTTTCTGAAGAACCACGTCGGCTTCTTTGTACTTTTTCTGAGAAACTAGCCAACGCGCGCTCTCCGGAACGATCCTACACAAACATACCTTGAGGGCACAACCCTTATCATTTTTTTTTCTCGTTTACAACTTCTAAGACTACTATGGTTGCAAGTATGAAAACATTTTTATTAGTTTATCAAAAAATATTTTGATTTGACAAAACTGTTGTTCTCAACAAAGACAGAGTACTATTCGAAGACTCGGCTTAATTGGAAGTCTCTGAGACGACTAACCACCAATAGGAGAGGAAGAAAATTGCCGGCGAAGCGATCAAGACATGAAGCCAACGATAATCCGTGATGAAGATGGCTTCGACGCCCAAAAGTATCTGGGAATCTTCTTAGAAAGCAGGTCGAAAATTGGGAGCACCTGTCCAAGAGCAAAAAATCCGCCAGTGATAACCGAGGCGAGTTTCCGATATTTTGGTCCGACGAGTTCCATTCCAATGACGACAGCAATGACAAAGATTCCAGGGTGCGAGAAGCCAGTTCCGGCGCTGTTCAAAAACGATTTTGGGTTTCAGAGAGAACGGAAATACCGCAAAATAGCATAAAGCCACCAGGTCGGCGCGAGAGAAATCAGCAGTCCACAGGTCAACTGGATGGCGATCGCCAAGAAGAAAACCTTCTTGCGGCCGATTCTGAGCAAAAATACAGTTGATTTGAAACAAGAAGTTCAACTGACTTGTCGCCCAGGACTCCGAATATCATAGATCCAGCCATCTGGCCGACGTAGTAAGCCGCTTGAATTGTCGCCTTTATCCAATTCCGGTCGCAAGTGATATCCCACTGTAAAAAAAGATCCAAAGTCTTTTCTGAAACAAATCGAATAGAAAAAATAACGAACTCTTTCGATTGCCGTGTACTTGACGGTGGATTTGTCAAAAACTCGCCGGTTGCAAGAAGTTCCATTCAAAGAGCACTGCTCGTAGTTGCACTGCAAACATTTTTTTTTCAGAGACCAGCAAAAACAGGTATAAAAAATAATAAAAAGCAAGAAAAGTCAGTTTTAATAAAATCTGCGTCTGCAAATTTTGGACAGTGATTTTTCGTCTTTTGAATAATACTTCATATTTCAATTTATACGATAAAAAATAAATCAACGAACAATGATGCCTTTCTCGGCGGCTCTGGACACGGGAACATCCAAGTCGGCGGCGTCTTTACAAGTCGTAAAGGGTAAGTTATTAGTAACGTAGGGCGAGTCTGGCAATTCGTTTGGCAAAGCGCATCTTCAAGGGAATGAATTAATGCCTCTTTAAAAAAAACTGATTTGCATACACATTCAAATAATATATAATACTTTCCCTATTTATTATCTGATACTTCGAATAACCTGTAAGGCACTTGGATGGCGGCAAAAGTCCAGCTGAGAGCGTGCATCGAAACAATGATGGTTGGAAGACAAACTAGCAAAAACTGGATCTTTTGATACCTTAACTTAGGATAAACTCCTAGAGTCTTCGATTCTCACTCACTTCCCCATTTCACCCAGGTAGGTGAACAAAAACTCGTCAAACTTCATTTTGCGCCCGCTTGTCGATGGTTTAACTCTGAAAAAAAAATGCGAATTAGATCTATAAAGTCTTGGAATCAATTTCCAATAAATTAAAAAACCAACTTCATTTCAAAGAGCCAATTTTCAAGTCAGAAAAATAGACGGAACTGAATTCAAAGGGAGAGAGAAACGTTGTTTTCTCTTGGTTGAAACGGTCATAAGAAAGGTAGGCAAATCAAATTGAAATATGTCTTTGGCAATGACGGAACAATTCTAAAGAGATTTTTCTTTTCATTTCAAAAAACCTGTTCATTGTTGAAACCACATTGTGATGCATTATTCGAACAATAAAACCCAGGTTTCGAGGATCATTCGAAAACATTTCTCAAAAAAGCTTTTTTTTTTTGGCTAAGTCCGTATTTGTAAAAACGTTTTTTTCGAGGGTCAATAAAAGCTTTTTTCCATGAAAAAGTGTTTGAATATTGTTTTAGCTTTGAAAGTTAGGATCAACTTTGTCTCATCAAAATCGACGGAGCAAAAAAACGAAAAACTTAGACGCTAAGGAAAGGGCAGCCGTCAAGTGGGTGTCCATTTCTTATCTTCCGCTTTTTTATCTGCCGCATCTCTACCGGACTTCAAGGTGTGGGGAAAGAAGACACATCAACCCTATTTTTCACGAAAACTTTACGGAAGTTTTCAAAGACAGTACGGAACAAACAATTAAAATTTTTCAGTCCAGTCTCAGTCTCTCAACAAAAAAACTCGAGTATATGGATAGTCCCCAAAAGGCCTTTCCTGAATGGTCGAAATGAAAAATTGCATCTAGATAGAAGATGAGGATGAGCTCTAGCTCAATTGGAACAATAGCTACCACAGCAGCTGAACACACTCACCCCATGGCGCTGGCTCGGAATTGTGTGTTCAACTGGTCATCGAGGCCAGTTAAAACACGCCAAGCGCGTCAACGGTTAGTGAACGATTATCCACAGGCAAATGCCACGAACAAACAACCTTTTTTTTGGAAATCTAGTTCAGTTTCACTGTACTTACGCTGGAGCAAAGAAAGAAACACGAGAATTTGTCTAAAAAAAACTCATTAAAAGGTTAAATTTTGTTTTCCTTTTTAAGTACTTTGGAATCATAATTCAGTTTATTGAATACATTTTGAGATTAGATTTTTTTTTAGATTCACAGGTCATTTTGATTGCGATTGGGAATTTCCTAAAAACTGGCAAGAACACTAAATGATGTACCAGAAGAAAGTTCTTGAAGTTCTGACCTGCCCAACTCATAATAAATTAGGGCTCAAGGCCCCAATCAGCCCATTCTAACGAATTTTAAGAATGTGGTATCCTTTCCGAAAAGCAGAAAGTTGCGCAGATAGGGACCCTCATCTGAAACGTCAAAGATTGTTTTGGCCAATTTCCAGAAAACTGTTAACAGCAAAGAAAAATTATCTTACTCGTAAGGACAGTAAGAGACATAATTTTTTTACAGAGAAAAGTTGTAAATTTTACACATAAAAAAAGGTTTCCACAAATCAAAAAAATTCTACCTCATTTTTTTAAACCAAAAACAAATTAAAAACAATATTTTACAGTTTTTCTCATTTCATCTAATAATCGCGTTTCATTTTTTTAATCTCTCTTTAAACTCTTCTTTTTTTCTTTTTTTATTTTGAAAATTCGTAGCTTTTTGATAACGAACTATACACAAGGAAACTCAAGATCTTAGAAAGGATCGTTGAAATCCTCTTTTTAAATTTTCTTTTTAGCTACTTTTGAACTCTGGTCGTATAAAAAAATTCTCTGATAACTATACATTCTAAAACGAAAAGAAGAAAGTGAAGAAAAGTGGAGGACGCGTGGGTTTGCTAGATTTTATAGATAGATTTGAAAAAAGATAAAATGTGGAAAGTACATGCGTCGTTTCTGAGAAAATTGAGGGGAACCGCGGAGAAATACATCCGAATCTCTCATGAAAGACGAGAATCCGCAGTTCTCGATGACGTTCTCAGTGAGCAAACATTTCCATTGAGTGACATGATGAGCTCATTGATAGTAGCTCCTCCTAACTATAGAAAACGTGCTTTGAGCATTTAAATGGAAAGAGAGAAAAACCTCGGAAACAGAGCTTCAAAGGCAAGAAGGGAATTTCGCGATGCCAGGAGCAGGCGGCCATTGATTTTAAGTTATCCTCACGAGATATATGCTAACTTTTCGTAGCAAAAAAGGTATTTGTTAGAATTCTAAAAAGCAGTATAATTTAAAAAAAGTTTTCACTCAACGGATAAATATTAGAAAGTGTCAACGACTGTTTCAAAATATTAGCGTGATTTCAAAAATTCACACTAAAACCCTTCAGGTTCCAATATTTTCAAACCGATCTCTCACTTTTCAATTTATAAAATGTTATCGACAGTTGGTCTTCAAACTTTCTATTCGATACTATAACTCTCTTAGCGAGGGGCATGGTTTTTGACTAATTTCGAAGATTCAAACAGACAGAACTTACCATAATTACATTTCTTTTCAATACATTACTCTGGACTCAAAACAACAAGGAAACTATGAAGTCCTCAAAAAAACACGCCATGTGACGCTGAAAAAAGTTCCAAAAAAAAGAATGAGCGAGAGCTATTCGCCGCCGATGAGATCCAGGCAGCGAGAAAAGAGAAAAAGATAGAAGCTCGCAATAAAGTCATTCTGAAGAAGACACCATAGTTCATGGAAAAAGAAAAGTATGCAATTGAAACTGTTCCCGAAACCCTGAATACTGAGTTTGGAGCGAGTCTAATTTCTTTCAGTACACCCATCATAAGAAAAAAGAATATATTTCAAGCAAGATAAACTATTTTAGTGTTGCAAAGCGGCACCCAGTGAAATACTTCGAAACCAAAAATCGTTGCACTCATTCACGAAAACAGGTATGTATCTATAGTTTATTAAATAAATATTCAAAACGGAGGAAATGTGTACACTAGTTGGGAAAACAAGCGAATAAATAAAAAAGAAATTAAAGCTCAGAATGCTCGGATTTGTCTTCGGAATCCTCTGCCTTGTCGTCCGAATCGGATGTCTGCTTATTGAGGAAGTTGGTGAATCCTTCGAGAGTTCTCTCGCCAGAGTAGTCGACAACCTTGTTCGACTCAGCAAGGTACAGCTTGATGGTGGGGAATGACTGGATCGAAAGGTCAGCAACCTAAGAACGTTCTTTCTTCTTCGCTGAAACTTCAGAAATGGTTTACTTCGTTTGCGGTGGCATCCATCTTGGCGATGACGACGTCTCCGTTAGAGGCAAACTCCTCTCCAAGCTTGTCCCAGATAGGAGCCAGCTGCTTGCAGTGCCCGCACCACGGAGCGTAGAACTCAATGAAGACGTTCTTCGATTTGTCAAGCACAACCTGAAAAAAGCGTTCAACTGAAATCTCATTTGACAACTTACATCTTCAAAATTCTTGGCGACGACAACCTTGACGGGGTTCTTGTCCCAGTCTTCGGGAATTTCTTCTGACTTCAAGTCCAAAGAGAGCTTTCCATCGAAGAAGGACTTGGCAAACTCCTTCAAAGTGTCGGCGTTGATGTCAGAGAAGTTTGGCTTGTACTTCATAATTTCCTGACCAAGCTGGATGATTCTGGTCGTTGGGACTTCAGTATCTATAAAAGGCCGCTTTTACCATTCAAAAGATTGTTCAAACTCACTCTTGATTCCGAAAAACTCGAGAATGCGGCTGTTTTCAGCGTTGTCCGTGTCGAGGAAAACGAACTGCATGAGTCCCTTGAATTCGTCGGCGGCGGTTTTGAAGGCCGAGTAGAGTTTCTCGTAAAGAGGAGACTTGCGCGACAGAAACAGAAGGTGGTGAGTCTTGATGTCGCTGCCGAAAATCTTCGACGCCGTCTCCTGAGTGAACTCTGAGACGAGCGGCATGCGGAAAGACCGGATCCAGTTCTTGACATTTTCGACCGTGCTCTCGCCGTCGAACTTGGCGACAACTCCCTCCCCCTTGCGGTGGATTACAAGTCCGCTTCCTTCGAGGTCCAGGGCCTTTTTGATTTCATCGGCATGCGAAACGGTGAACTCGATGCTGTCGTAGTCAACAGCAACAGTGGTGAAAATCTTCTCGGCGATTGAGTCCTTGCCCTGTAATTTCTCGCTGAAACAGGAGAATAAAATGAAAATTACCTCGAAATAGGCAGATACGACAACGTCAACATCCTTTTGGATCTTCTCGAGCTCCTCGGCGGAGTTAACCTCGACGGCAGGCGGTCCGGTCTTTTTCTTCAGCCACGAGACGATAGCGGAGGAGTCGCGGCCTCCGTTGTACGGCACTTGCTTTCCATCGCGGAAGAAGATAAGAGTGGGATAGCCATTGACCTACAAATCGACAAAAATGATTATCGCTGACGTTTCAAATATATAGTTCAAAACCTAAAACAAGAAAAGGTTACAAGGATTTGGAAAAAAACGGAAAATTCAGCTCTAAAACTCTATAAAAAAGCATTATCAATAGGAAGGAAAATTATTAAAGAAACGCCGTTTTCTAATGACAAACATATCAAACAAAGCTAACCGAAAACTCGGATGCGATGTCTCCATGTTCAGTAGCGTCCAGCTTGCCGAGGCGAACGTCAAACTTTTGGTCAGCTAATTCCTTGGCAGCTTTAGCGTATTCAGGAGCAAGAGCCTGCAAAGTTTTTTTTTTGCCAAAAATAAAAATTTTCAAACCTTGCAATGTCCGCACCATGGAGCGTAGAACTCTACCAAAATGTTTGCGTTTTCTTTGATGACGTCATGAAAGTTATCCTGAACTTTCAAATAGTTTTCCTATTTTCTACGAGTTTCCAAGTACCTTCGTGAGCACAAGAACTCCCTCTTCCTCTTCCACAGCTAAACTGAAGGGAATCGAAAGAAAGACAAGCAATAAAGCGAGTCTGTGGTACATTATGTGGCCACGTCAAAATATCGATCAACTCTGAAAAATTTTAGTCAATACCGCGATGAATCCGAACAACAAGCGGAGAAAAACGGTAGGATAACGGATATTGAAAATTGCGAACGCAGTTTATGCAGAGAGAAATTTTTGGTCGCAATGCGCTGAGTAACGTAAGTTAGACATTGATTTTCGAAACGTTCCGCTCACAAAACTGTAAACAAAAAATATTTGCACAACGATAGGAAACGGCAGAGCGATGTGAAAGAATCGAAGACGACGAACCGTTCACAGATAAGAAAAGAAGAATACTTGTGCAATTGATGTGGAAAAGGTCTTATATACCAGAAAAAAGCCACGTCGACTATTACTTGGGAGCCATACAACGAAAACAAACGTGGCATTTAGTCGCGATTCTCATTTAAAAAATATTTTCGGAATAGGATTTTTTTCTCTATGTAAAGGGTTTTGAAAAAAAAAGCCAAATCAAGTTCAAAGATTCAATTGAAAAGAAAAAAAAGAAGCAAAAAGCAGATTGCCGAAAAATTGCTTCTCTAGAAAAAAAAAGTTGCAGTGAGGACAACTGTTGCAATCGCATTCGCGGCCAACAGGAGATCAAACAAAAAGAAACGTAAATTGGTCCTCATGTTCAAATTCAAACGCTCTTCACATTTGATCTCGATCAAAACCAGAACGAAAGTATATAGCTTGATGAATGTGAAAAATTCAAATGAACAAAAATTTTTAAATGTTTAAATGAATTATGAAAGGAGAAAGAAACCTTCAGAATGTAACTAAAATAAACTAAAATGAAACAGGAACGTTTATTGACAAGTTTAAGATATGCAAACGGAGATTTAAAAAAAAAATCATAACGTTGTACGAAGATTGAGCATGAAATCTAGCAAATTCCTTTGAAGATCACATCCGTCCAAAATCCGCTTCTCACAAAGCTGAAATGAATCAGTATCCATATTAATTTTTGAAAAAAACTTTAATTCACTGTCTAATCGAAAATTCTCTCCGTATAGTCTGTTCAGATTTTGAATGTCAACCAGCTAACTCCGTCCCTGCTGAGACGGTACCTTTTCGCGTCGATGTTTTATCGCGCGGGACTAATTTTGATCTAAAAGATAGAAAAAGAAGTCAAAAATGCAGTCGTCATCTGGATATAAAACATTGACGCGAAGGATATTGTAGCCTTGGGGGTGGAGTTAGCTGCTTGACATTCAAAATCTGAACAGACTATAGCGTTTGAAAAGTATAAAAAATTTCCCGAGACAAAGATCCGTCCTCACTAATTTTGGTAGATCTACATCTTTATCCCAACAAAAAAAAACCTTGAACAACCATAAAAGACCTTTGTCTTAAGTACTGGAACCATGTTCAGCAACTTAGGAAATTCCAGAACCTTGCGCTCTAATATATACCACGAAAAAAAATTTAGGAAGCAAAGAGAGAAAATTATAACTTTCTACAAAAATGCCCGTTTTGTTTTAGAAAACCCTATATGAGGTAAAAATACCAACAGCACGACTTCAGCTATAGTCTGATCGAGTTTTGAATGTTGTCAAGCAGCGAACTCCGCCCTTCAAAGCTACAATATCATTCGCGTCAATTTTTCATCGCGGATGACGATAAAACTTTAATATGTCTGCATTTTTTGACTTCTTTTTCTATCTTTTAGAAGAAAAAAAGATCAAAAATCGTCCCGCGTGATAAAACATCGGCGGGAAAAAATGGTTCCAACAGGGGCGGAGTTAGCTAGTTGAAATTCAAAATCTGAACAGACTATAATCAATAAACTCACCGAGACCAGCTTTCCGATCTGACCTATGTTTTTATTATTGATGACATCTTCATCAAGAAGCTGATCGAACAACTAAAGAAGAAAGCGTAAAAGTGGACCAAAGTAGATAAACTTACAACTTTGAAAAAGTTCACACCACTGCATTCTTTCGAAACTCTCTTGCTCAAGTCAATAATTTCCGATGTTTTCGATTTTTTAATGCTATAAACAGTAAATCGTGAAAAAATGTAACTGTACGGCAAGAACACCTTCTAACAATAGTTTCAACAAGCTGAGGATTGTAACTCGGTAAAAAGTACTCGGCTCGTTCGTCTGCATTCGCCTAAAACTCAAAATGAATCCAAAACTTCTAATGAGAGCTGACATGCTGAAGAATGGGAGCCATGGCCTGGAGAGAGCCGACTGCTCGCCGAAGATCTCCTTCTGACCTTTCTACTAGCGCGTGCAGCTCATCCACCGAGACTTTCGTGTTTTCGTTCTCGCAGATTGTATGAAGCCTTTAACAACTATTTACACTAAAATCTCCGAAGAGCGACAAAAACCTTTCAGCTTGTGCTTCTTTAGGTAGAGGTTTAAAACGGAACTTTGCACATCTGGACACTATTGGGGCAAAAAGGCGTGAAACGTAGTTACAGATTAGTATGAACCTATAAAATTATCTTGATTCGACGATGTTTGCTCTGAACCACCTGGTCGTTCCAGAACAATCCTCAATAATCCTTCTCATCGCCGACTGAGCAACTTTGGTCATAGCATCAACCTCGTCGAGAATAATTATCTTCAATCAAAATCAAACTACACATTAAAAAAAATCCTCACTTTGAAAGACGGCATGTTTTTTGCAGCTGTACTGACCGCACGACGCGAGAAAAATGTAATCTGAAATGAATACAAACAACTTAAGTTCTCACAAAACGTTTACTCTATTTGTCGCTGAATTTTGAAAAAAATAAAAAAAAATTTCTGAACTTTTGGTCAGGTCAGCGGTGAATTCACTGAGGTGTACCAAAAGTTCAGAAATTTTTCTTTATTTTTTTCAAAATTCAGCGATAAATTCTTTCTGACCTTTTCGCGTACTGCTGCAATTCCTCGATCATCTGACGCATTCATTTCGAGAACCCGGTCCCTGAAAACATCCCAAACATTTCTAATTTAAACTTGATAAAATCACTTGAATACAGCTTTACTCGGGAACAATTCATGGCAAAAAGCTAGTGCAGCCGATGTTTTACCAGTGCCGGGAGGGCCGTAGAACAATAAATGAGGTAGCTGAAAAAACATATTTTGTTGAACAAACAAACGAGACCTTACGTCTTTGCCTTTTAAAGCGTTCTGCAACATAGCAACCACTTCTTCTTGATGCGAAATACTCGCCAAATCCTTTGGGCGGCTGAAAAATATTACTGGAAGTGACAGACTTGTTTGAAATAAATTACAGGTTATAAATTCGACAAAATTGCCTTTCAAAATTTAAGAATAGTATCAGCCCAGGCTACTATGGCAGGTTCAAATGATGCGAGATTAGTTTTAATGGGGAAAGTAGAAAAAAACTATATGAATAAACTTACTATTTCTCTGTCCAAGTGTCACCATTTCTTTCAACAAAATCCACCTCCATCAAGTCCGCTCTGAAACACTCGACCATTGACCAAAACATGTAAAAAAAAATAAGTGTAATTTTCAATCGAAGTATTTCTATTTGAGAAATATTATCAAAATTTATAAACTATTTTGAAAAGCAGTTGAAAAACGTGAGCAGAAGGAGAAGAAGCAGCATGCAACATAGAGAAAAAAAATTGAAGAAAGCACAACACGAAGAAAACAAAAATAAAAGTGACGAATTTATTTGAAAGCGCGCGCCTGCGAAAGGTATGCAGCACTTCGGCGAAAAAATGCATTTAGCTACCGTAATTTTTTTTCCTTGCCAAGTGAACACATGCATGCCGCGCTTGATGCTCCGGACTATATCTCTTGTAGAATTAAATAAATTTCGCGTGCACGCGGCGTTGGAAGAAAGGCCGCTGGGTGCACGCAAAAATAGTTTAGTTAAACGAAAAATTGCATTTTTGAAATTGCAAAAATTGCAAAAATGCAATTTTTCGTTGGAGCTCCGATGGGTGCAAGCGCTCAAGGGTGTGAGAACACAATACAACGAGGAAAGTGAATAATACAGATTCAGTTAAAACTTTTGTGGTGGGTGGTTTTTATTCGAAAAAAAAAAGTATTTTAAGCGTCACTGGGTGCCTGGAAAGGTTGGTTGAAAATCTACAAGAAAAGCCAAAACTGCTCTTCTTTTGACTATATAGCTGATTCACGGCCAGCTTGGGACGCTAAGGAGGCGTGTCCTGTCTGCGCTCTCCACGAGCCAGGCGCTATATTATATCTCGTGCATTATCGTGTCAGGACCCGTTTTTCGATGGCTCAAGCAGCCGTGAATCAGCTATATATAGTCATTTTTTTATTCGTGCTTTTGTGTTATGCCAATAATAAGGCCCTAGCCTTTGTTTTCTAAACCAAGAATCTTAACAGAAAATTGTTTCAAAATTGTCCTGTACATTTTCATTCGGCTTTTTTCTCGATACGTTTTGCAAAAATCTACGAACCAAAATTGGCAAAATTATCAGCAAAATTAGAAAATAGTTTCCCGATAAAAGTTAGTTCAATTAGAAAAATATAAGAAGATAACAATAGTCTACTGTCAATAGATTAATGCAAAACTTATTCAACATATGCATCCATAGGCAAAGTCGGAAGAACCCTTCACGGGCCCTTTGAGCTTCCGTTACAGATCCGTCTGTTTCCATTAATTGTTCCTAAACGGGTGGCAAAGGTTTCCTTTTTACTGCCTTTTTGCGTCCTTTCATCGGCCTTCATCCACCCTTTTTGGACCCTTTTGAGAAATTCAATTTTTTTTAAATTAGGAATAATTTTTACAAGGGACTGTGTATGAACCATAATATGCAACAGTAATGAAATCGGAAATTATCAATAGAAGAGAATTTCAGGGCCCTTTTGCACCCTCACTCTTTCTTCACCCTTTTTGCGGCCTTTCCCTTTTTTCGCCCTTTTATGACCCTTTTTAACCCACCACCAGTGTCAACACTGCCAAAGTCGAAAGTGGCGAAAAAAGGGAGAGGCCGCAAAAAGGGTGAAGAAAGGGTGAGGGTGCAAAATGGTTCTGAAAGTTTCTGCTATTGATTTTTACGATTTTATTACTGTAGCATATTTTGGTTCATACACAGTCACTTTTAAAGATTAGTCTTGATTTAAAAAAAAAATTTTATTTCACAAAAGGGTCCAAAAAGGGCGGATGAAGGCGGATGAAAGGACGCAAAAAGGCAGTAAAAAGGAAACCTTTGCCACCCGTTTAGGAACAATTAATGGAAACAGACGGACTCCCAAAGGGCCCGTGAAGGGTCCTTCCGACTTTGCCTATGAATGACCTATCCCTTACGACCTTTAGATGAAAAGAACCATTTTGAATGTTGTTTTAATTTCATAGGTAAAACTGAAAAGTTCCTTTGAGGATCCTTAAAGGATCCTGAGAGGGAGTAAAAAGCTTCCTCTAAAAGCTCCTAAAATGATGTAAAAAAGCTTTTGAGCACCTTTTTCAAAGCCTCAGAGGATCCTTTTTGAATCCTCTCGGATCTTTTTAGTTGCTTTCCAGCATCATTTTTGTCGGAGGATGTGAAAAAGATGCAAAAAAGAATTGAAATGATGTAAAAAAGATCTGCTGGGGACCTTTTCAAGGTCTTTTTTTGAGAAAAGCTTTTCAGTTTTACCTATGTATAGATGGTCAAGTTTTTAAATTAAGTTCATACGAAAAGTCAAGAGGGGCTTAGTTTTAAAAAAATTTTCGAGGAGAAATGTTTAAACATAATTTTTTTGTTTTAAGCTGACGTCTTATAAATTTTAAGTTGAAACTTTAATCTTGAACTTCATTAAAAGAAACTGATGTGGCGTTTTTTTTCTTTGAAATCAAATTGAAATTCGGCAAATGGAAATTTCCCTCCCAAACTAGGCGAAACAGTCAACGGAGGTCACACGAACCAATCTCATTGCACCTCAAAACGACACCTCCCGAGGCAATCTCGTTCTTCTTCAACGAGAAAAACCAGCACAAAAATTTTCGCCTACGACCACGTGTATTTTAATTTTTTGTTAGTTTGCACTCTCCCTTGAAGGCGTATTCCAAAACGTTGAGATATTTTCTTAGTATTGTATAGAACTTTTTAGTTTCATCATGAACCTAATTTGATTTTATTTTATAGGTTGTGTTATGTTAAAGTAATGTTTAATTTTTACATATCCTCGTACTTTGCTGTCACCAGAAAACGTCCTGGTCAGGAGAAGTCGAGTGCATTGGAAACCAAATACGAAAAGGCAAACCAAATATTTGTTTGAATCCCGTCATTATGCGAATTACTCGAAAAGAGCAAGCCTCCAAAAAAGTCCCCCCGACTCACACAAAACAATGTTTCATTTCGTAGTGTCGTTCGATCTTTTTCAAGCCAAAAGTTGATATTTTCCTCTCAAAATTACCAGAAAAAGCGTTCTTAAGGGTGAATAAGCATGGCTTTTCCTCTTCCAATGTTTAAAAACATAGAAAGGGCGGTTCCTCTGTTAGAACTCGACCATTTTTTTACCAGCTAAATCTGAATCCTTCCCTTGACAGTTTTGATATGAAAAAAAATCATAACAAATACTTGTCAATAAAAAGCTCGTATTACATTCTATTGACATGAAATAACTTTCAATTCTACTCTCTCGGTATCCTCATTATCTGCAACTGACCAACGATCGAAAATTATTATAATAATAGAACAAAAGAAAGTATCACGTTTTCAACAAGGCTTGCGATTAAATCAAACAAAACAAATTAGTCAAACACCTGCTAAATTGACCTTTTTCACATTTAATTTAGTTTCTCCTCTCAGCGTGACTTGAAAAAAAGTCAAAGACGTATAAATGCTCCAAATAAGGGTAATTTAGGAGTCCTCTCACACTTCTTATATTCAGCACTACTCTTTTTCTATAATATTATAAAATATTGCTTACTCGTTAGGAAAAACCTAAGAATAATGTTTTTCTTCGAACTTTTTTTCTTAAAGAAATTTTTGTCCTCGATGAAACTGCGAGAAAAATTTTTTTGTCGCCGCAAGTTGTTAAACTTTATTTTACTGCGTTTGCGGCGTTCAAACAGCTTCCAGATGGCTATCCGATTGAACTTCATTATGTTCGAAAAAAAGAGTAAAGTAGAAAGAAAACTCGGCTTTTTTTAAACTATAATAAAATAAAATGGAAAAATAAGCGGAATCAGTTTTTTTCAAAATAATTTTCGAAACAAAATTTAAAAAAAGTTTGTGAGCCTGAAAATCCAGGAAACTAAAATTACAACAAAAACTCAATGTTTAGACATTTTTATCAGTGTGCCTGAAAAAAATTCTTTTTTTCTATATTTTTTTCAAAAAAACTTTTTGCTAGTCTGGTTGATGAATAATAACGCTTCTTGACTGAGAATTTATCGAAAAAACCATAATTGAAATTCTATTTCCGGACTGGTTTTTTTAGAACTTTTCTAACACTTTTCAATTCTTCAATTTGGCTTTGGCAATTAATTGAGGAATTACTGAAAAAACTTGCGTTTGTTCTTCAACGAATTTCTCATTCCTCACATGTTTTCACTTTGGATTTGTGCTTCCCAGCCCCCGAGCTCGATTCGAATCATTCTTTCCAGGCAAATTTTCCTTTAAAAAATCTTGCTGTAAGTTTTTTGTTCGTTTGATTGTTTTCGAGAGAGATAGAGTTTGTTTTTTCAAAAAGTTTACCAAAGTAGCGATGAAAAATCAGAATTGAGCGTTTTTTTCTTTTTTTTTTTCCATTCTCTGAGCATTCAGAATAATCAAAATATTAATTCAGATTTCCAATTTCCTTTTTTCCTAATCATATCCTTCTCATTCATATTTACATTAGATTGAAAGTTTAAAAAGTCAGAAATTGAAAAATAATCATTTCAAAGTAAAGATGTTTTCGTTTTCAGCTTTTCCTAAATGTCAGGTAGGATAGCGGTAATACCCAGGTACTATAGAAGTGATACTTTTCAGCTCATTAATGTCCACCGATTATTTAACCCCGAATGAAATTGAATTAGATACCCGCTTGCTATTTTTATCCTCCTCCCGGTCGACCCATGAACAAGCGGATGTTTTCGATAAATTTGTAAAGATTTCAAAAAAAAAAAAAAACAATAAACAAGTCTAATATTAAGGTTTTCAAAGAAGGTGGACGTTTAAATTAATTTCCTTCCAACTTCATCCACATATTCAGAAAGTGAAAAGGCCATTTCAGTCCACAAAAGCAGCTTTCATCAGCCCATAAACCAGAGGTCGCGATAAGAAGCCGACAGAAGGAAATTTAACTACCACACTTTCTTTCGAACACAAAAAATCCATCAAAATTCTTTTTGATAAAAGATTCAATATTCTTTTACGTCAATCGATCGAAGCAATACACCTATGTTTTTCCTAACTCATGGTGGAGAGAAAAGTTTCATTTAATTTCCGTGGTCTTTTCATTATTTTCCTTCATGAACAGGTTTTATTTTTCTATCAATTTCTTTCTCAATAAAAAAGAGAAGAAAAAGAA